GTAGAAGAAAGAATGTAACCTCTTTTTCTTTTTCGTCTTCTCCTTCTTCCTCTAATGTTTAGACAGAAAGAGAGACGGGAGGGGGGGGAGGGAGAGGAAGGGAGAGAGAGAGAGTAATCGAGTTATGCGAACACACGTCTTTGATCCAATCTCGAATAAGAAACCAACAAACGACTTTCTCTTTTCCACTCTCTATTCCCCTTCTTCTCTTTAAACAACAACAACAACTAATCACAAGTCGAGAGACATCGTGAAAAGAGCAGTATCTGTGTTGATAACAATAAAAAAAGGAGAAAAAAAAAAAGTTCCCTTTTTACTTTTTTTTATTAATTGTTGTGGTTTTTTTTTTATTATATTCCTTATCAACAAAAAATAGTTTGTTATTGAAATCAGTTTAAAACAAAAGCAATCAGGCATATAATATTGATGCCCATATATATAAACTACCTTCTCTAATCTCTATTACAAACACAACAACTTATTTTACTGGTTGATTAATAAAAGCGAAAAGAAAAAAAACGAACGATGACCATGATGACGCAAGATGCAAACGTTGTAGATTAGGTAACACCTTTTGCTTGCTTCCGTTTGATACGTGTACGTCAAAGCAGGCAAATTCAATTAAGCGAAATATTTGTCCGATTTTCTTAGACATTTACTATCCCGCATAACAAAAGAGACAAAAAAAGGAAGAAATTGTGTAGGTGTAACAAAAAAAGATAAGATATAATAATGATAAATGTCTCTTGGTGTCGATTTCGTGTAAACATGAGATTATTAAAAATTCCAAACATTTTTTTTTCTCTTTTCGACAATAAGAAGGAAAAAAAAGGTATATAACATTTGAAGTTTTTATCAAATGAGGAATTTCTTTTTTAAAATGAAGGTCAATAGTTTCAACGGAAAAATTGATTGAAACAAATTAAAGAAAACTGTCAAGTACAAAAGACCTTGTTCGTATATAAATGAGGAAAAAATATGTCTCATATTATTCAATTTATTAATGAAAAAATTTCCATAGACGTTAATGAACTAATTTAAAAGTCTGACTTATTTTCATTACAGGATGAAAGATATCCTTGCTTTTTTTCAAAAGCATCAATATTTAGTTATACTATGAACAAGAAGTTATTTCTAAATGACATTCAAATAAACACCCACTTTTTTTTGTCATCATCCCTTATCAACCCATAATGGTTTAGTGTTAAACTATACTGAATGTTTTTCTATCGATAATTCTCTCATTATAAATAACATAACTAAGATTCGCGCATAGGATTTCTTACAAAGTTGAAACATTACACGTACGAATCATATATCTTAATTACAGTATATAGATTTTCCTATGAATAACTCCTAAATCAATAATAAAAATAATTACCTTTGACCAATCTCTATCATCGTCATCATCATCATCATTCATTTTATTTGACTTTGTATTATTACGAAGATCATTATTAAGATTATGATTATTTAATTTAAAAGTTTCCTGTAAACGTTTTCTTGATTCGAATAAGGTTAATTGTACTTGAGCACGTTCAATTAAATCATGATTAGGATGAATTTTAACAAATTGTAATGGATCATTATTTAATTTATTTACATTTAATGTTCCATTAAAATGTCGTGTTGGTATAGTTGTTGTTGAGGCTAATTCATCAATTGATTGTGAACGTCCTTGACGATGAAGTGATGATGATGAACCACCATTACCATAAAATTTCGAACTATCCAATGATGTATAATCAGAATCAACTGAACCTTGATCACTATTATCAAATAAAACTAGATGATTATGTGTTATTGTTTTATTGCTAGCTGACGATGGAGATAAAAGTATTGGAGAAAAACCATTCGATTGATTTTGTTGAAAAGTTGACATGATTTTAATGATGATGTATTACGTCATCATTTGGTAATCATTATCTGAACATTTTAAAAAAAAAGAAAGAAAAACATATGAATAGATATATCATTTATCTTCAAGGATAAAACGGCTCAATTTGAAACGATCAGTAGGATTGAGGGCGGATCTACAAATAAGCTGCTACGTATATATATATATATATAGTCGTTTCAACATATACTACATCTACCTCAATCATCATCATCATCATCAACATCGATCATACTGAATAAGACGAGAAAAAAGAACGACAACGAAACTTTATGCAAATTTATTTATATGTCGGTTACACATCTATAGAAAAAAAAAGGGAGACCCCATTCCTTTTTCTTCTTCTTCTTCTTCCCCTTCTTCTCTGACCAAACGAGCCATAAGATGTATAGTAAAAAATGTTCACTGCGCCACATACATCTATTTATGATAAAAATCAGCGTCATCATTAACGTTCTTCTTCGCATAGATTTTTTTTTTGAGTACGGTATATGCTTGTGAGTACGATCAAATGTATATACATATATATACGTATACGTACCGCATAGACAACGACGATTCGATTTATTAGTAATAAGGAGAGGAAGAAAATGAAGGAACACTTACTCTACTATCGAAATGTAAATTATCATTGATGCCCAATTGATTTCCTTAGCAATGTATATATATATATATATACATATATACGCTTATGCACGAAAAGAACTTAAAATGTTGACAGTTTGTTATTGTAATATAGGCATATTTCTAGTTCAAATAGAAAAGATGAAAAGAGAATATATAAACTAGAGCGAAAGTTTCATTTATAATATTGCGGTGATACAGAAGAAATTTGAGATGATCAGCAAAAAAAAAACATCGAGATACGCAAAGCAGCCGTTTGACTGTTGTTTCAATGCCATACTAAATACTCACATTTTCTTTTTCAAGGGCAATGATGATGTGTGGCGGGTGGTTATACCGGTCAATGGTACATCATAAATCATCATGCTGTGTTCTTTTCGACCTCCGTCCACTATTCTGTTCTTCTATTTTGACATTCAACGAAAAAAAAAAGAATGAGAAAGAGGAGAAAAAGAAAGAAAGAATATAAATGACCAGCACAGACAGACAACTAATTTTATTTCTTTTATTATATGTCTAGTTGCTTGTCTGATCTCTATAAGAGGATTGTAAGCACGTTTTAGCATCTTGTCTGTCTCACTTTTCTTTATTTGTATTATTATATTTCATTCATTATGTGACAATTGTATGAATGTTTCATTGTCACATACATACATCTACCTTATTCTGTTGATGATGCATGACATTGTTTTACATTTACGAATAGTTTCACCTCCATTATGTATCTAGAAAATGAGACAAGACAAGGTTCCTTCTTCTTGATCGTTCACCACCTTTCAGGGATCTTTGATAAGTGGAGAAGATACGATGAGTTGACAATAGTGGCATGTTTCGATCAAACAAGAAAAGAAAGAAAGAAAGAAAGAAAGATAGATAAATTTGTCTATAATTTAACTATTTTCATAATATACTATTTAGAGTTTATCATCAGATTAAACAAAGATATAATCGCGTACAAACTTCTTTCTATATTCGTTGTCCGTATATGTCAAATTACAAGCTTGAGAGGTGAAGAAAGATGAATGTCTTTTACTCTGTGTGTGTCTCGTTTTCTTCTTTTCTCTAATCAACATCTACCAGACTATAAGAGAGAAGGAATTATTCTCTGTTTCTCTCTCTCGTTAAACCATATTTGTGTGTCACATCAAGCTGATGTTCAATATACACGTGTACATATATACTCTCGCATTCAAAGGTCAACTTAAACTTATATGTATATATGAATATATATATATATATGTGTTAGAGAGACAGAGAGAGAGTTAGACGAAAGGGGTAAGCAAACATACAAACGGATCCTTAGAAAAAGGAAAGATGCTTGTACGAATGGCTGAGTGCATAATTGCCTTCAAGTAATCAATGTCAATTTAGTCAGTTTAGAATAACACCAATGAAAATGCGATAATCAAAGGCAAGTTTGATGAACATACATATGAACATATGTCAAGCGATTAATACCTCATCAGTTAAGAACACTAGACAAAGATATAAAAAAAAGAGAGAAATATTGTGAATAGGTGATAAAAAAAATCATTTATCTCGAATGTAAGTGTTGAAAGTTAATAAATTGAATTATTAAGAAAACAAAGACTTGATATTGAAACATGTGAATTAACTTATGATAGGTTAGAATAAATAACCGTTCATTGAATTTATAAATAGATTTGAAAAGTTCGACTTCTGGCGTCCTCTCATAAACATGAATTAATAGAATCAACATCAGTTAAGATTAAGTAAAGTTCTTATTGATATTAGATAAGAGTTTATACATGAAACTATTTTATTTGAACAATATAATCCTTTTTTTTCTCTTCCTCTTTAATTATAATCATAATAATCAGTAAAGGAAGTTAATAAAAATTTATCGCATGATAAATATTTCTATGATTATATAATCGAGAAAAATCTATTCATTTTATTTTTTGCATAGATGTTTGTTTGAAAATAATTAACAATAATCTATCAAGTTATCTTTGTATTTCGAGTATAGATGAATGGATAATATCTATACTTTATCAGTATAGATTGTAATTACACATTTTCTTTTTCTATGAACAATTATTTGAAATTTTATGATGAAAGTAAAAGTTATTGAAATGAAAATCTTGTCAAATAAATACACAAAAACCACAGAGAAGTTCATATAGTATTATGTACATATAATTCAAACTATCTAAAAAAAATGTCTACCTGTTATATCAGTATCAAAAAACGAGCGAGATATAAGTAATAAAAAGAAAGAAAGGAAAGGAAAAAAAAATAATATCATATAAAAATGATGATGTTGATGATGTAGTAAACACTCTGTAACTGTTTCAATGTTAAAAAAAGAATCCGAAATATTTTTAACATGAAAGATATTGAGAAGAAAAAAACATGCATGGATAATCACAGACGAGCATAAATAGAAGAAAAAGTTTTATTGACAAAAATTGACCTAGAAGATAAATTTGAATTATGTTTTTATATTTATCAATCATCCAGGATCATTAGATCGTTTAACAAAACCAAAACGTCTACCGAATCGACGAAATTTTGACATGATTTCATCTTGCATTAATTTAAATGACATGGCCATAACAATCATGCCAAATAAAAGAAATAATGCACACATTGCTGCTTTACCAGCTTTGGATTCTGTTACTGTCCCTTTACCTGGTACGAGATCACCAAAACCAATTGTTGTAAATGTTATAAAACAAAAATATGCTCCATCAAGTACATGCCAATTTTCCCATTGAGCAAAAAGTAATGCACCCATAGTTATATAAAGTGCCAGAACAGCTAAGGTTGCTACAATAGGTACATGTCGAGAATCATCAGACTCCGACTAAACGAAAAAGAGGAAATTTGTATGAACAGAAAAAAAAGAAGATATTCTTACGTCAGGATTTTCAAAACTTTGTCTAGTATCATCTGGTATACAATCTTTTAAATGTCCACGACATATTCGTCGATAAACAAAATTAATTATTCTTGAATAACCAGAAATAAATGCATCAGCTAATAAATCACCTGTATATGTTAAACACATAAACATCAGAGGAATACCAATCATAGCATATATCTATAGAATAGAATAAACAACATGAATCGAACTGTCTCTCTCCCTCATGAAGAAATCAATAGTTTTATTTTACCATTGTTGCAATTTTTCCTTCTGTTGTTTTCGGTGTTATATTTCCATATCCAATAGTTGTTATAACTGTTGCTGAATATAACATAGCACTAGAAAATGTCCAAACTTCGACAGTATTTTGTTCTTGTTGTTGTTGATCACTTCCATATTGATTTTTTTCTTCTGCACCAAAATATTGCATTAATTCATAATCAATATGATGTTTCCATAAATCTTTTTCAACATCTATTTGCCAACCATCATTACGTTCATCATTACGTGATATTCCACCACGCCATAATGCATATTTAAGTTCAAATGTTTGATTTAAAACACGATTAAATTCTCTATAAGCATGAAGATATAATTGATCAACAAAATGTTGTCGATTTCGTTCTTTTTCTTCTAATCGTTCTAATTCATAACGTGATTCTATTGCATCAAATATCAATCCACCAAGAATAACATAACCAACAACGAGACCACCTGAAATATATATATAAAAATTCTTTAGGTATATAATTTTACTTTGTGACATTGACAAACTCTCATAGTACTTCACTTAAATGAGAAATACGATACAATCTACGTTTTTCTTACGGACATGAAAGTTGATAAAAATCAGACTTATTAATGTTTGTAGAAATAATTCATATCCGTTAAGATCACTCTCAGGAAAGATAAGTTTCTTCCGGAGTATAAAAATTACATGAAATTTTTATTATTTATATTGGTGTTCTAGTAGTTAAGAACCAAGAATAAAATTTATCAAAAATAATTAATTTGATAAATATAATTTTCTTTTGATTGAGAGAACGTGTCTTTCTGTAGAATCTAGCTAAGCTTCTTACTATAAAAAGATCTCTTGAAAAAAGTGGTTTTGTTGAAGTGATGGATTTATCTTACTGTCTTTACATATGTAAAAAAAGAAAGATTTAGAAAAGATGGTTTTCTTTTTACGTCCTACAGGCAGATATGTTCTTTCAACCAATAAATAAAATAAAATTAATGCAATATAGCCCGATCGACATAACTATATTTTATTTGTACTTGAAAAATATCTGACAAAAATTTCATTTTTTCATTAAACTTGTATTGATCTCACATAATTATTATTGTTAAATGTAACTTACCTAAACCAAGTTGACTAAAGGCAACTTTCGATACTGAACGTAATATTTGTCGAAATTTCTCTTGTCGTGTTTGTTCCATTGATAGATTATCACCACCTGATTTTGGCCCTGAAATATTATCGTGAGAATCAATAACAAATGCACTATCCGGTGAAAGTAAGTCTATAAAAATAATTAAAATTCTATTTATATTTTTAAATATAAATAAAAAATACATACGTTTCTGTTTGCCAGCAGGTACTGGAATGTCTCCTTCTTCGTCAAATGACAAAATAGGTGCTTGCATGCGTTCATATTTAGTTCGTGCTGAACGCACTTGTGTAGTATCAGTAGATCGATTATTAACTTTTGACTAGAATTAATGAATAAAAAAACAAAGAAAAATAATTAAAAATCGAAATTAATCACATGAATATCATTATTCAAAGTTTTCTGATAGTCAATTGAATATATATAGGGCGTTTCATTTGTAAGATCAGGTGAAGAACCATAACCAAAATTAATGTGAGTAGAAAAATGAGAATGAGGAGGAGGAGGATTTGATAATGATGAATTTGTATTTGATTGTTTATATTTTTTAAATGGATTAAAAAAAGAAAGCATAACCTCCGGTTTTGATTATTTATGTCTTCTTGTTCTTTTTTATTTTTATTTTATGTGATTGTGAAAGACAAAAGAAGAGAAAATAGATTCTTCTTTTTTTTCTTCTTTCTCGTCACTATTCCGTAAAAATGAACATGAAAGGTCTCTTCTTTATTTTCACTTCTCGTGTTCTCGTTTATGTGGGTTCCAAATCATTAACACCATTATAATTTTACAAAAAAAGTAAACTCTAATAATACTACTTTCTGTTTTATTTTTTTATACAGGAAAAGAAGGTCATGCAGATGCATATTATATATAGTTCAGTCAAAAATAATAATATACAAAACTAATTTATCATAATTTTTCTTGATAAACAATATTCAAGTGCTTTTTTTTCTTTGTCATTGCTATTTCTCATAATTCTTTTTTCTTGATTGTTATTTCATATCGTCATTATTTTTGTTTATTATTCTTATGTACATAAGTATGTACGCCTCCATTCGATAACTGCACATTCTATCTGTCACCAATTTTCAGTTTTATCAACGACGTCTATCATTTACGAGACACAACTGTCGATATCATTAGATTAACTATGATATACTTTTTTGAAATAATATATGCGAAATATCTTACTTATAAAACGTTTTCTTTTAATAATTAAGCCCTATGCGTAAATATAATTGAGACTGTTGAAAACAGTTTGTCAATTCTGTCATTTAAAATGATCGATGAGTACAACTGTAGAAAAGATAATATTCAGTATACTTAATTCTATCTGTTATCGAATAAGCAAAGTATTTATCTTTTTAGTGTTTTATAATCAAAATATATATATAAATATAGAGATAGTAAAGAAAAAAAATGTTTTTTCTACCTTGGAACCCCTATGAATTTCATTGTTATCATCTTCAGGAATATCACTATCAATATTTTGAACATCTTCAGATGGTCGTCTGCTTGCTTTACGATGTTGTGCATGTAGGAGATGATGGGATGTACTATGAATACTGACTGCACTTGGACGACGAAGTCCTGAACTCGAATGTCGCTTTACATGTAGTCTTGTAGCAATCATAGCAATAGACGACGGTAATCATACTTCTATTCCTTTTCCACGATTATATATAGGCTGAGTCTCTACCTCACCCGTTATTGTTTTCGATACGAAGAGGGACGTTATAGAACTACACCCAATGATTATGCTGATGAGACGAGAACCAAACCACAGCAAAAACGAAGAAAGCAAAAAGAGAAAGAGAAATATAGAAAAAGAAGAAGAAGACGAATGAGAAAGATATATCTAGAGACAATAACGTTAAGTTGTTCTATAAAATGACGACAGTCAGATAAGATGATAATACATCGAATTTGGATACAAATATATACCTAATTGGCTTTTATAATTCTTTTAATTTCAAAACAACAATATTGAAAAATTTCTGATAATTATGTGTCTACAAGAAAAATCTTGTATGATAATGATAGCACTAAAAAATAGTAATGATATTACTATTAATATTCTTATAACTATTAGACTCTTTAATATAAACATCTTTGTCTTATTTCCTTGCTTTGATTGTCATTTTAGTTGCTGTCGAAAGTGACATCAAGAAAAAAGTTATATATATCTTGATTGACACATCGAGATACACGTGAATTCGCTGAGTTTTTCTTGATAAACATCTTTTAATAGTAGTTCTTAGAAAGGTCAATAAGAAAGATCAAACAATCTAGACAATTAGATATATCTCGTTTGTTTCATATTACTGAATATCTTTCTTTTTATTAGTTGTCATTAAAGCATAAAAAAAAATTTCATATACATAAGTAATCAGTATTCTATTGAGCCGAAGGCTATTAATTGTATTTGATCTAGTGCAAGAAAAGAAAAAGATTGCGATAAGCATCGACGCGTATAGATCAGCTGTATAGAATAGCTTGTATGCATGCTAACAGATATAGATGAAAAAAGAAGAAGAAACATATTCTAGAAGTAATCCCGTCACGGAGAGGGCAATGAGATAAGTGTGTTTTCCGCCTGATGGAGCGAGCACCAAAGCGACAACGATGTGCATTAGAAAAGTCGGTATTAAGACATATAAGCAACAAACAACCGAGGGCAATAATTTGTCATCATTGAATAGTAAAGCAATATAAATCACTATTACGCACACAATTTCAATAAAACTATTAGTCAATATTTATGCAAAACTAATTTTCTTTTTTCTTCTAATGGATTAAAATCGAAATACTATCAATTGTTAATTATTAAACAATCACATTTTCCGATGATGTATGTCGTCAAAGAAAAACTAATTTTATTCTCTTTGAAACGACAAGTAATAGGAAATAAACTGGACTTATTTTGTCAAGTATAATAATAATAGTTTAGATTGACGTGGACTCATTTCCGTTATTCCTTCATCGTACCTTCAATGTCAAATAGATCTCACGAAATGCAAACAATCAAGAACAGATTTATCATACTCACAAAAAAAAAGAAAAGAAAAGAAATAAGAAAGTCATTGAGACAATGTGCACGGACTTCATTATTAATCTTTCTATATTTTTTCTTCAGCTTCTTCTTCTTCCCCTCCCTAAAGCAGTATTTGACATGATTGATAATGTCCGGTAATAAAATAAATTATCTTCAACATTCACCTCATTTATATAAAGTTCTATATTAAATCAATTAATTGATTCTTATAAATATGAATACGCTTACTGTTTTCTGATGTTGTCGTTTCGCATGATGATGACCGAGTAACATGTTTTCTATTTTAATTTATTGATTCTCATTATATTCAAAACTCTAACGAATTGATTTGGTACTCGATACACTCGATATATATGTTGTCTTGCTGTTGTTATTATTATTAGAATTAAACAAGTGACATTTTTTCTCGGTTTTCAATAATCATCATTCCATCACTCGGCAAACGTCTGTTGTCTTCCTTTCTTCTTCTTTTTCTTCTTCTTCTTCTTCTTTCTTCTTTTTTTCTTTGTTGCCCACAATCTACTTAAAAATGCCTTTTCATCCGTTCGTTCAATCGATGAATTGTTGCCGTTGTTGAATAGACATTTGAACTATCTATATTCGTAATGTTTTAAGTTGTTTGAGGTCTTAATAAGTAAGTGCTTCGGAAAAAGAAATACAAGACAAATACTTAATATAATTTGCAATAACTGATGAAAAAGTACGATTAGTGTATTTGATATAGGAAAGAATTGTATATTTATATATATGTATATATGTATCAAGAGAGATATTGATATTTATGAACTATGTAATATAGTAAATGTGTGAATACTAATTGGACGTATGTGTTTTGTTGCTCTTCGAAATTATACAACAACACGACACGCAAATTCTTAGTTAGCAACTTATTTCTAGTAAATAAATGAATAAGAACATAAGGAATGGAATGCCATTGTAGTGGGAATAATATGATCTACGTTGGAATTGAATAGGCGGATTGAGGAAATAAATATGTTCGTTATTCAATAATTCAGTTGGCTTGTTGACAAGGGCGACTACAATTGATCATCTTACCAATAAAAATAACGAATAATCATAATAATAATAGTGGAAACATGATATTTTCTTCTTTTTTTTGTTGTACTTCAGTTCAATATAAAATAATATTATGGGAATAATAAGGATAAAGAATAATAGTTATGTTCAACAGAAAAGAATCTTAATGATTTGTAAGCTTCAAAAGTGCTGTTCATTTTAATTCATACATATCCGGTTAGATTTGTCTATTGTTTCTATCACGTACGTATGCGTGTATTGATGTAACAACTAAATTTATAATGATAAAAGTTTGACTAAAAACTGGAAATCTGTATAGATAAATGATACATCTATAAAAAAATGCTGTCTTACTTATTATTTTCTTCTTTAGATATGATGAGTTCTTTAAAAAAAAAGAAAAACAGAAAAAGTCTTCCGTTCTATGACTATTTCCAATTCAATGATGACGTTATCAATGACAGACATGTAAATACAAACATACATCGAAATCACAATTAAATTTTCTAAGTCTCAGAAGACATTCTTACAAGTTTAATTAGATTACATCGAATTATTTATAAAAACAAATATATTTGCAACTATTTACTAATAACAACAACAACAACAGCGACAAGGCTGTCTATTTATATTATTAATCAATATACGATTTTTAATTCTTCATAGTTGCCAACACGATATTTTCTTTAAGGTATTCTATTAGAACTTCTATGTCATCAAAAGCGACAAATGAAAAATAACATATATGCTCTGTAGCCTATCTTATGCTATGAATCAAATTCATTAAAAAGTTTCTTATTCTAATATCTTACTTTTATGCGTCGAGAAAAAGTTCGAGGTACTACTAATCGTTGCATAGTTATTTATATACAACAAATAAAGAATTTCATCTTACTTATATCATCAATATAATTTTTATGCTTATCTTTTCTTCTAACCATACATTTTCTCTACAATATAAAGTTTAGAATAACAAATACCTTTTTATCATGATTAGATTGTATAAGACGAGTAGTGACTAATGCCATATTGTTACTGTCTTAATATCATAAAGATCAAACATTAAATATCTTCGAAGATTTTTCTCATGATGTTAAATAACTCGCTCTTTCTTTTTTTTTCTAAAACTTATTGACAGAAACAATTTTTTATACTAATTATTGGCCGTTCTTTCTTTTTTTTTGTCACCCGGTAAAATAATAAATATTTACATAAAAAATGAAAAAATACGATTTAATGATTATAAACTTGCTTTTAAATGATAAATAAACTCATTTATTATTACCTGTCGTTTATCATGATCAGAATGTAATTCATGTCGTCTTACATGAAATAAACGTTCAATAGATTGTTTACCATGATATAAACGTAAACGATGACATCGTCGTGTATGAGATGTTTTATTTTCTTCATCTGTTATATGATCTGATGATGTTGGATTTTCATTTCTTTGTTCACGTCGCCAACGGAAAATATGAAACATCTTGTTTAATATCTATTTTCTCTTTCTATTGAGATATTGTATGTTTATAATAAATATATTGTTGATTGTCGCTTGAACAAATAATAATAAATGATACGCAAAGAGAAACAAAGTTAAGCAATTTAATGGTATATACACATCAATCAATTGTAAGTATTATAACCATTTCCGTTCTACAAAACGTTTTGCACTGAGAATAACCGGTAATATAGACGATATAAGATGAAAAAGAATATAAAGAGCAACTTTAGAAAATCAAAGCCATAGGACGAATATGCTCTTTTATATGTAATATATTCATTCATGGGCAAGCCGACGGCCTTTTTTTATATTCAGATGATATACATACGTGCCCACTGCTGTGGAGATTATATGTAGAATTCTGTCAATTATAAAAATCTATCATCGACAGCAAAGACGCGAACAGACGTTGAGTGTCGTTATCACACCCTCAAAAAAGAGATGACAGGACAGGAGCATCAGAGTCATTAGAAACATGTGCCAAAATGTTTCATATATTTAGTAGTATGATATCATGCTTTATGAAGTATAAGAGTTAATTGTCATAAACATAATGATTTATGTAATTGTATACAAAAAAGAAAACATTTGGATGTTGTAAAATATTTCTTTTTTCTTTTCTTTAGTAATAATTCAGTTTTATCAAAGAAGAAGAAAAAATTCGATTATGAACTTATCGTCAATAAATAATTACTAACGAACTGTTGATATAACTAGGCGTTCCGAAAGTGATATCAACGTATCTTATATGATAAACTCTTTCTTTATTTATAACAAGAGATATTTATATGTATGTGTACTATAATTTTGTAAGTCGATGATTTAAAAGATTAACGCAAGATCTTATTGCAATGAAAAACGAAAAAGAATATATCTACCTAACTGAAGCAAAGTTTAGCTAGTCATTTATCAAAAATTCTTGAATACAATTTCACTTTCTTCCTTTGATCCTATTTAACAACAATCTATTTTTCTATTACATTCCTATTTAAAAGAACAGGAAATTAACAATAGCAACATCTTCCATCAATCATCGCCTATTAAATATGTATTAACTGAAAACAATAATTATCTATCGATACGACTAAAATCAGATATATATTGTACCTGTAATATTTGAGGTGAATTTTCATTCGCATCATTATTGTCTGTACTTGTTGATTGATCTGTTAGAAATCCGATGAAATTATAACGTCGAATAAAAGGTAACAATCTATTAGGTCCTGCATTTTGATGAGTAGGTTCTTGAGTTGTTTGGCGATTTCGCCACGATAATATTCTCCACGGATATACATACATTGAAGCAAAAAAAAACACCGAATAAGACCGAGTAATACTTGATTACAAATGGTCTTTTCTTGAAGGTGACAACAACAACAACAATAATAATAAAGTACAGTGATTTTCATCTAATAATCTTTATATTTTCTTTTTTGTTTCTTATTCAGCCTTTTCTACACCCCCAAAGTCATTCATAACTTGTTTATTTTTCTTTTTCTTTCCATTCACTTAAGCAATTGATCATTCATACATACACCAGATACAAACAAGGCTCTTCTGCTTGTTTTCTTCTACATTTAATAATAGAAAAAATCTGATATAATCTAAATACCAGATAAAACATACAAATACATACATACCCTACAACAACAAAGTCAATGAGATCACTATTGACAAACAAGTTGTTATTAACATAATATTTATCTTTTCAAATCTGTATATAATTGTTACTAAGGTAAACTAAATATCATATGTCAATTCCACTGGGAATTGTCCTTATAAGATCTTTATATGAATAAGGATTAAATTTTACAAATAGATCAAAAATATTTATCTAGATTTTCATTAAGTACTACTCTGGTAGAATAGGATTATATGGTACTTACTGCACCAATAAATGGTAATAATTGCCAGATTGAACTATTAAATCGTTGTTCTTGTCTAGGTGAATTGTGACTATGTGGTGTACTAACTAATGCAGTATCAGCTTGATCAGATAATGGTGGAGATCCATATTGACCATGCTGTCGTTGTTTTTTCATACGAACAAGATGCATGATTTATATATTTCGTCACAAAAATCACTTTTCAGATTCAGCTATCAATAGCTATATATATATATTGCCATAAATGAAAGCGAGACATCCAAAAAAAAAATAAAAAAGAAAGAGAATTGGAAAAGTGGTTAGACAAACACACCACAAAGCCATCAATAATCTATTTGGTTTTATTTATTGAATTTCCTGTGTCTGCGTGTGTGTGTGTGTGTATATATGTATGCGGGGTTTGCTCTTATGACGTCGTCTTATATTATTTAAGATGAATAAAGAATCACCCACAAATCTTCACTAATTATATATCAAGTAAGATATATCATGATCAAACGATCGAATTTTTTTCTAACGGATATATAAATAAAAATAAATTCGTTTTCTCTCTTCGTCTTCTTCTAAACAATAGTAAAATCATCTGACATAAGTCCGTATATGAATAGGCATTTTTGCTTTTATCTAATATGTCTATAAAATGTAAATTAAGAAGAGTATTATTAATAATAAGGAAAGAGAATGCACGCAAACTAATGACGATTATATTCCTTCCGCATCAACATCAGTTAAAAACATGTTTTCTTCTTGTTTAGTCCAATATAAAACATGTTCCTCCTATCTATCTATCTATAAAGAACGATTATCGTAAATTAGTATATAGCTTTATTCTAAAAATTACTGGTGAGATCTCTAAGTGACATTAGAGTCAATACGAACATATCATGATTAAATGATAGATTATTTTTTTCTTCTTCTTCTTCTTTTGTAGAATTTGCTATGATACAACATGTTATTGTGAAAAGCGTTAAACACGCATCTTTTCGTGCATCTTAACATTATATGTTTGTCTATATATAGTTCAAGCAGAAACATATTAGATTAACATACATTTTATGTTAATTTATTTTGCTTTACTAGTTTTGGATTATATCGACCTTGACGATAAAAATAAATGACTTTCGTAACAAAATTATCTATTTCTTTTAATTATATTTCTAGAGATATTTTACATTGGTTACGATTTATATTCTTATGATTAATTGTTTTTCATAATATTTATTCGAGAAGAACGTAATAGAGAAAATGTTTAATGTTGTAACTAATTTTTTGCATATAAATGTTTGTTCAATATGTTTTATTTATTATCAAAACTATATTGTTTTCGAAGGCTTTATTATTCGATATAGATGTCTGTATGACGATTAGTGAGTACATTCGTGAATTAAAATTAATAATTATGAATGAATATGTATGACCATGCAATGATTTTAAGTACATTAGAATATGAAATTTTATTGTTGTTTTTTTTATAGATGGAGATAAAATGTGTTTATGAGATACCGAATATAACAATTCCTTCCATGCATTAATTACAAAATATTTACTTAAGTTATGTTCTATGAAGCATTGTTTTTGTGTGGAATAATTTAAAGAATCTTGTAAAAATATTTTCTAGATAAGTTGGTATCGAACTTAAAAAATATCTTTACATTGTTGGAATGTTAACATTCTTTGTAAATTATATAAATAGTTTTGAATATCCTCGTCTCCTGAATTAAGAAAAACTCTTATATATTTTACCCTTATTCACATAGTTATTCTTGCTTTCTACACAAAAACAATGGAATGATTTACTACACTTCCCTAAGAAGAGTGTATCATTGTCTCCATTAGTCGGGTGTCTTTTTCGCTTTTATCTCATGAGATTTCTTTGTATGACAGATGTCGGAAGTATTGGGATAGGTATTTAGTAGTACTTTCCAATTCAATAGATCAACAATGATTGCTTAAGTAATTAAATCTTAATCAAGCTAGAAAGGCATGACTGCAGAAAGATTTTTCAATATGAGATTTACATTAGTACGCAGATATACATTTCTTCGTAATTAACTACGACATTTGTGATGTTTTTACATTAGAAAAGTTTTTCGATACATTTTAAACATTAACTTAATTCATTGTTATTAGTTTCTTCATGTCTATTCCCTTATCACGTATTTATTTGCTTTTTTCTGTCTTCCTTTCTCTCACTATGTGTAGACTGTTAAGGCCTATGGGCCATCTGTTTTAGCAAAATAAATAAATATAAAAGAGAATTATCTAAGAATATCTCACAGGGATGTCTAAAATATTTGGAAAATTTATTCTTAAAGATTATGAAGTATTAAAACTATTTGATTCACACTCGTTTTTTTGTGTAAAAATAAGAATAATTCTAATTATGTCGATTTATTCGAATGTACCGAACTCACATTTCTTCAGTTTCTGCTTCAATATCTCAATCTACTCAAATTAAATAAAGCTAATATTGTCAAAAACATCCATAAATCATAACACGCTAAAATTTCCCAAAAGTTTCATCAAATTTTGTTTTTCTTGCACAATTTTTAAATATTGATGTTTGCATCAACATTTATTTTTCCCAAAAGTAATTATAATTCACTTGGGATGAATATGTCGACAAAATATGTGAAGAAACATTCGACATCATTCTTCGAATAATACAGTAATTTAATTATAAGAATATGAATTATGTACCTATCTGTACAAGGTGAACCATTCTATGGATTCTAATATGATTTCATATTGTTGATATAAGTATTTATTGATAATGTGCAAATAGACCTTTCACAACAACTAATCAATGCGTTAATGTATCACAATGAAGTAGCAATAGAAGATATTTGACACTTCAACTCGTTTGATATCTGTCATATTGTGTGATGATTTGAAACGATATTTTCATATCCTTGTTTAATAGTATCATTTCACATATATAATCCAATATTTGTATTAATCGTTTTGAAATCAACGAAAGAAAAACCTCATGTATATATAAATTACTAAACATATGGATAGATAATATACTCTACTCTACTCAAATCATCAGTGCCTATCTTTTTTCATATTACATAATCACATTTCTGACATTCTTCTATTTTGTGTATAGAAAGAAATCTAATGACACATCAAGATTACATATTGCCAATTTGTGGATATCATAGGAGCTTTGTCTATATATATATTTATTCGTTTAAACTCATGAAACGTCTGGCACTACTGACATAATCTTTGTAATTATTCTTTTTCTCTTCTATTATGTGTTACATACACACATATATATATTTATATTAAGAAAGAAACTTATAGTTATGTGTTCACAAACAGCAGACAAGACGCTACAGTTCCTTTTTCTTCCTCTTCTCTCTCTCTCTATTCTTTAACAGACCATTATATACCAATGATATGACATCTTGATGTATGTTTGTTCAACAGTACGCATAAATCATATATAAAAAGGTCGTCATCGTTGTCTATATATTATTTATCTCATTATTCTTCACACCAAAATGACGATGTACACATCACGATTGATTGTTATTCCTAACTATGGTAATCTTTTTCGATCCAATTCATCATCAAATTCATCCTATAGTTTTCAACATGAAAGATTTCGTTCAACACTTATTGTTTTACCGAATACAAATCGAAAACGATTTATACAAGGTATTGAAGTTCGTTGTGGAAGTTATATGAATGATCCACGACATTTACATACTCATCATTTCAAATCATTATCACCCGTTGGTACAACAAGTGATTTAATGAGTGCAGATGAATCAATTTGTGAACTTTATCCAATAATAAAAACTCCAGTTATTGGTGAATCATATTTTGATGTTCGACATCGTCTTCTAGCAAAATCAAATTTATTTAATCATACTATTAAAGATGATACAGATGTTGATGATAATGATAGTTTTTGTTATTCATCATCTATGGAACAGTCTTATCATCATGGAAACTATCAGAAGAAACACTGGCACTGATAAATATTTTCTTCTACTATATATGTAAATTGAGTACGGCTTTTGATAGTAATAGAATTTGGTATGTTTTATTTCTGTCAATTATTAAATAAAAATTCTGCGTGCAAATAAATGAGCATTCATCAAATCATTTTTTGTGATTAAAAATTCGTTACACAACGGTATCTTTTATTAAATTTTCGATCCTCAAACTATCGGTTGATTTCTGAACCATTATAGTATTATAAAATTACAAGAACATGAAGTTGTATTATACACAATAAAAGAACCCATAACACTGAAAGGGGTATTTAATAACATAATCGTCTTAAACAAAGAAAATCATATATAAAATATTGCACATGTGTACATTAAGTCTTATTATAATAAAATATTATTCAAGATTCCGACTAATCCTTCTTGTTTGGCTAATTATATAAGTTTCGGAAATGGTCTTTCCCATGTAAAAAATATTGACGTAAAAATCAACTGAAAAATGATTACAATCGGTTAGAATTTGATTAAAAATCGATTTAAATCATACACCTTCAATCGATATTTGACATTTTTAATCGATTTTAATCGGATATAACCGAGAAAGACTCAACTTTTCTGGATTATTATGAAAAACTATAATTAAAATCGATTAAGAATTCACAAAAAATTGATTATAATTGATTTTTGCCAATGACAAATGAAAAAATATAGCTCGGTTTTCATCGATTACAATCAATTTTTTTGTAAATTATTAATCGATTTTAATTGTAGTTTGTCATAATAATCCAGAAAAGTTGAGTTTTTCTCTGTTATATCCGATTAGAACCGATTAAAAATGTCAAAAATCGATTGAATGTGTATGATTTAAATCGATTTTTAATCAAGTTTTAACCGATTATAATCTAATTTTTCTTTAAATATTTTTACATGGGTTCTACCCATATCGATACAGTTATTTTTGTATGCATACTGAAACTGATATATGAAAGAAGTAGAATGATGTATCATTTTAATAAATTTTTTTTATTTAAAAGAAAATGAAATTATATGATTTTCTAATGTTACTAAAAAAAGTCAAATGTCATAGGATATCGATGTTATTGTTGATGTTGTTAATATTTTAAACATTGGGAGCAAGTAATTGACGAATAACCGGATCATTCTTGCATCTAATGAAAGAAAAATAAAGACAATATTTAGTAATATGTTATCGAAAAAAAAACCCATACCCAGAAATAAATTCTGCTTTACTTAATTTCTTATCACCACTAACATCAAGTTTTGTAATAATGTCTGTAGCACGTTTCTTTGGATCTTTATCACCTTTACGATCAGTTTCACCGCAAAGATCATACTAAAAAATAAATATAAATATATTCTACTATATATAACCACAATTTTACCATAGCAGTAATCAATTTAGTAAGTTCTTTTTGATCAATTTGTCCATCATTTGAAATATCATACCTACATATGAAAAAAAATAAATTATATAGTGTACTTAAAAAATAGAATTTACATTTCAAAAGCAAGACCAAGACGATCATCAAGACTACCTTGACTTGTAGCAGCAATAGCTAAAAGAAATTCATCGAAATCAATTGAACCATCATTATTGGCATCGAATGTTTGAAAAGCAAATCTTAAAATATTATTTTATTGTATTGGATTTTAAAAAAGAAAGAAGAATTTTTTACTTGCAAAAATTGTCTGCTTTGCCTTGTGGATAGAATTGTTTGTAAACTTCAACGAATTTCTTCTTGTCGAGTTTACCGTTTGGACAATCTTTAAGAAATCCCTAAATAACACACAAGAAATAAATGAGATTAATTATATTGATAATATAACTAACCGCATGCCATTCTCGAATTTCTACATAACAAAACTAAATAAATTAATGAAATTCACAATAAAAAATAATTAATAACCTTTTTCAGAATATTTCGTATTTGCTTTAAGCATAGCAATATCTAAACATTAAAACGATAAATACAAGAATAAAAATCTTTTAAATTACGAACGTTGTGCAGTTAATTCTGTTGATGCAGTTTTATTTTGTTTGTTACCCATCTTGACAGATAATTATTAATGAATCGTAAATAAAGTAAAATTCTAAAAGTAAATAATATTTTTAATATTCTACTGTAGAAAAATGAATGTATGTCGACAATCTTGCTAATGGTATTTATAGAACAGAGTAAGAGAAGAAAAACTACCCCTCCACTTGTATTTATAAGCGTAAAAAAAAAGAAAGTTAAACAAAAGCAAGGAAGCAACATATAGTTGACGCAGTTAAATAAAACGTATTTTAAGTATAGAGTTTTTCGAAGCAACCCTCAATCGATGATTTATAGTTAAAATTAGCTTTTTACCTTTTAAATAAAAAAAAATCATGCAAATATATGAAAGAAATCAAGTGTATAAAACAAGGAGAAAAATGAATAATCGAAAGTTATTTGGAGTACCTTCAATGTCAGATATGTTAAATAATGTTAATTTTGTTTTACCCCTAAAAAAAATAATACTTGTATGGGTTATCTCTGAAGTTTTGTTGCTAGTAGTTTTTCTCTTGCAAATAATAGTTAATATTAAAATCATGAATAATATCGATCTATCTTTAAGAAATTTATCAAGATTATAAACGAGAATTTACACATGATTTAAATACTTCTTAGAGTAAGATTTATCGAATTATTTCTAATGGAACAATTTTATTCTATTACCGAAAAATCTATTCTCAATAGACATTCTAAAAATATAATTAATGACGAGTATATCCATTATGCTATCGTCAAGATTCGTCGAAAACAAATGCCACGACATATCCCCTTGATATTCACATGCAGAATGGTAGGTTTATAAAGATAATTTTCTCCGTTAGTTCTATATATAAATAATACATATATCAGTAATGACAGATTATTTCCACATTACAGTACTTTATGCACAAGATTTTCTAATAGAAATATAGAAAGAAACCGACAGATCTTGCATTGATGACAATCTTTTTGTTTTTGCAATATCGATGCTATTATTACGACATGTCATTTTAGAATTACGAATATAAACAAAAGCAATTATAATGATAAATTCAGTTCGAACAGTAGTTTACATTATATAGAACTTATTTATATTTAACCATTAAATTATATCAATTAATTGCATACATATATTTCTGTTATTTGCTTATATTCGTTATATAGCTAAAAGTTTTAAAAGCCATAGGATTAATTTTTATTCCTTAAAATTAAAACCACAGCAAAGTTAAAAAAAAGAAACACTTCTACTTTTTATGTAATGAATTTTATAAGTATTGACATGTTTGTTTTTGCTATGGTAACAGTGTATTTATTTAATGTTTAACCTTTGAAATAAATTTATTTTTTCTCTAAACGTTCGTATAATAAACTGTTAGTAAGCTAAATATTAATTGTTAATAATAAAATTAAAAATGTTCGTGATCGATCATTTTCTAAATGATATATTGAATAATTAAGCATTTGGAGCAAGCATTTGATGAATGACTGGATCAGTTTTACATCTAATAAAAGAAAAAAATGAAAAATCTGATTAATTTTAGACAAATCTTACCCAGAAATAAATTCAGCTTTTGTTAATTTTTTATCACCAGTAAGATCCAATTTTGTAATGATATCTGCAGCACGTTTTTTTGGATCTTTATCACCTTTACGATCCTGTTCGCCAACAAGATCATACTAAAAAAAACTTATTTTGTTTTCATCTGATAGAATCTTCAATTTGAAAAAAATATACCATAGCTGAGATCATAGTAGCAAGTTCTTTTTGATCAATTTGTCCATCATTTGAAATATCATATCTATGAATAAAAGAAATAAAATAAGAATTAGATCAGTCAAATAACTGTATTTACAAATCAAAAGCAACTGAGAGACGTTCATCAACATTTCCTTGACTTGTAGCAGCAATAGCTAAAAGAAATTCTTCGAAAGTTATTGAACCATCATGATTGGTATCAAATGTATCAAAAGCATGTCTAGGTGGTAAAAATACATTAAATAGTTTTAAATTGAATATACTCTTACTTGCAATATTTATCAACTTTGCCATCGGGATAGAATTGTTTATAAACTTCAGCAAATTTCTTCTTATCGAGTTTACCATTAGGACAATCACGAATGAAACCCTAATATATATATAATGGAAATTATGGATATGAACTAATATTCAATTTGATTTAACAAACCGTGTGCCACTCTCGAATTTCTACAAATAAATAATGCAATATAAAACTTTGTTAAAAAAAAAGAATTTGAAATATATTTACCTTGGTCAGTATATTTTGTATTTGCTTTAATTAAAGCAATTTCTAAATGAAATTAAATAGGAATATATGGTAATAAATACAGATACAAAACAAACGTTTAGCTGTAAGTTCAGTTGATACTTCTTTAGATTTTTTAGCGCCCATATTTGTTAGTATCTACCGATGAATAAGAAACGAAATTATAAAACAAAAATATCTCGTATTACAATGTATTTATATACGAATGTATGCGTCTTCGATATTATCTATCGGTAGGTTTATGTGAATATTTATAAGGTAGACAAAGAAAGCGAAAAATACCTTGAATATGTGTTGGTATGCACATATTATTTACGCAAGCAAGCGGAGTAAAAAAACAAAAAGGCGATTCATCTATAAAAATGAGTAAATATGACATATTTTAATGGTCTATGAATCGTGAGATAAATATGATTATTATTTAAATTCCCATGAATAATCATGATATTTTATCATGCAATGAATGTAGACTATTATTTAAAGTTAATGGATAATACCTAAGTTCTGCAACAAATTTTAAGCACGATATTTTTAATTGTATAAAATACTTGTTACTAAAGGTTTTACATGATGAAATATCTCGTGTATAATCATGCATATAAACTTATACATTGTTAGTTTGGAGAGTCTTCAGTATAAATAATAATGATGATTATTTAAAGCATTTTTTGTGGAATAAAATAATCAATATCTTTTTCTTTGATGTTATAAGACACTTTTTTCTCAGTTCTAAATATTACAAACTTCATCGAAAACAATTATAGAGTTATTATATATATATTATGACAGACAAGATATTTTATTATTTATATTTTATGCTGAATTATTATCATGAGTGTATTCCGTTGTCTTAAATGGTCACGTATTTAGATTGTTATATCGACTCTATATCATATACGTCAATGAATGTATGTTAATTTTGTAATAATCTATTAGAAATATATTGACATTTTTTATTCCATTGATGCTGTTTCCACCTTCATCTAGTCTTTATAGAAATAGTGCTATTCTGCATATATTATTTTTCCGTTGTTATTTCAAATTTTTTTAAGTTCAGGAAATATATTAAGAGTCTTTTTTTTATTCGCTCGGATTAAAATAAAAAGAACGTTAATTATGATAAAGAATGTTCAATTTTTGATTTCCATCGGAGAATTTCTTCGTAATTTAAACATTAGGAGCAAGTAATTTACGAAGTACTGGATCTTGCTTGCATCTACAGAAAAGAAAAAAATGGAAATACTAAAGCATGAATTATTATTGTGAATATATATATACCCCATAACAAACTCTGCTCTATTTAATTTCTTATCGCCAGTTGCATCAAGTTTTGTTATAATATCTGCAGCACGTTTTTTTGGATCTTTATCACCTTTACGATCCTCTTCACCAACAAGATCATACTAAACACGAAAAAAACAATTAAAGCTTTTGTTTTTCAACATTAAAGTAGAATGAAAGTTGTACCATAGCTGTAAGTAATGTCGTCAATTCTTTTTGATCAATTAATCCATCATTCGAGATATCATATCTATACAGAAAACAAATAAAGTAATAATAAAATCAAAAGAAAAATATTTGACTTTACAAATCAAAAGCAATTTGAAGACGATCATCAAGGTCTCCTTCACTTGAAGCGGATATTGATATGAGAAATTCTTCGAAATCAATAACACCATCATTATTTTTGTCAAACACATCAAATGCATATCTTAATAAATATATACTATGTGAACAACATTCAAAAGTCTTCTTACTTGCAATATTTTTGTGCTTTACCACCCGGATAGAATTGTTGATATATCTCTAAAAACTTTTTCTTATCTAATTTACCATTCGGACAATCACGTATGAAACCCTAGGATAGAAAATGATTAATAGATGGAAAGCATTAAATTTGATTAAACAAACCGCATGCCATTCTCGAATTTCTAAATAATAAAACAAAATATGATTAAAAATTATTCACGAATGTATTTACCTTGTTCAGTAAATTTCGTATTGGTTTTCAATAAAAGAATTTCTATAAATAATATAAAACAGAACTATGTGAAAAGCCATGAATTTATTTACAATACGAACGTTTGTCTGTTAATTCAGTTGATATTGGTTTTTTAGCTGCCTTATTACCCATATTGATTAATGTCTATCGATCAATGAAATATCCTTCTATAACTATTTGTTTCTTTTATACTGCGTCCTTTGTGTCTGTACGTAGGTAAAATATTGTTGATTATAATAGAAAGACAAAACGCCTTACCTCGAGGATATTGCGAGTAAAACTAAAATCACAAGAGGTAACTACAGGTAAATACATTTATATCATTTCGGTAAAAATATCATTGAAGCGTATCTGCGAGATTTTCATGGATAATTCCTATTTGGTTGTTTATATGTATAAATGAATAATTGCGAAATCTTAGATTCGAGTATTGTTTTATGTTTATTTAATGAAAAGAATCATGTATTGAGAAAATGAAAAAAAGATTAATAAAGACAATAAAAGAAATGATTAAAGCACCAACACACATCACTATAAAATAAAATTTATGTAGAGACTATATCATCATTTTTGAAGAGATGAGATTCACATTTGGAATGAATACATTCATTTAAAAGAAGAAGAAGAAAAAAGACATAGAATAGAAAGTCATTCATATTAACAATAAAAGAAAAAATAAATATATATTATTAAGGAATCATTGATTTATTCATTTTAGATGAAAATAATGTTTCATTATCTTCATCATCTGAATCACTTGCCATAGGATGATTTTTTCTTCCTTGAACACGTTCTATTCTAGGTAAGTCATTCTCATCTTGAACTAAAGGTTCATATCGTTGAAAACCAGTATGAGAGCGTGATGTTGATCCTTGACAACATTTTAAATATATCACAACCATAGCAAATATAATAGCTAATACTAAGGCTAGAAAAAAATGAATAATTTTAAGATTTTTTTCAACAAATAAAGAATTTACATACCACATATTCCAGAAATAATAAGAAAGAGTGTTCGATAAAGAACAAATTCTTTAACTTGACGATAAATTGTTTTAATATTTGTTGATGTTGAATCAACAAATGTTGAAAATGGTCCTTGTTTATCGCTATCATTGGAAGAATCTTTACGTTTTAATTTAAATTCAACATATGTTGATGATTGACTACCAACAAGTATATTTTGTTTTGTTTCGGATTGATATCTATATGAAATCAATGAATTCTTAGAAAATAACATATTTCATTATCATACCCAATACGTTCAGCTGTTATGTCATATACACCGGGTGTTATTAAACGGAAAAAATCACCATCACGATATGTAGTCACATTATGTTGATTACCATGAACATGAATAACAACACCTGATAAAGGTATTTTAGTTTTTGAATCGAATGCAAAACCACGAATACCATGAACAACCTTAATTAGAATAAAATAATTAGTTCTCATGGATAAATAATAACACTTCAAAATACTTGAGTGATATAAGCTAATAAAGCTCCTTTATTATCATCCCAATAAGATTTTAGATCTGCTTCATCAGGATATTTGGTACAACCTAATTCAATTGTTACTTCCATATCAGATGTATATGCATATGACCAATCTTGCATACCACCATCAACAACATACCATGCAGCACCATTAGTTATTCCATCACTAAATTTAATACATGAATCACCTTTATACATTTTAGGGTGAGCCTAAATAAAATTCGAATTAAATTTTTTCAAAAAAATAGATAAAAATAATTTACATGTGAATAAGCTTTAGCTAACATTTGAAATGTTTTATCATCAGGTGATTTACTTTCTTTAGTAGAAGAACCAACTACTCGATTATCATATGGATAATTAGCAACAAGAGCACCACCATGTAAATTTCCTGATAAAACAAATGGATATATAATTGACCAATGCATAGCAGCACGAACTTCGGGTTCAAGATGTTGTTCTGAATTAGTTAATTTATCTAAACGATATCCACCATTATCTACATTTTGTTTTGGTATAGCAATATCATTTTGATTTTCATTTGTAACATGTTCAAGTTCAATTTTTGGAAAATTTCGATTTAAATCAATTTTATTTGCATTCAAACGACCTTGTCCTGGAGCATGTATTCCTTGAGCATGTACTGTTTGTTTATATTCATATTCAAAACCATCTGGATTCATAGTTGGCATAATATGAATACGAACCTTTTGTAATAGAAATATATAACTAAATGGAATAGAAATAAAATCTACTTACATTATTAACAAGATGAGTAATATATTCATTTTGACCGTAATTAATACATAAATATTCAATAAAAAGAATTAAACATTCACGTCCAACACTTTCATCACCATGTATATTTCCAATATATTTAACTTCGGGCTCACCTGGTTCATGTGTAAGTGGTTGATCACTAACAATCATAACCCAAAGATCACGTTGTTCATTACTTTTACCAATTGTATATAAACTTGTTATATTCGGATATTTATTATTTAATTCTTTTAATTTTTCAACCATTGACTGATAATTATGATAAACAGGCTTATATTGTGGATCAACTAAAGCTTTAAGAACATCATCACGTGAATTATTCATTAATTTGTCAGCATAATTTGATAATAAATTATAAACATCATTGGTTGAGGAAACATCCTTAGTTGTTGTTGTTGATGATGATGTATTATGAGCAATTGGTTGTAAATTAAAATCAAGACGAAGAGCCTAAAATCGACAAGAATAAATATTGTTTATCACGAATAGAAAGATTATACAATCTAAGATCTTACACTTGTTGAATTTTCATTGGTTACATTGACATTGAATTTCGTTTGTGGTAAATATCCAGCTGCTGTTATTGTTATATTATGTAAACCAGGTAATAATAAACGCCAATAGGCACCATGTTTAACACTACGAATTGGATGAAGAATACCTTCAGCTTGAATTAATGCACCTGAAATACCAGTTCGTGTTTCAGCATCACGAATAAAACCTTTAACACCAAGATGACTCTGAAATAAATAAATGTAATTTTTATTTTCTATTTCAGTATAATATCTACCATTTCCATATATGCAAGTAATGCTTCTTTATTATTATCCCATTCAGTTTTAAGAGTACCATCACCTGCTGATGGATATTTACAGCAACTTAATTCCAATGTTATTTCAAATGCATTACTATGTAAATAATTAAAATCTTGCATACCACCTGGTACATCATACCATTTGGCACCATTTGTTATTCCTTCAGCAAATTTCTCACCACATCCATCGCCTAGAACATAATAAAAACAAATAGATAGAGTTTGTTGAATAAAAATAAAATCTGTTGTTTTTATACTTTTACTCATTGTTAAATGTTTAGTAGCATAAGTACGTGCTATATATCGAAATAATGAATCATCTGGTGATTCGCCATATGTATTAGCAGTATGATATGCGGTTTCATCATATGGATATGATGCAACAACTGAACCACCATGTAAATTAGCACTAAGAACAAAATTTTCTTTTAGAATCCATTTCATAACAGCAATTGTTTCTGGTTGTCTTCCATAAAAAAGATCAGCAGTAGAACCATTTTTCCATTGTTTAAGTGGTGTAAATGGTGATGGAAAATCTCGATTAAGATCAATATTCTTTGTATTACCACGACCGTGTAAACTACGACTATCACATACACCTTCAGCAGAACTTTCAAAACCATCCTATAATTAAAAACATAAACATTTTCGTTTTTCTATTAAATTTTAATTTACCGGATTCATACTAGGCATGATATAAATATCTGTTGTAGATAATAAACGAGCTATACGTGTATTCGATTGAGAATTAAGTAATAAATGATATATCAAAGCAATCATCATTTCACGTCCTATAGTTTCATCACCATGCATATTTGCAATCCATTTAAATTTTGGTTTTAATAATTGATTTTCATCTTGTTCTTTTTCAATGTCAGTAGTAAGTGGAGATGTTAGATGCATAGTCAATAAATCTCGACCAGTAAAACTTTTACCTACACTGAATACTTCAGCAATTTTCGAATAATTAGCTGCCCATTGATTTAAAAGACGATCAAGTTCCGTATAATGATGATAATTTTGAAGTAAATCATAAACTGCTGTATCTTTTTCAACTTGTAATGGTGATGAACGTTGACATAGAATATCGGATGAACAAATTAAGATTGTTATTAGAGAAAGATATATATACATGATGATCTAGAAAATGAATATTTTCAATAGAATTAGAACAAGCGTGTGTAGGGTATAGAAGAGAAAATAACGAATAACAGACGGTGCGCTTCTCATAACACACCATAGAGAGAAAAAAAAGTCGTATACAAAAACAATTTTCTTTCTCTTGGCTTTCTTTCAAACAGTTAATTTTTTTTTCTTCCTTCTGTTTTATAGATAATAGCGAAAGTAAAGAAATTGAAACCGTAGGAACGATATTCAAAGAAAAGGGCAATTTCTTTCTAAAATAATCCACATATACCTAAGGCAGGACTACGATGAAGACAATATAGCTGATGCATCTATTCTTATTATTAAAATGAAAAGAACTGTAATATACTAACGCTTAAATAAATCTCTGAAAAGGATTTTCATAAACGAAATAGATCTGCAGTATTAACTTTATGTACCATACCAGATAAAATCATGCACTCATTTGAATCAATTTACTTCTATGATCAGCTACTAATTTTGTCCAACATAAAGTATTCTTGAACGCCGCATTAGACAGTAAAATCAAAACGATATACTTATAATTCGAAACATTTCACTCAAAGATTGTAGATTAGCATTATTTCGAATTGATAACTGACGATAAACTATTTTTCGAGTTAAAACTCTATATATCATTCTTTGTATAATCTTCAATATATAAATGCAGGTATTAATTGTTGAATTAAGCACGGGTACATTTTAAAGACGAATAGAATTTATATGTACCTGTAAGAAAAATTTATCGTAACTAAAAGATTGAGATTAGATTTATTTTATTGTATTGAATTTTCAGACGAAAAGAATATCGGCCTATATCGGTAATATCCAATGAAATTCTTGATATTGATGCTAGCGACAATTTTATTAATTAGAATTCTATAGAAAAAATTCATTTAAACAAAAAGTATTCTATAAAAAAAATGTTCTTTAAAATAAATTCGTTAAAATATAATAAATATAAATGTTCAATTAGAGAATCATAATTTATTAAAAATGGCAGTAATATTAAGTAACATAACGAAAATCAATACAAAATGAATAGTTATATATAATCAAGCAAACTTTTAATTATTTTTTTTCTTCTTCTTGTTTAGATTAATAGTTTTTTAATGTAATATATTATGGGAAAACATCGTCATAAGAAATCATTTTATGATGTAGATGAAGATGATCTAGAATCATCACGTAGACATCATCATCATCGTCGTCGCCGTCGTCATTCAAGTGAAAAACAAGATGAAACCAAACAACGAGTACCATCAATGTTATCATTTAATAATAGTAAAAATTATGATGATGAATCGGCTTTACAATCACCACCTATCAAAAGACAACGATCATCACCATCATCATCAAATAATCCACAATCAGCATCGAAAGTTTTATCACAACTTATTGAAAATCCAGAATTTCTCGCAAATGCTGGTCCTAAAGCAAGAGAATTTGCTGAAACAGCTAGGCAATTACTTGCTAAACCTAATCTGGATCCAACGACACAACAAATTATTTGTGCGATGGCTCAGGTTAGAATCATCTTTTAATTTTGGAATTCTAACGTATTATGCCAAGAAAAAGCAGTTGCTTGTCATATATCATGAATTATGGGGAAAAAAAATGAAGATCTAAAGAATGCCACAAATAGATTTTTGAAGAACATATGTTAAATGACTATCAAAAGGACGAGAGTTTTGTTTATATGTACTCTTTTTATGCAAAATAACTTTCTAAACTGTAATAATAATTTGTTATAATATATTTTTTTTTTCATAGGCAGCAGTAAACGTTGGTAAACGACTTAGTTTTTCGTCATTAGTACCTGCTGATCAATGTGTCGATGAAACAACTGTTACAAATAGTACAACATACTCATCATCTGCTCTTCTTTCTCCAACATTATCGAATACAAGTAGTTCATCAACATCTACTACTCCTCAACAACAATCTCATTCTATTCTATCATATGAAGAGAAGAAAACATCAACAGAAGCTGAAACTGATGAAGATATTCTTATTAAACAAATGATTGGACGTGCAATGAAATTGACACAACAAGGTGATACTCGTCATGCACAACATTTACTTGGTATTATACATGAAAAATTATCAAATAAACGAAAACGAGATGCAGCTACTGCTTCTGCGTCTTCCAATAGTAATGATAATGAAAAACTTAAAATGCCATTATCTAATGATTTTTATTCATTACCATCATTATTAGATGAAGAAATAAAAAATCATAATAATAATAAAATATCACCTTCCGAATCTGAACAGTCGGTAAGTTGATATGAAAAATGAAATATGACTACAGTATTGATTCCTATGTACTTTTCTTTTATCTAGAATGATTATCAAAATACAAATTACTTTTCATATCCACCCCCACCTCCACTTCCACCACCGCCACCACCACCTCCGCCGCCATCATCAGATATAAATTCAACAGAATCAGTACCAATTACAGTATCACGTATTGAACAAGTGCAAGAACTTTTATCCAATCCATCGGAAGTACAAGATATTCTAAAGAAATTATTTTCTACGAATGAAAATCCAAAATTCTCTCCACCAGAAGAATATCAAATGCAATCTCATTTAATTTCACCATCATCATTTTATTCTCATCCTTCTGCTCCATTTAATAATACTACAATTTATCCGCCATCATCTTGTTTAAATAATCAACATCAACCATTACGAGTACTACCACCATCACAACCATCTACACCAATAGTCGGTCCCCAGCCTTATAATTCTTCACTTGCATTTATGCAGGGTAATCGACGTAATTTACCGCCTTTACAAACACCTGATCGATGTTTCTCATCTTCAAATAATAAAAACAATAATCAATTACAACAACAACCCAATCGATCTTTTTCATATTCATCATCATCATCAGCAGCAGCACCATCAAATAATAATGGAATTATGCCGTTCCTTGCTAATCCAGCTCCGCCACCGCTGAGTGCGCCACCTTTAATGAAGGTTAATCCATCATTTCAATTTCCATCATCAATATCCACCCCTTACGAAATGAATTCATCACGTTGGTCAAATACCAATGAACAACAGCAACGAGGTTTTCATCCATTTTGGTGTGCTACATGTGCACTTGGGTTTCCTCATCAAATTGCTTATCAAGAACATTTAGGAAGTCATATTCTAGTAAAATATTTCTTTATTAATATATAAATAGAAAATAACGATATGTTTCTCTTAGTGTAATGTTCCCGGTTGTTCATATACAGCATCAGAACAGCTTGTTCGAATTCATTATCAAAATGTGAAATTTTTCAATATTTTAATTTTTATATTTTTCAAAGTTTTATAATTTAGATTCATGAAAATAATGCACGTAGTCGAATAAATAATAATATACCGTATCAAACACGACCAATACAACAATCATTAGAACCACCATGGTCATTTATGCGGATGTAAATGGTTTAGCATAACGTTCAATGTATTCATTCTACTGTTTTTATAGTCATACTTCATTTAGATATGATAAAAATCATATCTAACTTGATTTTTCGGTAAATTACTTGACGTTATTATTGGTAAAATACAATCATCATTTTATTTTAGTATATGTGATAGATACTTTCCTTTATATGGTTTTCGACGATGGTGATATAAATATAAAATGGTATGTCGTCGTCATCATATTGTGTGTTTTCTTTTTCTTCTATCCGGTTGTTGAGAGATAACTACTACTGCTGCTGTTTATTGTTTAATTAAAAAATTTCTTTTCATTTTTGTGTTTTTTTTTCTATCATCTTCATTATCATCAACCTTGTGTATTATTTTAGCGTTATTAGAATGTTTTTTTTTGTGTTTACGTTCTTTCTTTGTTTTTTTTTTCATGTTATATTTTTGCTATTATCAAGGTTTTCATTGATTGTCTTCTTGAATCGTTCTTTCTCTTTCTTTCTCTCGTTTTCTAACTCACGAGTTGAAAACGAAAATTCTAAAGAAAAAAATCGTGCTACGTTTAACGTCAATTTGTATTGTATTTGTCTTATTTAATGAGGATTAACTGATGTGACAAAGGATTATTTAGATTGATTATATATCACTTGTCTTTTGTTTTATAATGGATACTTTTTTTTAGTTCGATTCTGAAATAAGAATCTTATAATTTTTTCAGGGATTACTTAGATATACAATTTTTATCCCCTCTGATTTATAGGAATAAACTAAAATATTTCTGTTTTATTTATTCCGCATTTAGCATAGATAAACTACCTGCTATGAGAATCTACGAATGATAATAGTATAGACTTGCTATTTTATATTATGAGGTTTTGACAGAAGTTTTCTGTAAATACTATTTAAAATAGAATGATCGAATAGTAAAGCTCGATATGTAACTAATAGAATATTTCCGAGTAACATCATTTGTTAGCTTCCGAAAGCTTTTGGATTTTTTTAAATAAGAAATCAAACTAAAGATAACTTCTGATGCTATTGTAAAGGCTCGTAATCGACTTTTTGTTTTATTTTCATTCCAGAAGTTTTAATAACAGATTTTGTTAGTCGCTATAAATGAGTACAAGGTCTAATCGAAATATATTGTGTATTAGCACCATAAGTCAATATTGATTTAATATCAATATTGAAAAAAATCGAAATATTCTAGGAGTGAGAAAATAGTCTTATCTACATCTGTCGTTTTGATTTAAATGCATACTCACTTTTTTGTAATGATTAAGAATAGTAAATTCGAATGTTTCAGGATGCATTTTCACTTTTTTTTCATCATGGTAACTATAACGTTGATTAGTAAGATTTAGATTATTAAATTATACGAAATTTCAATAAATTTTATCTCGTTGAATATATTAGTTCAATATATTTCATTGAAAAGAGTTGCAATTTGTTGAATATTAACAATAATTTAAAAATCATATTTTCTTTTGTATAAGATTATTAAGACTAACATTTTAGACTTTTTACATAAAATTATGTTTTTAATTAAGAAAAGTATATGTTATTAGATAAAGTATTTTGTTAGATTCAATCAGGATAGTAACAATTTATTCGTATTGATTTCAATTCGATTGTAGTAGAGACTTGTTAAATATTATGTTTATATTTAAGAGTCAATTATTAGGTAGAGGTGTAGATTGAAATTTTTTCGATTCTTTCGAAATTTTACTTATGAATAGGCATTATGTCTGATAGATGCTAAGAATTCTCTATTTTAATTTATACAAGTGCAGTTCGTATAAATATACTTTCGAACATCGTTCAGTTTGTGACATGTTTAAACGAACATAGTTGTTAGAAAAGAATGATAATATATGATGTACGAAAGAATGGATGTGCTCAGATATGTGATTATGACTTGGTCAATTGGTATTTGGATCTTTTTCCTGATCGTCGATACAAAATGGACATCTTCAAAACGCTTGTTTTCTATCCAAACAAGTAATAACCATCAGTTCGATTATGGATTTTTCATATAATATGTTTCGCTACTTTTCTGCATATGTTTATTTTCTCTCGCTTTATTTTTGTAACTTTCGTATGCGTGTAAAAGTGACTAATTTGGAAAATTATTCATAACTTAATTTTTTTATTTTGTTTAGGTAATAATCACACAATGGTTCAAAACAAAATAGTTAACAATCACAAAGAGATAAGTATAACTATCTATTAAACATCGAAACAAACTTTATCAAAAGCGAATCGATCAAATATACTCAAATTCTTCAGTAAGGTCAGTGACTTCATTTCTTAGGAATATATAACGAATTGAAATATATAAAAAAAAAACAATGAACCGTCGAAAGTACGTTTGAAGCAATATGTTGTTTTACAAAATTATTTGCATTGGACTTTTCATTTCAAATATGTCCTAGAAAACGATTAATGTTATATAAACAAATGAAAAATATACAGTCTTGTCATTTTTTAGGTTATTGTTATAAGTAAGTAACTATTTATTCTAAATCGTATTTAATAACAACGATTATAATGAAATCGACTACAGGAATTATTTCAATTAATATAGTTCGAAGAATTTCAAGGACAAACTTTTTCTCATTTGGCTGAGCATTTGATGAATTGTACTTAACTATTATTTCTTTCTATTCTAATTTATTATTTTCAGATATAAATTATGCTTTCTCAACGAGCTCTTCTTCTTCAGAATTCATTTAAAAATATTTTACACCGTTATGCATCATCATCAACAACAAGTTTAGTAAATGTTTCAACTAGTCATGATAATCAAATTTGTCGTATTAAATTAAATAATCCACGTCAACGCAATATTCTTTCCTTTGCAATGATGAATGATTTAATGAAAGCTATTGTGGAGAATGAGCAACGTTCACGTGTTATTATTCTTACAGCTGGCGATCAGACTGTATTTAGTTCTGGTCATAGTCTCAAAGAATTAGCTGAATTAAGTAAAAAAAATGCAAGTGCTTCGGTTTTTGATCGATGTACTGAACTTATGTTAAAGTATAACAGACTATTTCATAAAGAAATCCTTATTTTTCTCTTAAAGAGTTCGTCATTTATCTATACCTGTTATTGCTGAAGTATTTGGTCTTGCTGCAGCTGCTGGTTGTCAACTTGTAGCAAGTTGTGATATTGTAGTAGCAGGTGAAAATGCTTCATTTTCTGTTCCCGGTGTTAAACATGGGTAAGGATCGTTCATTTATTTTTACATATTGATAAAATTTCAATGTATTTATTAGATTATTTTGTATTACACCAGCTGTTGCTGTTCGTGAATCGATTACAAATCCAAAATTGTCTTCTTTAATGTTATATACTGGCGAACCAATATCAGCAAAAGAAGCTTATGAGCATGGTCTTGTTAGTCGTATTGTTGGTGAGAATGATTTAGAACGTGAAACAAATAAAATTGCTGAACAGATTTGCGCACACAGCCGACCTGTGGTTGCTGTTGGAAAAAAATATTTACAAATGAAAGATGAAAAAGATAATTTACTGAATGATTATAAAATCGCAACACAAGGTATGGTTGAAAATCTTCATCTGAAAGATACTCAATATGGACTTGAATCATTTATTAAAAAAACACGTCCAGTATGGTCTCATCAAAATGACACAATTTAAAAATATTATCTCAAACAGTAATCTTTTTTTAATAGTATAATTGATACATCTGACTGGATCATTCCAAATAATCAAAGTATTAATCATCTATTTTTGATCTTTATTAAAGCATCTGATGAATAATTGATATGAATTTTTAAAAGAATTGTTATTTATCTCAATGTTAATTTTTGGGCTTTTATAAAAATAAATAAATTATTAAATACATATCTTTTGATAATGTCTACTTGTAAAAAATCGATGTTGAATTATATTCTTTTTCATGATAAAGAAAGTATAAAAAAATAGTTGAATGTTCTATTAACGTTCCGTTATGATAATATAGGTTCACTTGGTAGATTTCGAATAAGTTCTTCAATATCTGTAACATTAGAATTATCAGGTGACTGTGTTTCACCGTAAATCTTCGCTGCTTTCTCAAGTTCTATTCGGCATTGTTGGAGATTACCCATTTTTTGATAGACAAGCCCAATCTTTTTGTATGTTAATGCAATATCTGGATGTATGCGTGAAACAAATCTTAACATTATTTGAAGTGATGTTTCATAATATCCTAGTGCAAGCTGATATTGAGTAAGATGAGTACGAATTTTAGCAAGACCGTTGCATATATTAGCATAAGTAGGCTCATTAATAGCATTGTGTTTCATCATAATCATTTCAGCTTGAGAATAATGTGAAAATGCTTCCAGAAAATTATTTTGTTTGTCATATTCAAAAGCAATATTAATAAGACATAAAACGAGATTCATGTGATTATCTCCATCGGATTGCTTTCGAATCGTTAAAACCTGTTTAAAATGGTGTAGTGAATTAGTAAAATCTTCCTTTTTTGAATAAGCAACTGCCAAATAATTATGAGTTTGTACCAGACTCGGATCATTAGTCAGTGATGTTTGAATTTTCATATTCAATGCATTTTTAAACGACGTAAGACTTGCCTCTATATTATTTTTGGTAAGTTCTACAAGTCCCAATGCATTATGACATTGAAATTGATCTGGATGATTGTCTGGTAATCTCTTAAGACAGTCTCGAATATAAGATTCACCCACATCACACATACTTGTATCACCTAACGAGGTGCCAATACCAAAGCACAACTTACCAAATGAAATAACATTTGTTTCTGCACGATTATCAAAGCATTGATCCTTTATGTTATCAAACGTTGCTTTTAGTCCATTGTCACTACCATCATCATCATTTGCACATAACTTCATATTAATATTTACTACACCATCTTGTGTTTCTTCTATACTGATAATTTTGAAAAGTGATCCTATCATAAATAGAACATCATTTGGATCATTATAATCACTAAGAGAACCAATCTTCGCAAATGGTTTGATATTCGAAATTTCTGGATCAGCATCAATAATAAATAATATATGTTTACATTCATTAGTTGAAGGATAATTGGACATGTATGAAACGATTGTTTCACGATTTGAATTTGTTAAAAAGAAATATTTCGGTGCAATAGTTTTTCCGTCAAAAGTTTTTAATTGTTCAAATTTTTCATTTGACATTTCTTCGCATCGATATACTCGGATAGAAGACGTACATTTATTTTGTTCAAGTTGCTTGTAGATATCATGTATAAAAACTCGACAATAAAGTATTGAATCAATTTGGCAGTTCATGAAACTATATTCTAGATATCCACAAAAGAATTGATTTTTATAAAGCCACGATATTGCTTTATCAGGTGAATAACTAACTGAAAATTCTTGAATTAAAGCTAATATTGTATCATTTCCATTCATAATATGTTGACACAAGGAAATAAAATCATCTTTGTCTGCAGAATTCAATTTCATCGAAGTTATGCATTCAAAACAGCTATCAGAAATCATATATGAAATATCCAATGCATATGAATTATTAATTTGTGGTAAAGCAGTTGAGACTGTATCTACTTGCGATGGAGTAGTTGTAGATATTTCTGGCTGTGTTGCATTAGTGTCAGACATTTCCTTGTCAGATGAAGTATCTGTTTGCGGTGGAGTAGTTGTAGGCATTTCTGGCTGTGTTACAGTGGTGTCAGGCATCTCCTTGTCTGATGATGTATCTGGCAACACATCTGTCTTCGTTCTAACTGCATTAGACAAGTCCATTTCTGATGGAGTAGTTGCAGATAATTCTGTTTCTGATACAGGGGGTATAGATGTTTTCCCGATCAGTGCATGATTAGCACGACGAACAGTTGGATTTGGTTGAAGTTGTTTATAAAGAGAATCAAAGTCTACAAAAACACCTCTGATCTAAAAAAAAATAAACTTGTTTTCGTTAACATAAAGAAAATAATTTTTCAATTAATAAATATTTCTCTAAGATAAATTTAGTTTCACTTAATAGTATTCAAAAAATATTAAAGTTATATAATGAAATATAAAATCCTGCATATTTATCAATCTATTCTTTTGTAGTAAAAAAATCTGCCTAACTGATAAATACCTTATCATATTGCTTGGCCCATTTTTCATGTTCGTCTTTCTTCATACAATAAACATAAATGTCAATGATGTGTGTTAGTTGGTGAATATCAGGCACAATTTGTTGACCTAAACTACCATTAACAATTAACGTAATTTCAACAGGTTCCGATTGAGTTTTAATATATTCTTCACATTTGTTTTTATCATTATATATTCTCAAATTTTTATCGAGAAGACGTAATTGTTGTTTCTCAATATTATCCTCTCCGGCATCATATGCAGAACCATCTAACCAAACAAGTGAAATCGTATCGACGTTAATTTTATCACTCATTTTTGTTATTATATATAAATATTCCAAGTAAAATTCTTCGCAACTATTTAAATATGTAGTAAATATGTTGGAAAAAACATACAAAATGCATATCGTAATGAGTCATCGAAACACGCAGAGAAAAGAAAATATTCATAAAATATTTTTTTTCTTCCTTTCTATCATAGAAACCATGACATGGACGCTTTTTACCAACAACGACAACACGCACATTGGCAAATAACGCGTCGATATATAAAAAATTTCAAAAATCATACATGTGCAATACAATCAGTTTTTTACGTCACTAGGTTATATATAATTTATAGAAACAGAAAAACAATTTTATTCAACAGATACTATATACAATATTTCAAGTTATTGCGTCATATATTTTTTTTTTCATCGAAAAAAAAACACCTTGAAGTATTGGTAAAGAAAAAAAAGTGTTTTTGTTTATATTTCTTATAATATATATCTATTTTTAAAAGATTCTTTTTTTTTGCTGAAATTTTTGTTTACATTTCAAATCAATCACTAGAAACTATAAGAATTTAATGATACTAAAATTTCCAAAATAAAATAGCTCAAAAATATTATACTGTTATTTCAAATCTTGTAATTGAATTGTATCACATTATAATTAAACAGACCTCGCCTTTCTTTGACTATAAACGATTAAAAGTCATGAATCAGTTATATATATTCTTTATCTTTACTTCGATTTAATATAAAATATTTTGGGCTATTCATCTCTGAATATAACATTCTCTTCTATCTCTCATGTTTGTTTGTTTCCATCTACACTCCTCTCACTTGTCTTTTTACTCCTCTTCCATATTTTATTGTTCTGAGTCAGAGAGGATATGTTGGAATGTATGTATACATGAGAGAAGACGTTGGCAGCGGTAGATACATACTGTTTTGTTCTGTGTATTTGGTGTATGTGTGATGCAGCATCATTCTTTTTATATAGATTAGTGTTCGATTATGGAATAAACTAATATTTCACAGATTGATATTTTATAATAAATATTAATAAGATTGTTCATTTTCATGCATTTTATTTTGTTTCATTTTTCTTAATGTAACAATAGACTTGGTTTACGTCAAAGTAAGATATTCTCTCACAATGGATATTTTTCTTACAGTAACATTTATCAACAATTGTTATAGTCGATTGTTCGATATGATCACTTATAGTAATATTCTATTACATCGAACGAAAACAGAAGCATAATGATCAAACAATCTTAATATGTTTATCACTCAAACCACATCCACACCCGCACCCTCAATTTGTTTCTATATAAAACAGGAGGAAAAAAATGAAATCAATTCAAAATATTTATTAATTGACATTATGAGAAAGATTTAAAACAGTTCTTAATAAAACAGTTAAATCGATATCATTTAGATCCACTGAAGTTAATCGTTTACGTATTTTCTTATATGTTTGCATACGTGATATTCGATGAGATGAACGAGGAAGTTCAACAACTTCAATTAAATGTTCTTCGTGATTAGCAAATTCAAACAAAACGAGACATCGTGAATATAATGGAAGTGATGATTGTGTTTTGTCTGATTCGTAACGCAAGCTGTGCAGATCATTTGAATATTCAGATGCGTTATAATTTTGTTTTGTTAATGATGTATTAAATAAAGTTGATTGTTGATTTATATTTATTCTAAAATTAAATTGACTAAATTCAGTATCATATTATTGAAACTAACTCGGTTTTCTCCAATGTCGAATCTTTTATTTCAATAACTTCTGTGAATTTGATAGATTTTTCAATATGTGGTACTAATGCTGTTGATATATTTGTTAAAGATGTAATTTTTGATCTAGGATAACTATTGTCTATTTCATCATTGAGCTTAGATGAGATGCTCATTTCAAACTTATTGTCATCCATCGGACTTTTATTTTTTAACATATCACAATAATAATCAACATTTTTATCATCGCATCTAGTGGCTGTTTGTAGATGATTATCAATAGTCACAATTGATATTTGTTCATTTTCTATTTTCTCTTTTTCTTCTAACAATGGTTGAGCTATATTATTTATATTCAATTCATCATCGAATGACAAATTGTTTGATTTCATGCAGTTTATGATTTTGTCATATTCTAAATTAAAGGTATGAACAAAATTATATGTCTATGGATGTGCGCACTTACCATTATTCAATTTATTTGCATTGTAAAATACAAGTAAATCATTATTTTTATTCAAAAGTAACTTTGATGTAGAATCCAAATTATCTGATAATTGTATTGAAATATCAACACTATCATTTGTTTTTCCAGCATGTACATTATTTGAATTAGATTTTGAAATAAAATCGAAAATTGATATTGTATTATTATTAAGTTCAATTATTTTTCTTGGCAGACTAATTAACTAAAATGTACAGTAGGTAATAAATTTTACTGAAACTTTTTTCTTTATTACAAATCCCAGAATACAAGTTAAATGAGAGAAAAACAGAGTTTGTAAATTTTATTATTCACTATAGTATTTTATACATAATCTATCAGAAATTGATACATATTCGAAAGCTTAGTGAGAAACATTTTTTAATAATTCTTTTAACAAATATAAGTCAAAGAAATGAATATTTGCCTGCTTTTTAATTGTTATACTAGGAAAATCAATACAAAAATTTTGATTTTTCCTCTTGGAATTTCAAGTAAATTGTTAAGAATATGTTCGTAAATGAGATATACGAATCGTGTTTTTCATTCCTATCTAAGGAAATTTAATTTTTCACTATCCATTTTTATTCTGATGCATTTAACGATAAACCCTACGATTCATAAAATTATTCTGTTAAAAACAAATTAATTTATAATAAATGTTGAGATTTATTTAAATTAAAGGACTAAATGGATGGTAAGAAAAATATTGCGAAATTTTTTACATTATTCATACATATCTTTTAAAGAGATTTTTTCTTCTATATTGTAATATAGATAGTCATATCAATTTCGATATTATTTTTATTAAAATAAAAAGTTTTCTATACATTTAACAATTTGTATAAGGTAAATGTGGTAAATATACATATTTTCTATTGAAAGTAATATGACTCATCGCGAGAAAAATAGTTATATTTTATATAAAAATAAGAGTGTATACAAAAAATTTTTCTATTCGATTGATAATATAACGCTATTTTTTTCTGTCATGACATTGATATATCTTATTTTTTCTCCAATAAGCTTTCGTCATTTTCAAAAGTGAAACAATGTTATAATTTATTCTAAGCATCACTGAAATTATCTCGTATACATACAGATCAATTAAAATTCTTCTGAATTTATTTTTCAAATGCTAAAAATCATAATTTAAAAATACTTTTCTTGATTCTTCATAATATTTGTTATTGCTGATGAAATCTTTTTGTAAAGAGAAATTTTTTTCACTGATATAAGTATTAAGCTGTAGAATAAAACAAAGAGCAGCTCTTGTTTGATTATAATTCATATAATTATTCTGACGTTTAACGCAATGAATACGTTTTTTTTTGCTCATGTTAATGATACCTTTTACTGTATATACTGTATTTACATTCATAGATTTCGTATTTTTCGAGGGCATCATATCTGATGACGTGTTAAAGGTAAAATCTGATGAGTGACTCACGTATTTTGTTATTGGTTTTTCATCAACAAATACGTTTGAGTCATTTAATGCCGATTGATAAATCTTCAATATATTACACGGTTAGAAATAAAAATTTCGCAGTGACTAGCTTTTATCAATTACATTTCTAATTACTTTTCTCGGTTTTTTAAATGAAGGAAAAGATTGTAAATTGTTTTTCTCTTTTATAATAAATTGTGCAAATGATGCTTGTGCTGTGAATAAAGTTGGTGTTGAATGAACAGAATTATATTGCTCAGGTATAAAAGAAACATTTTGATAATTTAATATGTAGCTATTTGGAAACAAATGAGAGTGTCTTAGCACAGTCGTTTCCGATTGATTGTTATCTATGCGTATATTGCCGCTGTGCATTGCTCGAGTAATTTAGAGATAATGTATTCATAAACGCAAAAAAAGAAGAAAAATATTACAGGTAGATTTTTCTTATTTGGAAAATATATAAAAATTTTATCAGAATGAATATAGCGCCATGACTGAAATTTAAGATAATTCTAGAAATATATTTAAATTTTCTTTTTTTTCTTCTTTGTATTATGTATAAACATTTTTGCTATCAAAACTGCGCATAAAGTATTTATCGTTGATCAATAATTGTATGCACTTTTATAGTCCTGACGTATAAATAATGATTTGCATTTTATATGCTATTGATTACAAATGATCACCATTAAAATATAGAAAGACAGAAAAAAACAGAGCGAAGACGTGCATTTTTTCATGGACATAGACGCCTATGCAAGTAGATGATAAAGAAAATGCAATCTTTTGCGTTCTGCTCATTCTTTTTCATATTATAGTCACCATTATTTTTTTTTGGATAAATAGAATGCAATCAAGTGTAACTTCCTGATCGTATACATATACAAACACCAATAGAATCAAACCACGATATATTATACATAAAAATATTTTGTTTTTATTAGACTGAAATAATTTTTTGCGTCGATTTTATACTAAGCGAAATCGGCGGACGGTAACGTATGTAAAAGCTTTTTAGTAGTCTTCGCAGTTTTATAAGAGCTGATAAGGAATATTAGATGTTTAAACATGCTAGTAGGCAAATACTGGGTGAGTCATAATCATTGCGACATTTAACAATTTGTAAGCATCTCAGTAAAAATAAATTATATAACTTTGATACTATTTTTTAAACATGTATCTTAAATAGTTCTATAGAAATTGTAAGAACGAATCGCTATTGGCTTATACTAATTATGAAGCTTCCATATTCAAAACAAATGAGTCATATATTGAAAAGATATCTTACCATATTAAATCTGTGAAAGACTTTTGCTTAACTACCGAAAATTATTTATATATCCTTTGTAGAACTTTCGATGGCGCGTCTTGTGAAAGAAAAATAAAAGTGTTGTCACTTTCTAAAATCAAGATATTTGCAAAACAAAAAAGGTCCTCCAAAAACTTAATACGGTGGAATATCGCTTCAATATATGACTCATTCATTTTGAATATGAGAGCCGTCATTATTATAATAAGCCATCAGAGATTACATGTGGCGCCAGGATTTTACTTCGGAGCGGCTCAGCTCCCCTAGATTTTGATTGCAAAGGGAGAAGGAAGAGGAGTTTAACCTCGTAAGTCTTAAACTTGCTTAAGAAAATCATAAGTTTTCAAGAGAACATTTAAAAATCAGGAGCTCAAACAATTTAAAGGTGGGAAGGGATTGAGTCTCCCGTCACCCTACCTCTTGGCGTCGCCACTAACAGAGACTTACCCTTGTAGTTTCTACAGAGCTTTTTAAGGTGCATCTTCAAAAAAAAGAATCAAAGTTATGCAATTTATTTTTGCTAAAATATTTACAAAGTCCCAAACCGCTTCGATACCATCGATTTACTACAGTTAATCGAACAGTTAACCGCAGTTTTTATCCTTAAAAGTTTTTCGAGCTCTTAGAAAAATACCAAATTTTGATGAAAATTACGCTTTTTACTGTTTCCCAGTGCTTTTGAGCCACTAATAGTAGCTACATCGACTGTTTTGGTTTAATTATCGAGTTTGATTATTATTTAGAGATGGCGCCACAAAAACAGCTATTTAATGAGATTACGTGACCAATGAAAAAATTGAAGCGACATCTAGCCTAATATACTGTGATTCATAGAAACTGACTTTCTTAAGTAAAAGTATGTATTCCGAGGATAAAGAAAACTATTCTGATAAAAAAGTTCATAAAAATATTCCAAAAAGAGAAAGCTGCTTCAACCGTTGTTTTTTTTTAATAACCGTCGTTCACGGTTGGTTTTGAGCTATTTTCAACGACATAGCTTTCTATGCATGGTCATGAAATACCGTTGATGGAAAACTCGGAAGAACTGAACAAAAATACTTTATACAAAAAAGAAAGAATAGAAAGAAGACATATGCATATAACTACTATGTTATCGCTATGAGTGAAGTAAAACATCCATAACCAGGACAAACAATCCGACAGTGAGGCCCTACTAGAAAAATGATCGGATCCTATGAAAATTCGTCTGAAATCCCTAGAATCCATGATACGAGATTTCGACAGAAAGTCGTCGCGTGCCGGAAAGTGTAGGGTTTTTAGCATCCCAACAGAGCCCTGACCACTCCGATATCCGACGGCGTCTCCTCGGAATCAGATAACAAGGATTCCGATGAATTCTTATTGGATACGATAAGTGAGTCGATCTGAGTATGCACATTCTTGAAGATGTGGGTCCGGATGCAGGCGCGGGTATGGATATGAGTGAGGCTGCGAACGTAGATTGCAACCGACCACTCACCTAAGTCCACCCACATCCTCACCCACACCCACCCTTGTTCGATCATAAAAATCTTGCAAATAACATAAACGGAAAAATGACATAAACACACCAACTTCAGCCATGTCATATTTTCAGTCAAATTAAAATTTTCAGGTATCTTTTCAAAATGAGACTTGAAATGCATCTCTTTTACGTATTGACAATAGTTATCATTCACTTCGATCAAATAATGGTAGGATAGAGATGAACTATAATCAAACACATACTTTTTCATAGCAGCGATCTGAAGATACATAATAATGCTTTAAGAAAAAATATCCTACTGGTATGCTTTGTCGAGTATTGCATCAAATAGATATCCATTATTAATCTGTTACACTGAATCTACTATGACAATACCATTCACTTAGCAGTAAGTAAGAATTTTATAGTAGGGTACATTTTATAAATATTTTCCACCTAAACTTTGCGATTTTATGGGACAAATGGCTATTGTATTCGAAGATAATACTTGCCATCTGCGGCCATACTAATTTCGCATTAGGGAAATATGACAGAAGCGAGATTTTAAAAAGACCTACTTTCATAGTTATGTGGGATTGAGTTATGACTAATTTAATGCATTTTTTCTCAACTTTAAAATATGTGCAGGGAAATCAAAACAAGAAGTTGTAACTTGAATATTCGCTACTATTTAGATCTAATGATTTGTAAAATATGATAAACATGTGGCTATGTTTCATTAGCATAATATCCTGGAAAAGGAGCATTCAATTCCGCTGAATTTTTTACGATATTCTATGAATCATTAAATCTAAATAATAGTAAATATTCAGGTTGAAGCTTCTTGTCCTTCGTCTCTGTGGATAAGAAAAAGTTGATCAAAAAAGCTAATAAAACGGTTGTGACTCAATTCCACATATTGATGCTAGTGAACAGTTTTAGACTCTTACTACTGTCACCGAGATCTACTTGCGAACCTTGTTTGAATCCAAACAATACACCTCACCTGTAGCTACTTCTTACTGCATACATAAGTATATGTTCTACTAAGATAGATAAATATAGTTTATTGACATAATTTAGTTAAACCAACCATGTATATGAAAAAGAGCATACGATCGGATACTTAGAAAGTACGTTCTACGCGACTGTTGGTATGAGCGACGTAAGCTGCGTTTTTCAGGGGAAGCAATAAATTTTGATCACCAATTCAAATTTTTCTATGGGAAACGATTGCTGCCTTCTGCAGTGTTTGTGCGCCGCCCATAAGACTGCTAGAATATAATCAAACTTCGTATATATATAAGGTATACCTTGAGTAAACATTTAAGTTTGCACAACGAAAGAAATGCAATTGTGATCTATGTTGTAGAAGTAAGCAAAGCGATGAAAAATGTTTGTCTTTTAATGAAAAGAAAAAAAAAAGTATTAGATTGTATGTGTAGCAATTAGTAACAAAAGCACGCTTTTGCCTCTTGAGTATTTTAAGTTATGCTTGTGTTAGGTGGAACGAAAAATCGCTCGACATATGAATGGTCGAAAAAAGCTTCTCAATTATTTTGTATTGTTTGTATTACTGTTATTTGTTACTAACCGCTTCCTATATTCCTCATCAACAGCCTTGTATATGACGTCGCAATGCAACGTTGTTTAAAGACTTCACGATCCATAGCAACGCCATCGTCATTAATTGCACACCGCTGCTTCTTTAATATTTGAAGGCTTTCGTAAAGAAAAAAAATTGTAAGAGAATCAGAAGAAACAACCGACGGCAGCTTTGCACACACTACCGAGTTAGTCAACATAAATGCATTTAACTATGCAAAAGATAGGAGAAGAGATTGAAGCAAACAAAACAACAGTATACAGTGAACAGTGTTTACTCTAACGTTTGCTAAAAATGTATACGTATATTTTTTCGTTTCACTACCCATTTTTCGTAAGTTGATTAATATAGATCATCAACAATTATAGTAAACTTTACTTCTAGGCAGAGGACGAAATATCTGTCCTTTTTATCATTGTTCTTGCTTTTTTTTTGTTATCTTTTTCTTTTTAACATTATCTATACACCTTATCTTTGCGTAAGACGTGTCAGTATATTGTTCTTGTTAGTTTTCATCCAACAGTTAATTTTTAATAGATGTCTTTTGAATATCATATTTCTTTTTTAACAATCTAATATACCAAAATGCTATTATCATTCTCTTCTATAGTCATGTCTTTCAAATAAGATGAATATAGCATATGCTACTCGTACTTCTTCTAAAGTCATACTTCAAATAGAAAATTTTTCCATCTCTATGCATTTTTGATTTTCTATTACTAGCTTGCATATGACGCTTTCAAAATAGTTAATTAACGGCGATGAATGACGTTAACGCAAATACTATTATATATATTAGTTTACTTCTGTAAATCAACTTAATAGGCAGGTAAAATTGACGTAAGTTAATTTCATGTATTTCATTTTAAAAATATTAGTTATCTCTGAAAATGATCAGTTATATTTCTAATAAGCTCTATAGATTCTAGGAAAAAAGCCATTTCAAAACGTTATAGCTAGTTTCAGAGAATTATGTTTTTGTTCATTAGTTGTTTTATCTTTATTAATTTCCGAAATGATTATTATTAATAGAAATTGAAGATTATAGTTTTTCTCATTGAATTTAGCCGCTGAAGCAGAAGACCTAAAAATAGAAGATAAAAGGCCTGAATTGCTATTTAGTTTAAGAAAATTTCTCTTTTTGTTCATGCTGAAAATTGGATCATCAATCAGCATTGCTTTGTTGCTATCGACAACATTATGTATAGTTTACTTGGCACTTTTACATCATTGTAAAAGTGCATGACGCGTCTACTGACAAAATTCTTTTTCTTGTTCTATTATAATTTAGTTAAAAGTTTTCTTATCTCGCCTCAACAGAAAAAAACACTCGCTAGAGCATTAAACCTTACTCATATTTTGTCGTCGAGAATATTCTTCGATAGAACTCACAAGGTCTCGTTGTGCATCTTCAGCATGAATCATTTCCTCAATTTCTTTTAAACGAAAGTATAGTATAGCTGCAGACTACTAATGCTTAGTCTAGCCTATTTCCTTTTTTTTAGAAAAGAAGTCATTATCTACTGAGTTATGGAAAACACAATCGAGAGTTAGATGCTGTAGCTAATAAAAGAATGAAGGGTAGCTTTTTCCCTTTCGATACATTATATATTTTATGACTATGACAGATGTCTAAAAGGTTCTCAATTATAATAGACACAGCTTGACGTACACTGCTGTTTGTAACAGCCTATAGTGTGGAATAGGAAGTAGATTGTCAATTTAAAATTTTGACGATGATATTTTTCAACTCTGATTCATTGTTATATTCTTACAGAATATATAATTATAAGTAACAGATTTTTTCTAGCGCAACTCCACATACTCGACAGTCTCATTGAAAATAAACCCAAGCAAATGTGATTGCATTTGCCAATGATGACTTCTGAAAGAAGAAAATTACATTTTTCTCTCGAAAGAATCGTATTCGCTTGTTTCTTATGCTACCATAGAAAAACAATTTATTTTGTTATCTTAAGACAGAAGCCGAGAAAAGTATTTCGAAGCCTTATCTATGACAAATGTATTTACATAGGCTGTTCTTTTTTGTCTGTTTCGTCCATGCATAGAATGTCTTAAAAGAAATATAGTAAGTGTTCGACTCGTCTTGAAGTACTTTTTTCTCTCTTTCCTTCGTTTGTTTATCCTCGGGGAATAGTAAAGCCAAGGAACTCGATTTGTTCGCATCTTATTCCATTGGTTACGTATGCTTCTACTACGCTTATCTATCTTTTTCTCTTTCTCATCTATCCGTCCGCGTATTCGCCGTATTTTTTTTTCTCCGCAATTCATGAGTTCTGCGCGAGAAACTGCCTTTTATTATTATTCTTTCTTGTCGTTTCTTTCTCGTTCTATCACTATATCTTTTTTTTTTCTTTTTCTTTTCGTACTAAATAGGGGTATAACGACATTCATCAAATATTTCTATATATCTAGAAAACAGGAATTCCTCTCTTTTTTTTCGTTCTATCCGTCGTGCATGTGCATGTATTGTTTGCAAGAATTATTTGCATTTATCTATGTCGCTAGTATCGTGCATGGTAATGCTAAACCATTATGTCATAAAAATAGAAATTCGAATATCTTATTTCAATATTATTCTAGATATTTTTCTATTTCTTCTATACTAGATGGATTAGTTTATTTTATCTGATATTTTATAAAGCTGTAAGATATTTTTATTATAATATGTTATTAATATTTAAATTAATTCCATGTTTCTTTTTATCAGTAAATTATTTACATGATTAAACACGAGCAATTTCGAGATACTGATCAATTAAAAGCAGTTGTGCCGGGTACATCAACTGTCTTTGCTTCATTACGATCACATATGTTTCCAACAACAACATATACTATACCGCAACAAACTATCGATCCCCACGCAATTGATATATCATCAATTAAAGGACGATTTGCATGGGAAAAGATAGGACTTGGCGACACCTATATGCCAGTTATTTTTCGGTATGTATCTAAAATGTTTCATCAATTTACTTTTTTCCTAAAATATTTAAGTAGAAAAATATTTTATCGAAGTGTTTCTATTATTGCTAAGTTAGATAAAAGAAAATATTTATTAGCGCCTCCATCATTCTATTCAGACATTGCTCAATTAACTATCGATTGAATGTACGACACATACGTGTGCCGTAATAAAATAGTCAGAGTAATAAAAAAAAATATATCAGGCACCCATAAAAACGTGAAAAAGGGCAATTTTTGCGTTCTGTATTGTAAATGTGAGAAAAGTGCGTGCGATAAGCTTGTTTTTTGTGTGATATATGGCATTAGATTTTCAAGCCTATATGTCAATACTGCGTTGTAACTATGTTTTAACTAAGAAAAAATATCATGACATACTTCTAATTATTTTTATCTTCTTATTTTTATTATAATACTGTACTAATTGGAAATGTACTTGAAAAAAAGTGTAACTGATATAGTGCATGCATGCCCAAGAGAAATTTAATGGTAATTTGATTCTTATATGAAGGTGTAAAATGAATAATAATTAGGAGAGAATTCTCAAAGGTACATGATATTAAACTCTAAGGAAATGTGAGAAATCAATCTGATATAAGATAAAAATGTGTTAGAATTGAATTTATTGATCTAATCTTTATTATTCATAGTATATAGATGTTTAGCTAAGAAAGTACTTATAAATGAATATTATATATATTTGAAAAAGTATCAAACTGTCAGAAGCAATCTTGAAAGTTATTATAAAATATGGAAAAAGAAAGTTTCTAATTTCCTATAACGATATCCTTTCATTAGATGTGAATAGTAGCTATTCATACTTGGAGTATCCTCTTATAAAATAACATTAATTTTAATATGAATGAGTAGTTTGCAATATATTTTCTAATGTATTTCGTCTATCAATGCCATTAAAATCAAATTACTGCACTCATTTATATATTTGGCCTTGGTTACATATAGTCTATAGAGTCTCATATGATGCACTACTTGTCTTTATTATCAGTTCGAGTTTCTATTCATACTAAAAGATGAATAAAAATGTAAATTATAAGTGAATCTATTAAGAGTGTAACTGCAAGTGACAGCAGTTGAAAGATAAAATATATAAGTCATGAATGCTTAGAATTTTTATGAAATAAATAAGCTGTTCGATGAAATATAATAAGTAATGATATTTACATAGTATCTCATTTCTCTTTGAATACTATAATAAAAAAAAATTATTTGCAAGTCTTCTATTAGTATAGATTGATGAAAAACTAATAGAACTTTTTTAATAGAAAAATATAATTAAAGTATAATAATAGATTTCTTAATCATATGTATTCTTTTAGTGGTACCATAAAATACTTTTGTGTTAAAATGCTTCATAAACTATTACCGGAATACCCCGAAGACTTTATTCATCGTTCATCTTCTTATCAATATCGAAAACCAATTGATCTCTATGCACCAACTTCAAATGAATTAAAACTATTGAATAGAATAAATGCTCATCATTCACATTGGGCATATACACGACAACCATTTAATGCTGCAGATGAGTTAGTGCGTGCTTCGGACTTTCTTCTATTGTATGATCATCTTCGAGGCGCTTGCAAACCAGGACAAATTCCACGAGCAGGATCACTAGGTTCACTGCGGCAAATTTTACCACAACCACAACATCCTATTGAGCAGTCATCAACTTTTCTTACGAATGGATCAAATGCCGCTCGTAAGCATTCACATGTACCAGTTACGTCAACGCCTATTCAAATACCATCATGTTCCACATCAGAGCTATTTCGTCAGAACGATACTTCATCAATTCCACGATCAGTAATAGCACCAGCCCCAGGACCAGTGCCAGCACCATCATTAGCATTAGCACCAGTACCAACTGTATCACATTCTTTACGGCCACCATCAAAATATCAAGCAAAACTAGCGATGTTATCTCAGCAAACATCACATTATCTTCCAGAACAATTACCGCAACAGCTACCACCACCACCACCTATGCAACAACTAATAGCAACAGTCTCAAATAGTATTACTAGTTCAACAAATACAGGTAAAAATTATAATGAAAATAAGTCATAAATATTTAACAATATTTTTTATTCTAAAAAACCGTATAATAATCATTTCTAATAATGACATTCTTATCTTATAGTACTTCCAAGTAAACCAAGTCCTGTTCAAGTCTCAATTTCTACATCTCAGTCACCGACACTGATGCCAAAAATAGCAGCGGTCCTTTCTTCGCCTCCAGATTCTGTTGTTTCCTCGTCCACAAAGACAACTAGTGGTAAACGATCAGCAACTGTACCACAAATCCAATTAGCACCGATGCTTAAACAATCATCATCAGCATCACTATCATCCGTCACAGCAACAACATCACCTTCAACAACAAAAGCAACTAATATTAATTCTGGTTGGTTACAAATAAATAAACTATACACACCATATGTATCATTAAATACATCAAATCATCATTTATATAAAATACCTGTTAGTCTTTTAACATTTTATGATCTTCTTAAATTTCCAACATCTGAAAATAATGCAACGGAATCAAAAGATACATCGTTCTCACTTGAACAAACATTAGTTACACCACAAGAAATTGAACTTATTAATGAACTATGCATAAAACAAAATATAAAACCATTTTCTATTGATACAAAACTTATTGATCTATTAACTTTTTATAAATATTGTTCAGCGAATATTCTTTTCGTTAAAGAATTACCACTAGAAGAACCAAAAGCAGCTATTTGTAAAGATTGGTCATCAATTGTACAAATTAACGGTGGAATTTGTCGTTTACGTAATATAACAACATTACATGAACAAACAGTACCATTTATTGGAAATAAATTATTAAAAAATTTTATTATATCATTACAATGTTCAGCATCAGCATCATTAACAACACCGACAACTATGGAAATGGAATTTCTTCAATTAATTTTATTTTTTAGTAATATGTCAATTAATATCCGTAATGCCAAATTAATTGATATTGAATCTGTACAAAAAGAATACAATGTTGATTTAATACTTTTATTTAATGATAAATTTCCATTAAATGTGCTCAACTATCAACATCAAGGTATGAAATAACAAAAAAAAAAAAAGATTTCGAAACATTATTTTATCTACATTTAGATAATCGACCGTCTACTTCACAAGAACAAATTGCTTCATCAAATTCTTCAGCCGCAACAAATACAGTAAAATGAAATTTTTATTTATTTATCTATTTAATAGAAAATTTCTTTTAGTTTGCTGAATCGACACCACCTCCATCACCGCCTTCACCACCAATCAATAATAATACTGTTCATTCAACATCTCAATTACCATTGACATCTTGCTCTCCCTCCTCCTCCTCCACCGTCTCTGCCACTTTCTCCACCACATCTAATTCATCAAATCGTTTCCTTAAAACAATTACATTTCATGGTCATCCAATGACAGCATATATTTGTTCCGGTCTTGGATCAAATGCTCAACGTGAATGTATTTCCGTGAAAGCACTTTGTAATATGATGTATCCCAATTCATCAATAGTGGATAAACTTGAATCAAAAATGCTTCGATTATTACGAGTGAAAAATATTAATCGATTTCGACCACAAAATCAACAAGCAATGGGTTTTACACGTTTAATTGACATTCAAGATATTGAAAAACATTGGGATTATATTGAACAAGGCATGCGTTCATTAGTTCATAGTAAGTTAAATAATTGATATAAATGAGAAAAACAAAATATGACGAATATGTATTTTCATAGATGATAGAGAAGCAATTGTTTTGCAAGATATTTCTTTATCAATATTAGATAAAGATTTGAAGGCAAGTACATTAGATAAAGTAAAAGATAACAGTAATATAGTTGAACAAGTAACTTCGGTTGAAGTTAATAAAAGTGAAAAAAGATCACTAGAGAAACAATTGGGACCGGAAGATGTATCTCTCTCGAAAAGCGTTGATAAACGTGTACGAATTTCAAGAGATGATATTAATGAACAATCAAAAATGGAACAATCACAAGCGGTTAAAACAATCAATCATAATTGTAATCATTTGGATGATAATCATAAAAATGGAAACAAGAGCGATGATGGCGACGATGATGGTGATGATGATAATGATAAGAAGAATCAACGAATTTCAAGACCACCTGTAAGAATAGTGCGTCCGCACAGTGAGAAGAATAATATAACAAATAAACTTCAACAGCAAGTTAATCGAAGAACGAGTTTATCATCACAGAAAGCAACATTACCAATGAAAAAGAAGATAAAAATTAGAAAACGGCTAACACCACGTATACGATCAACGAAACAAACACTTGCAACATGGGTTCAAAAATATAACATTGAAGAATGTTGCATTTGTTTAGATTTCTATGATCCTATTTATGATACTGGAAAACATTAAATTGATTTAGCCTTTTCTCCCTGTGGATAATAAATGTTTACGAAAGAAGATCTATACCATTTTTGCAAGATAAATCAACACACGTATATATTATTTTTTTCGTATATAAATATTGAACTGTATTTCTACATGTTTTTATTTCACTTTAATGCTGAAAAAGCTACTGCGCAAGCCTGATTGATTTTTGTTTTTTTCTTTCTCGTTTTCATGTTAACTTTGTCTATATTCGTCTATATATTATGGAACACATAAGTTCTATCAATAGTCTGTTTGCTGTTGTCGTTGTTATTATTGTTGTTGTTTTTCTTCTTCCTTCCTTCGATACTTACACTGTCTACAATTATTGAAATATCATTCTTCACAAAAAGAAATACAGTGTGTTCGTCATGAACAATTTTCAACAAACTAATATTTACTTTTTGTTCACTCAAAATTATATCTTCAGAAAACATCATGCAAATTGGTTTTACATCAGAATATATGTATCGTAAAAGAAATCTAGATGGATTGTAACAAAATGGTTACTGATAACATACTGGAAAATAAAACTATTGTTTTGGTCTGTAGTGGAAATCAAATTGTGATGAGTGCACTTGCCACATAGTATGCTACTGATGGATGAAGTCATAAGTGATCTGGGCTATTAGTAGTAATGAATGGATGTCTGGTAATTCGTTGTAGAATAACGTGCAATGATGATATGAAAGGTTTCTTAACTACATAATCGTAGGTCATTACAAGAGTTTCTATAAACTTCTAGCAAAAAAAACAAAGGCAAGATCATATCAATGAAATTTCCTTTACAACAAACTTGTCATATGTGTCATGTTTTACTTTCGGATGAAATGTAAAAAGTTAATCAAATGTTTGCAATGGATGGTTCTAGGTTATTAACAGGTGAGGAAATGTAGATAGATCGATCTAGCTATCGTTAACATAACGACATCAATGAAAACATTGAATATAAATCATGATCAGACAAACTCTGAATTAAACTTTTGGTTTCCAGCGACGCATATATGTGTTCAAGCATTTCTTATAAAAACTTGGATTTTTATAGAAAAGCCAAGAGTTGCCGACTTTTAGGAGCGAGTGTGGCAGATAGATGTCGTCGAGCTCTACCAGATGGCGCATCTTTTAACTCCTTGATTTCCGATTTTTTCTACAAAAATTCAAATTTTTTTTAGAAATGCTTGAACATATATATGCGTCGCCAGGAGGCAGAAGTTAAATTAATATTTAAATCAAATCTATGAAAAATTCATTGGATCACGTTTTTATTATAATTTCAAAACTTCATATAAAACTTGACAAATAACTAACAATATGAAGGCACCTAAAAGATTTTTTGCTTCTAACTTTTACATTAATTAGGAAAACGCCATATTTCCTTCAATAATTCATTCAAATCTTGTCATCAGTAGCTTTATTAGGAATCTATACGAAATCTGTCTATATACGCAGTTATTCTATATTTTTGTTATTAAAATAGATTCAGTTTATCAAAGGTACATAGTATTATTTCTTCTACTATTGGACCTGACTATAATGTCAATGTGATGATTTTATGATAGAAGAAGGATTAGTGCTAATGGTATTGCCCTTTATTTTATTTTTCCTTATCAAGAATCGCATCGTTATCATACAAAGCATACACTTCTATACTCATCCATGAGAGAGAATGAAAGAATAAGAAAATGATTTTGAGGACAAAATAAAATGAGGACAAAATATCATACAATGTGCAGAATAAGGACAGAAAGATAAGGATACTGCCATCAAATGAGAAAAAAACCATAAGAACAGCAAAAATTTCGTTACAGTCAAATATTGTGTTGTTCTACCTTGTATTATTTCATAAGAAATGTCCTTGAATTCAAAAGTAAATTGTCAAACTTCAACGTTAAAATGTTTTTTCTTAGTCAACAGAAATAACGATCATGTCTATCACGACGTTGATTATTTACAATGTTTTAATAAGAATTGCTTGCAATTGATATGTTAAAACAGAATGCATAATAGTTATTGAAATCTTTGCCGTCAGTTGAGACTTGGCAAAAAATTAGGCTATATTGTACAATTTGAGCTAGTCATAAATATGGAAAAATTGAAAAGTCAATATTTAGCCGAAGAAAACTTGTTTATCAATTGCAGAAATGATCTGAATGTATAATAAACAATAGATGAGACTTTTACTTACGTTACTTGTGGAAATACTCCTAATAATAATTCATTCAAAACAATGTATATATGTGAGATTCCTTTTTTGTATATTCCGAATCTAGATAAGTTACTCTTTGCTGTATAATTGATAAAATTCCAACCAATTCTTCTTCACTACTTATACACAATAGTAACTAATTTGAGATGAGTTATTCGTTCTATACTAATTTTATCATATCGTTAGTTCTGATGTATAGATTATAGACATATTATATCTAGTGGTGATTGTTCTACAAATTTAGGCTATAGACTAACCAATACTGTTTTCAAGACAAAATATTTTAAAGTACTACTCGTAATTTTCCAAGTGGTTTTGCTTTTTGTCATTTTGTATTTTTAACATGCAATGAAAAATAACAAAATTATAATTTTTTTATAATAAACTCTGTCTGCATGTTTGATAAACAAGTATGATTGTAATATTGACGTAATTACATATGAAATCAATGTAAACTGTACGTGCATCTATTTTGCATCAATACCTTAACATATAAATATCTGTTATTCATCAAAACTGATACAATCATTCATTTTTAACAAATGTATACTGCGCATATAGAACGAGGACGACAGTAGTATGATTAATCAAGAAAAAAAAATATTTTATTTCCTAACTACGAACACTATTGGCGAATGATCGAAAAAAAAGACGTAAATATGAGTCGTATGCATTATTCAATGAAGGTAAATGCGTATAACCATGTCGTCCTTGAGAGATTAATCATTTGTTTAAATCCAATACACAATAAGAAGTAATTTGATGATTGACTTAAATCAAAATAAAATAGGATTGAATATAATCTGTTGAAAAGTTAAGCTTATTATATATTATTTGAATTAAATTCAACTGTCCAATAACAGATAAAATAAAACTTTAGTATTAATTTTATTTTTACTGTATCTGTTCGCGTTCAGTAATCAAAGTGTATATCTTTTCAGTTTTTTTACCGAATAAAAACTTCGATACAACTTTTAATTAATCATCTGAGTATTTATTGTCTAGCACCTCGGTTTTACCGATAAGAGTAAGATTAAATTAACACATTTTTCATTCCATATATATGTATTACTTGATCTCGTAGATCATTAAAAAAATATATATTCTTAAGGTCGAAAATTGTAGAGACAATCGGTTGATTTTTAAACGAAATTTATCTTATTGACTTTACTCTTTTCAATAAATGAATTATATTTTTAATCATTTATCTGTCTCGAAACATCAGGAAGTCATCTTCATCATAGATAATACAAGAAGAATTTTCTAGATATAAATAATTAAAAATTATTGCTGTCACGAAACAACGGAAATCATGCATCAATAATACTACAGAACTTATTCTGCGACTATTTATTGAAGACAATATGTCACGTTTGATACAAGTTGGAAAATATTTTCTTATTATTTTTAAAAACATTTTCTCAGTCTTATTTCTCAGTTTTATTTTCTAACAAATAAAAAATGATAAATCCTATTCTATTTTGATAATTGATTATTTGTACTTAATACAAAATACAACAACAAAGTACTTCATATATTGAAATGGCAGAATATGATATGAAAAATGTAATTGCATGCTTTTGTCAAGACGAGTAAGAGACTACGTGAAGTAGAACATTCATCATTTTAGTCATCAATTCTTATTATAATATTGAATGATTACTCTAGAGACATATTTTATACCTTCAATTTGTGATTATTTAATGATATTGCTGAAAAAAAATATTTTTTTATTTGTATTATATTACAGAGTCTTATAAACTAATAGAGAAGACATACTATCCGGAATATAAATAGTACTTATCCTACTAGGATTGTTTTTGTAGCAAATCCAATCATAGGCTCGTATGTCAAATTCAATTAATTGAATAATCTTTTATAATAAAAAAAACAGCTGTGTATCTGAATATTATTTTTTTGTAATAGCTATATCATAATTGAACACCTGTAATACTATATTGTATATTATTATTTAATCTTACATCATTCATTTGATTGTGTGTATAATCAAATGCTAAATGTTTTGAATATCCTACAGCGTTTATGCGAATGTGTTATATAGGATAACTAAGTATTGGTCAATTCTAAGATGAACACACATGGTGGTTAATATGCTCGTGTAGTATTCATTATTCATTTACATAAGGAGATTGAATTAGTTTGTGTGCATCACGTTATACTAAGTGCTAATCAAGAACGAATGCATCACAGTATAGTTTGTTGACGGACTATCTATCGTCGTTTTTCTCGGCTTCATGCATACCAGCGAAACATAGACTACCGAAGGAAATTGATTCTCTATGCCTTCGAGCGTAATAGAAAGAAAAAGAAATGTCAGTCTTCAAATAAAAAAAAATAAAAGAAATGACGATATTCCGTTGAAATGAACAATATAGTACTTCTTTTCTTTCTTTTTTTTCTTCTTCTTCTTCTTCTTCTATTTCTGTTGCGATAAAAAAAACTGTTCATTTTCTCTCACGATACTGGAAGTAGAAAAAGAAAAATAATATTACTATTCAACGGATCGTCTTTCTTTGTTCCATTAATAAACGAGAACGAAAAGAACGAGAAAAAGAGAGCAAGAAAAGAAAAACGAGTGTTTTTCCTCTATATATCTTCTCGCCTATCTCATCTTAGTTGTTACTCGTACAACAGAATTACACACAATTATTGTTGTGATTATTCTTTCTTTTATTCTTTGACATATACATAGATAACACTGATTTGTAATTATTTGTCAATAAGTATGTATACAAATAGAGATTTATAAAAAACAAGAATCGTTAATCTAGATTAATATCTTGATTTTCTTCTAGTTATGAAATTAACGGATTCGTTTTATTACGAAGAAACACGTGGTCAATGTGGTCGTAAATTATTACGTGAAATTGGCGAAGAACGTCGAACAAAAATTCGTTTATATGCATATGAAAGTTGGCCAAAACCAGCTTTGATTTCACAATGGACAATTAAAACAGTCTGGTGGTCAAAAACAAAATGTCAAATTATTGAACAGCTAGGCCATCGAACAAATATTACAAAGTATGTTTATTGTCGTATTTGTTTTTCTTCTTGTTCTAAGGCGATCAACAATGAATTAAAGATGAAGATGTATGCAATTATTTTTGATTTTTATTCCCGAAGCAATTACTACCGATTTTCGTTTCAATGTACGAGGAAAATCTTTATAACTGCATATAAAAAAACGACTTGACATTCGAAAATAGAAAATAATGTTTCTTGCAGAAAAAAATTAGATGTATAATAAAGACACTCTTACATATATAATGAGTTTAATTGAGCATTCAATAGCACGTTGGACTTTCTAAACTATTGATAATTTCCATCTGCATATATATGTATATATGTCTTGGAAAGATCGATAATTAGTCGCGTTACTCGACATAGAATGTATGTGTGACAGGCAACATGAGCGTATGTTACATCGGTGAGAACAGGACGAGGTCAGCTCTTCTGTTTTATATTTATACATAATGACAATAACATGCAAAGTATAAGAAATAATCATCAGTTTTTTTGTTCAAGTACAAATACGATTATATGACATAACGTGTCCTATGCATATATTCATCAGTGTGATTGACAGACAACCACCATATTTCTATAGTTCGTCATATGAGAATTAGAAAAGAGAATAAGATTTTTTCTTTTCTGACAGTATAGAAATATATGTTAGCATCGTATCTTGTTTCTCAAACTGCGATAGAAGAATATTTATTTATACTAAAATGATCAGCGACCGAAGAAAAAATTCATCTTCGCATCGTCATCTATTAATCGAATTAGAAATGTGCATGAGTGCATTTTCTGGTTGATGACTAATTTAATTCGACCCGTAATTGTAAATGTTCGTGTATTCAATAGAGAAAAAGGAAATGAGAGTGATGGTCAATTTTTTATTATTTTATTTCATCATAGAACCATTATTATTAGTAAAAAATGTAATAGACGGACGTATACAGGAAGGAGACATTAACATGCTGTGATCTAGTACTTTTAATGAGTTTGATATTACAAAGATAAAATGTTTTTATGACTAGACAACATATAGAATCAAAGCAAGTTACACATATTGTAAGAAAGTATAAGCAATGACAGCCGTGCAACAAAACCATCGTAGATATAAATATATTGTTTATTTATGTTTCTCAGTAGGATATTAAACCTCGATAAACTTATCGAGTGTATGTTTAAAAATAAAAAAATCTATTTCTATATACTGAATGATAATGAATGCACTCTATTAACATAAATAAGTGGCAAATTTTATATGAATATTTATTAACTTATTGTTACATAAAAATCTTTTTTTTTCGTCTAGAGGCCATATGAAATGTTTGGGTAATGGTCGGTTGGAAATAACTGGACAATTTCAACGTCATACTGATGCTTGTTTTCGTCTTGTTCTATCATCACAAGTAACAGATGATGATGTAACTGATCGTTATATATTATCAGGAGATCTTGAACTCGGTGATACAAAAGATACAATGCAACAAAGTCATTTTGCTGTAGTCAAGTATGAACAAAAACAATATCATCAACATAAACATACTGTTAATGATTATTATATGAAAGCACGTCGTTTATTATTGCTCGGTTGTGTATAACTAACATAGTTGACTTTCTTTTTTTTTCTTCAATCGACAGTGACCATTATCAGTGCTTTTTCTACTAGTCATTATTTCGTTTTTCTTTATTGTCTATTTGTGTTGTGGTCGATTTACGAATAATCATCTGTGTTTTTTTTGTTTTCATCAAATCTAAATAGATAAATATATGCATAGATGGTTGATGTTAAAGAGACGAAATAATATTAAAAATTTAAATTATGAAAGCTATCATATTACATCTCAAGTATTTGCTATTTTAAGATAGATTTACGTCTTTCACATGCTATATATATACCAAAAACATATCTGTTATCACTGTAATATTATGAAACAATATACACTTCTTTATCTTTCAATAATTAAAAATTTTAATTTGTTTCTATATAATATCATTACAAATATCTTTTTACGGTTCTTCTTCTCACCGTAGATCTTTTGAACAGCTATTGGTAATAGTCAACAATAATTGTAGATATATTATTGAACGATTTGTTTGTTTGCGAAGAAATACTTCTTGTCGGATCTTGAACATATAATTTATATTATATTCACACACGGGATCAATCCATAGATGTCACTCTGTAACAAACTACATTTGACATACTTTTCTGTATAATTTCTAAAATATGAAAAACTAATTATTTTTATTCAAATTTTTACTTCAATTTTCAATATTTATATTTAACAAAGAAAAAACAAAGAGTCTATATTAAAAATTTAATTGGTTAAATAAAGAAGTGTGTCATTCTCGGCCAACAACCACTGTACCAGTCATAGAAAATTTCGTTCTCTTTTCTTAGTAGAAAGTAGAAGAAATTTTTTAAATTTTAGCACCTTATTCTATTATCATGGGTCTTGGTGGTAGTAATTTAAAAATACCAGGTGGTGGTAGTGAAGGTTTTCATGTTCTTCGTGTACAAGATGGTTCACCTGGTCATAAAGCTGGATTAGAAGCATATTTTGATTTTATTGTTAGTATCAATGGTATTCGACTTGATACAGATAATGATAGATTTAAAGAAGTATTAAAAGAAAATGTTGGTAAACCTGTAGAATTACTTGTTTATAGTAGTAAAACACAAACAGTGCGACAATTAACATTAATTCCACATGAAAATTGGGGTGGTCAAGTATGAATATATTTCGGTTTAATATATATATAAAATCTTATTTTCTTCTTCTAATTAGGGTTTACTTGGTTTAAGTATTCGTTTTTGTACATTTGATAAAGCAAATGAAAATGTTTGGCATGTCCTTGATGTTCAACAACATTCACCAGCAGCTTTAGCAGGTTTACGTTCGCATACTGATTATATGATTGGAGCTGATACATTATTAAATGATGCGGAAGATTTATTTACATTAATTGAAAGTAATGAAGGAAAACCTCTTAAACTCTATGTTTATAATAGTGAAAGTGATATGACACGTGAAATAACTCTTACACCAAATGTTGGATGGGGTGGAGAAGGTAGTTTAGGTTGTGGTATTGGTTATGGTTATCTTCATCGAATACCAATTCGAACAGCTAGTTCACCACCAATTACTAAACCACATTTACCACCGAATCCATTAGATGTTAATAGTACTGGTAATAATGCTGATAAAACTTCATTACTTTCAACAATACCATCATCAAATGTTAATGGAGGAGCAAATATGAATTTTACATTGCAACCTGCTAATATGCCACCAATAACAGTAGCAATGCCAAATTTATTTGTTCCACCACCGGTTAATACAAACACAACAGCAACAAATGAAACAATGTCAACATCAAATATTGGATTTCAACCAACATTGTCAACAACAAATGTTGAAAGTCAACCAACAATGTCAACTACAAATGATCCAAGTCAATTTGCTAAGTATGTTAAAAAAACTTCTGTTTCATCAAGTTTTTATTTTATTTTATATTATATTAAGATATTTTGGTGATATGACACTAAACCAAACATCATCAAACATTGGAACAACAAATGCTCCATCGAATTCCACAAATTTTGTTCCTACATTCACTAACAATCAATATCCAACTCCTCCTATACCTTCATCTTTTCCTCAGCAACAATCAATAAGTCCACGTCCAAATGATCAATTCCCATCTCCTATTCCTCCTCCAGCAATGCCTCCATATAATTTTGCAGCACCCAATCCTCAACAACAACAACAACACTATCAACAGCAACAACAACAACAACAATACCAACAACAACCACCACAGCAATATTTTCAACCAGTTCCTCCAACATTATTTGGCGATTCCCAACAACAGCAACAACAACCACCTTTTCAATTCAATCCTGCCTTTAATACATATCCAAATAATTTTCCAGTTCCACCACCTCCCTCTGTCCAACAAACATCACGTGCATCACCATTTGCCAATGATCAACATGGTCATTCACATGATCACGATGCAGGTGGACATGGACATAGTCATGATCATGATGCAGGTCATGGACATAGTCACGATCATAGTGGTGGCGGCCATGGTCATAGTCATGATTATTAATAGTTAATGTCTCATCTTTTAAAAAAAGCATGCTTATTCCTATTTAGTTCTCATTTGGGTTCAGTGCAGTTTAGTATACTATTGTTTATTTATTTAAAGTGAACTATTATTAACTTTTTCTGCTTTTATCGTTCTCAAGCTAGATTTATGTCTATTAGGAAACAAAATTCTCTTTTTCTTCTTGTTTTTTCTTTCTTCGATCATATTTGTTTGTTTTTATTGTTATCCTATTAATCGTTATTAAGTTTTAAAAAAGCAACAACATAAAATATTTTCTTTGTTTTCTTTTAAGATCTCTTTCTCTCAATATGTATACATATGAAATAGAATAGAAAAATCACATAAAACTAACAATGTTAATATTTAATTAAAAGTATTTCCATGGTCGACAATCCTGATAAATTATGTACAATTTGTTTACGTAAATTTGCTTCTTTACTAAAATATGATGAATCAATATGGAAAAAACAAATTGAACAATGTATTGATCAAATATATCAAGAAGAAAAAGGTCAATCAACATTAAATGATCAACGAAAACGAAAATACCATCGAACCGATGAAGAAAACATCACTCTACCAACAAATTTTAGTATCTATGAGGTAAGATTTCTCTTGTAAATGAATTTATTTTTCAATAATATCACTGAAAAATCATAAAATATAGTTCTGAATCAGTAAATTTCACAAGTACTCTTCGACACAGAATGACTCTTGTGTACTATAGGTTAAGTACGTATGATTAACATATCCACCCTCAAGATTTGCCCTATTAAAAAATACATTGCGAAAGCTATTTCGATTAGTTTTGTAGAAGATGTATTGTTGAGCATGCTTATATTTATGATTTTAAATTTGTGAGAAGTACGATTGCTGTTTTTCTATTTCGCTAATTCATCTCTTATACTAGATGTATTAATGAATTAAATATTATTATCTTCTAGGCACAATTTAAATCTATCAATCGATCTTCGTTTCTCGAACAATTTCTTCGCGGAATCTGTCCACTTAATTCCATACTATCTGAACGTCTTGCTAATTATTTAGTACGACATAATCAATTGAATGATTTCACTTTAACATTTTTCTCATCGGATATTACATGTTTGAAACGAATTGTATTGAACGTCAAATATCTTAGTCGATTACAATGTCACATGCTTAATCAACATCCATATTTAACTGAACTTAAAATTATTTTTAAAGATACAAATTCTAATCGATCAAATAATACAACAAATGAATTATTTTATCAACATATATGTCCATCAATAAATTCAAAATTTGAGGATATTTATACTGTATATGGTTCATTAATTTTACATCATTTATATTGTCGATTACAAACAGATTCAACTAGAGTATCTTTATCAAATCGATATTTATTTCAACGATCACCTACTCTATCTGAAGGATTTTCACATCAAAAATTATTAAATTCGATTTTAAATAGTTTACATCCATCGACATTTGAACGTTTAAAAATACTTAATATTGCTCATTATAAATTTTTTGCTGCTTATCATTCAACTGGTACACGAAAACATTCTCTTGCTGACATGTCACCTTTGACTAAATGGTAAGTTAAATCATAATAATATATTCGTTCATCAAAACTTTAAGTCGAACTCTAAATGCTGTGAGAATATTTTATGAGTGTAATTCAGGCTTGGTACTATAGGTTCAGAGACACATTTGATCTGATAAAATAGTGATTGGACAGAACGTCGCACGGGTAAAACATCGCAGGCGTATGGCTTGGTGAGAGTGAGGGCGAAAATCTGTGTGAGGATACATCGAATATCCACATACACTGTCCAACATCAAAAATTAACTAGCGATTCGTTTTGTACCCTGAAATGAGCTTCGACGTTCCGATTCCGTCAATAAAATGACTTATAATGTGAATATATAGATCGATTTCATTTGTATTCGGATCAAGAAAATAAGAGGATGGTTATACTTGAAAAGTCAAACCAATGAACATGAGTATTTTTTTCTTCTGAAGTCATATCATTGTATTTCCCGAAAGACTCTTAAATAAAAGATCTATTTTATCTATTCCGATAGTGCATATATGAATGAATTCAATTAGTCATTAGATATTATTAGAGCATACAGAAATAACTTTGAGTCTGAGTTTTTTGTCACTTTATAGAATATGATTCATATAATGTCTGTCATACTTCTAGTGCATTTCTGGATTTCGTATCGACTATAATTGTTTTCATATAAGAACAGACATAAAAAGATATTAGTCTGTTCTTTTGACATACCATAACAAATTATAAACGTTACTATAAACATCATAAATTGGAAAATAGGTTGCCAAAGGGGTTTTGTAATAATTTCTTGTGTTAGAAAAAAACAATTTATTTTTTCTTATATATTATCAAGATTCTTTTTTTTTATATTTTAAGTTCGACTAATTCTGCACCAATAATGACAACAACTGTAAATATTCTTCCAATAAATTTTCGTCTTATACTCAAATTTACAAATTTAACATCATTAAATATTAGTAATACTGATATCAAAAATCATTGCCTTGAAAATCTTATTGATTCATTAGAAAAATTAGATACACTTGATATATCATTATGTCGTTCAATAACCACATTTAATTGTCTATTAAAATTATCAACTAAATTAAAATGGTTAAATCTATATAATTGTTCACTAATCTATCAAAAAGATCCAACAATTTATCAAATTTTATACGAATTAAAATCTCTTGAATATCTCGATATAAGTACTGATAATAATAATTCAATCAATGATAAGGAATATGATATCAATAAATTTTTATTAGAAAAAAATTGTTTAGTAAATTTAAAACATTTAGATTTAAGTGGACAACAAAATATTTTATCAAAATCTTTGTATGAATTTTTACTTTCTCATTCTAATTTACAATTTCTTGGTTTATTTTTAACACACGAAAAATATTGGAAATGTTTATTTGATTCAACTGATTTATGTTATTCGAAATCACGTCAATATACATATGATTTACATGATATTATACCTTTAATTTTAACTGAAGATGATTTTAGTTTTCATGAAACATATCTTATTGAATCATTAAAACGTTATTATGAACGAGCACATTTTGTACAGAAAATTCTTTATCATATTTTTTTTATCACACGTTCGTATCAATCGAAAAATCAAATAATTCTTATTGAACTTATTCTTCATACAATGTCAATACATCCAACTTTACAAACAGTTCAAATGGCATCAACAGCATGCATTTATAATTTAACTCGTACACCGTTAACTGAACATATTAATGTTAAATGTTTAGGAAAAATTGTTCAAGCAATAACGAATGTTATGGAATTATATCCTAATCAACAACAAGTAGGACAAAAAAAAGTTTTTTTTATTATTTATAAGTTTATGTTGAACTTTTGATTTAGTTACAAAAAAATTGTCTATTAACATTATGTAGTGATCGAATTTTACATGAACCAAATTTTAATTTTTATCTATTAGCATCATTAGTTATGAATACTTTACAAAATTATTCAGATTTAGCAATTGTACAACCGGGTGTTGCTATATTGGCTTTATTGACAACTAGGGTAAGGATATAATACAAATATCGATGACAAAAAACGAGATTATATACTTACTGGCTTCTCCCACTCAATTTTCTTTCGATTTGAATCTAGACTTAAATAAAGATATAGATCTAAATTCTTATCTCTTGCATCGGGAATCTGTCATAAAGAATATGTTATGAAAAATCGGTTTTTCTAACTTTTATATTCTGAAACAAGCGTTTGGATGTTGGTATATATTTAATTCTTTCCTAGATGTTATCGATAAATGGGCCTTTTACATTCGTAATTCAGTATTGAGTTATTTTAGTTACTGTACTATATTTAGCTTATCTGAATTTATATGATCGATTATTTATAGTATCAATAGCTCTAATAGAAGACTTCCAAATAAAAATGAAAATCATAAAATTGACTAACAAGTAACAAAGGTTATCAATAATGAAATCTATATATGATTTCCTATAACCCATTACTATTAATGTAAATTCAAAATTTATGTTACATAATGTTTCCTATATAGTAACAAAAAGGTTCGAGATATATTTCCTATGCTGAACAAAATTTGTCATGTATTTCCGTGTAATCACTGTTATTATATTACATATGATGTGATGAGAAAACGATCGGAAATCATTGTCGTTGACTCAGTTAACGCTCATATGATTACATAAAAAATCCGTACATTTTGTTGATGTAACAAATAATCAATTAAGAATTGAAAAGCTATAGAAACTTCATAATTAGTGAGAGTGAGAGAACTATATTTTGATGAAAAGGAAACAAATTCTATTTTCACTACTTTTCCATTCAAAATAACGTTTACGTTCACAAAGAGCTTTTTGAAATTTAGTTTTATACAGAATGTTTTTTTCAATACGAATGTATATCCATTTTTAGGTGTTTTCTTGAGAAAATAATTTCGAACTGAGTTTACATATTATGGCGAAGTTAAACATTAATATGGTATTAAAGCACTGTTTGATCTGTCACTAAAATTTGTGATTATTGTTAAACTAAATAGCCTTTCTTTTTCACTAAAAAGTATTATTCTATACACTGCATCACTTCTATTAATAAGATTTGTTCATATTTTAACCTTCGAAAGCTTATCCTAATTTTCCAAATAACTTTATTATTAAAATAGTTTTCTATTATTTTAAGTTAACAATCGATGAATGTACACGACTGGGTTCTGCAACAAATTTACAACGTCTTAGTCAATTAATTGAACAACAAATAGATCGTTTACAAACAATGCATATCAGTCAAAATCATCAAATCAATGATACATCTGATCAAGAATCAAATGATCATCAACAATTAACAGGTGATGATACATTACGTTTTTGTTTAAGTCTTTTATGGAATTTAACTGATGAAAATCCTATTGTATGTGAACATTTTATACATTCAATGGGTTTACAATTATATCAACGTCTTATTCATTTATTTTCATCGGATACAATTGTATTAACAAAAATTGTTGGATTATTAAGTAATATATCAGAAGTATCTCATTTAAGAATTTATTTATATTCTATTGATATTATAACATTAATGCAAAGATTTTTAACTGATGGAATTACTGATATAGCTTTTTCAGCAGGTGGTATTCTTGCACATCTTCTATTTGAACAAGTTAATCATGAAATTAATATAGAATTATGTGAAAATATGAGAAATGCTATTTTAAAATGGCAAAATCCTGATACGAATATGGTTACATACAGGTATGAAGATATAGAAATAATCATAGATATATTTCTAGTTCAAATATAAATTGATATGGATTTAGTTTTATTCGATCACGTATAATGTTTTTTGAACAAAATAAGTTAATATACATTTGACAACTTATATTGACTTTTGTGTGATATTGCTAATCCCAAACATTTATGTTTGTCAATTCCTATATGCTTGAGCTTATACCTATCGCCATATATTTCTTTGCTTGTACATCGTGTGAAATAACAAATTAACTTAAGGAATGATTTTGTTAGTTTCTACAGAAAAATCGCTTATGTATACTTTAATATAATGTTATCTGTGAGTCAAATATATTTCACAAGTAAATGAAATGTGTTGAAATATTTTAGTGTACTTGCACAATTAATACTTTATGAAACACTTAGGATCCTCATTTTGAATTTTGCAACTTATTCCGACACTTACCACATCGCACATCGTAGTATTTTATTAGATCCTCAGAACTTTGGATAACCTTGTACAAAAAATAATGCTAATAAGATTTGTACGAGATAGAATTCAATGTTAATTGTGATTTTATTAGAAATCTCCTCGTCTAAACTATCTATAAAATTACGATATGAGGTAAATTGTAAATCATAGAAACTTTCATGACATCTACTTTTTCTTACGAAATCATTGACAAGACCATTTCAGACTTCCAAAAAAAAGTATTTTTAATGCATGTCTGATTGGACTGATTTTTGACTACTCATATTCTATTTCATTTGTTTTTGTACAATCGATTGACATTATTTTTTAGGTCATTCAAACCATTTATACCATTACTTCATTGTACACAGATTCCAGTCGTACAATTATGGGCGATTTGGGCTATTCATCATGTTTGCAGCACAGATCGTAAGTAGATAATATTGTTGAGAAAATATAAAAACTTTTTTTATTTTTTCAAAGGTGCACGATATAGTCGAATAATTCGTGAAGAAAACTTATATGATTTAATACAAAAAATATCTAATGATCAAATATCATTTGATCAATCAGATACATTTGTAATTCAATTGCTCAATTCAATTCTTCATCTTCTTAAACCATATCGTTCAAAACATCATACGAATTCATCTGCTGTTGCAAGTTAAATACGAATTTCTTTATTATTCTTTTAAAAACAAATATTTACTCATGTTATTATATTGTATACAGCACACAGTGAATAGAATATAGCTGTCAGTTGCTATTGTGATCTCATTTTTTGTCATTGTTTAGGATAAGTAATCCTGCATTTCACTGTTTCATAGTTATCTTTTTTTTTCAGTTTATCAGAAAAAAAACAAAAAACTTATGTATATATGCATATGTATATACTGATTAATTCAACCTAGCATTTCTATGTATATTTGAAGTTTTCTTTTTTTTTCAGATTACTTTTCTTCTTCATCATGGCAACACGAGGTCCGCAAACAAAAGTTCAAAAAGTTATGGTTCAACCCATTAACTTAATCTTTCGATATTTACAAAATCGATCACGTATACAAGTCTGGTTATATGAACAAGCAACAACACGTATTGAAGGTTATATAATTGGTTTTGATGAATACATGAATCTTGTTTTGGATGATGCCGAAGAAATTTTAATAAAAAAAAATCAACGAAAGAAAATTGGAAGAATTTTACTTAAAGGTGATAATATTAGTTTAATTCAACAGATACAGACATCTGAAAAACATGCTTAAAAACAAACAATTAACTTAGGAAAAAGAAAGTAAAAGAATGTGTATTGTAAGTGTGTGTAACCATTTTTTTTATACATTCTCTCGGTTTTTTTTCTATTGTATCTAAACAAGGAGAATAAACGTACTTATTATTGTTGTTATTAAAAACTAGTCTTATGTTTGTTTTTCATTAGTTAGATAGATGCATATATATATATCAGAAAGAAAAGAGAAATTGTCCTTCACGAGTAATTTTTGTCCTACTAATGAAGTGAGACTACTTTATCAATTATCCAATATTGAAGTTAACTGTTGGAAAAATATAGAAATATAAGAATTAGTTATATTATTTGAAGAGATAGAAGCTTACATTTATAAAATTCTATCACATATATATACGCGATGGTCTATCTTTTAGAAAAAAAAAATTACACATGCCGCTGAATTATGTATCACTTTAGTGTGAAAGTTATTTTCGTCCTGATAATGAATCGTCATAACTAAGTGAATAATGCAACGAATGTCTAAAGTAAATAGATTTTAGCTAGTGCTGTACTTCTTGATCTTAGTATGATTTATAAATATTAATTTTTAATAAAAAATAGTATCGATTTTCTTGCTTTTAAAATTTCGCTCTATTTTGCAGTATCATAAAACATGAATTTAGCTGTACATACTGCTCAAAACTATTTCTTCTTCTTATATGATTAAAAAATTTTTGTCGGCTTGGTTTCTTTCTGAATATTTTCATTCGCTCTTACTTTATTTAGTAAATACAATCCTCTTTCTATTCAACATTGCAAAAGAGATTACTCATGTATGCGGCATTAGTAATAGATTTTTTGCATGCATGGCTTTGATTGTAGTTGGCTGCTATTTAATTGAAAACTATTTTTTAGACATATTTATTTTGAATTTCATAAAGCAAATCTACCAGATCCGCGCCGTTTCTTTATTATGGAACAACCCATTGGGAGTCCGACCCGTTCAACATATAGAGGATCACATATTTTTGGTTTTGCGGCCAAATATTCTGGTCTACCAATTGATCAATTCAATTTCTTCCTGGCAGAAATCTTGGCATTAATTTTCGCAATATGTTTTCGACGTTATTTGCCACCTAAACCAAACAATCTAATTAAAAGACATCTCGTCGGTAAGATATATATTTTTTATCCTGAAACGGTATCACTGTAAATACATCAAATACTTTTTCGTCTATTTACAAAAGAATCATCATCTTAACACGTTGACTGACCGGTGTATCATATGTGATGCACGATACTTTGGACTGAGACGTCCCGTGCATCACATATGATGCACGCGCTGCATATATTATTTAAACTATTGAAATATAACGGCACGATGTAAACACTACCCGCGGGAGCGAGGGGGGAGGGTCCCTTCTCGATAATTCAAATTTTGGTTTTTCAACGACGGAAGCTGATTTGGAAAAAATTCTGTGTTTTTTCTAGCAAGTTTTTCTCTATAGTATTATTCTAAGAGAGACAATTGAATCATATGTGTTGCATGGAAAAAAAGCATCAAAGATATGTTTAAAACTTATTTTTGTGGTATATGAACGTAATACACTTCAAAAATAAAAAATGAACGTAGAACAAGTACTCATTTTTTTGTATGGGGACAGTTAACGTGTTAATTCTATTTTCTAGCAAGTCTTCTTGGTATTGCACTTGGTCAATTTTGTTTTGGCTCACAAATCTGGCATCTAATTCTTCAATCATGTATTTCATATTTAATGCTTTGCATTATACCTCCAAAACATTCTTACAAAGTTGTGTTTATCTTTTGTATGCTTTACATGAGTGCTAGTAAGTTCTATACATTGAATATTATCAAAATAATACATATATTTATTTGTTTAAAGTTCATATACATCGTTTAATCTATGATTATGGAAATTATACACTAGATATTAGTGGACCATTAATGATCAATACACAAAAATTAACAGCACTTGCATTTTCATTCTATGACGGTTACCGTTCTAAACAACGTGCTAAACGTCGTCGACCAGATGACGATAATGAAACTCCAGCATTAACTGAAGATCAAGACAAACAAAAAATTCTTGATATTCCACATCCAATTGAATTTTTAAGTTATGTTTTTTATTTTCACGGAATATGCGTTGGTCCATTATGTTTCTATAAAGATTATCTTGATTACATCGAAGGACGTAATTTACTTGTTATTCCAACAAGTACTTCACAACAAACTCAATCACAAGATACACCCAATGAATATCATGCTGAAACAATGCAACCATCGACATTTTGGCCAGTATTTACAAAAATTTCTCAATGTTTAGCATGGGGTTATATATTTATAAATTATACATCCGTTTATAAGATCGAATATAATATAAGTCAAGAAATGGTTAATTCACCATTTTTTAAACGATTACAATATTTATTATTTTCAACATTCTGTAATCGAGCAAAGTAAATTGAATGAATATGAATAGAAGAAAACAAAAACGATTTATTTCTCTTGTTTTTACAGATATTATTTTGCTTTTCTTCTATCGGAAGCTATTAATAATGCTGGTGGGCTTGGATTAAATGGTGTTGATGAAAAAGGACGACCAAAATGGAACCTTTTAACAAATGTTAAACCATTACAATTAGAAACTGCTACAAGTTTAAAAGTTATTTTAGACAATTGGAATATACGTAAAAATATAAAAATTGAATATATAAATTTTGATTTTCTACAGATTTTTATTATTAAAATATAGAAACGACTACATGGCTTCGTCGTATTTGCTATGATCGATTGAAACAAGGTCGCACCTTAGGTGTTTTCGTTCTATCTGCACTTTGGGTAAGAAAAAATAAAACTAGCCAATGTTAGGTCCATATATAAGGTTAAAATTAGATATTATCTCATGAGAAATGAGTATAAGATCAGATTTTATTTTCATCTCAAAAGACAAGAAACAATCTGAACTTAAACAAATATCTATCTCATGAGAACTTTAAATATCCCAAAAGGGAAACATTTATATGACAATTTTTCAAAGCACTTATTTTATTAACCTCGCGTGACAAATAGTAAGTATTACCATAAAATTTCTAATTCAAACTAGAAAAAAATATTTCAAAGTTTCAAAAAACAAAAATATTAAATGATTATTGATTTTATTTCTTAGTACCACCCAACTAAATGTAAAGCAAATTATTTATTAATAATACATACATTTCTCTTTGCTTTTAATTCTATTTTTATTCTTTTCATATAACTGTAATATGATCCAACTGAGACGAAATAAAAGATATCAATACTCAGAGGTAATTCCATATGGACTAACATTAGTCGAGTAAACATAAGAGAAAGAAACCGCAAATGACTTTTGTATATATAAACAATTATTCAATTAAATTTCGAGTTACTTTTCATATTTGTAATTAGATCGATTTTCTCCATTGGGAGTCTTATTCAAACAGAATTATTTATTTGTTTATTTATTTAAAGAACAAAACTTTACAGAAAAATAATATCATCTTATTTAGTAATACTAATATAAAGCAATATCTTCGAATGCAATAGTTTATAAACTTTGAAATCTTTATTGTCTTTTTTATTTCTAGCATGGATTCTATCCTGGTTATTACGTTTGCTTTATATTAGCTGCTTTTGAAACATATGCTGGCCGGGGTATTCGACGTCAAATACGTCCTCATTTTCAAAAGAATGAAGTAACAAAAGCTATTTACGCTTGTATTACATGGTTCGGTAGTCAACTTGCGTTGAATTTTGCAGTAACACCATTTGTTTTAATGGAAGTTCAAAAAGTTTGGTATTTTTATAAAACATGGTATTTTATTGTACCAGTTGTATCAGTTGTACTTGCGTTAACATTAAAAGGAGCAAGTACAAAAGATGCAAAGAAGCCACAACCAGCAAAAGAAACTGACAAGACAAAGTCAAATTAAAAACAAACTAAACAGATTATTTTCTCATAGTGGTGTGTTTTTTTTACGAACTTTCCTTTTTTTTCTCACCATCTCTTGCCTTTCTTTCTCATTACGATTGTATTCTTTGATATATTTCTTTTTTTTGCTCTTCATGAGATTATTTGTTCCAATAGAATCAAGAAAGCAGAAAGTTTGTTAACTAATGCATACAAGTATTCAATCAGGTATTGTATGAAAAGTGTTTTAGCGTACATCCTAAATATATGCGCATGCGTGCAAGAGAAGATCGAACGTGCCTTTAGAAAAGGTTGTTCGTTTTACTTCCTTTTATATATCTCTCATTTTACTATGAAGGTCGTTCACACAGATCAGTATTTCGAGTAAACGTGAGAAAGAGAAAGTTGAACAAAAAAATTCTCTTTTTTTCCTCTTATCATCCCATCATTTTTGATGATTGAACTTGCGTAATAACACCGATTGCCGTTAACAAGGTGCAAAGACTTCATCATATATATATAATATATATATACGTATACGTACATGTATATGTACTCAAGGATCATTGATCAAAGTATTTGTAACAGGTAAGAATGATGCTCGAGTGAATCTTGATATTTAAATAAAAAATCACTCGATTATCGAGGGTTCCAATAACATATTAACACGTCCATTCTTTGCGCTTGAGAGAATGTATATATATATATATAGTTGATTCTGAAAAACCATATTTCTCTTTTCTTCTTCATAAAACGAAACAGAAAGAGAAAAAAATGACGGCATAGCAATGTTTGATTGTTGATATCCCAAGAGAGATTCAAAAAAAAAGACCAAGCATAAAAAAACCGAGGAAGCTCGTCACAGCATTTTTATTTTCTCTCTCATTTCCCACTGTATCGGTGCATTCTTATGAGTTACTAAAAAGAATTTTTCTTGCGCCTTCATTCGTTCTTTCTTATGCAAATATATTTCCATCATCAGAGAAAAAAAAAGAGAAGCAGTATCACTTTAATCACACTCACTCACGGTAGTTAGTCGTGGTAGTTATAATGTTGATAGTAGCACTGATGGATTGAAATAGAGAGGGGGAGAGTAAGAGAGACACAGAGAGAGAGAGAGAGTCAGTCAAGAAGAAGAAAAAAGAGATATTGTTATGATAAAAAGCAGAATTCATTACGAGAACAAATAAAATCTGGCGTTGAGTTGAGCACACAGAAACATACTTACACATATATCAAGAGTCACGAGCAAAACCTATCCATCTTATAGTCTTTTCATGGACTTAAACAACACAGTAGTAGACAATCAAGGTTTGAACTTTCTTTTGTTTTATCTTATCCTATAGATTTTAAATAGTAAAATCGAATAAAAAAAATTTACTCATACTCATATATACGATAGGATACAAAGAAATCGGATCTATACAAAGTAAACCTCCGGCAGTATCGTGTCAATAACACACACGCACGGATTATTGCTTCAAGTATATGTCTTCGGATGACTTAATTATTCTCTTCCCTTTTCCATTATGGTTTCAACTATAGCCAGTTTTCTGGCTTTTTCTTTACTTTTTATTCGCTTACTTGTCGTTGTTGATATTTGACAAGAGATTAGTTTTTTTTTAAAGCTTCCTACTCATCATCAGTCGCAGCATCATTTTTTTTTGCTCACTCTATCAAACAATTTAATGACCTTCACCGGTATGTTATACATCTGTTACTTCAATTGAAACAAAATTTCATCAGAATTCATTATCTGTTTATTCTGATCTATGAGTATGCACATGATTTTTCTTTTCTTTTTCTTCATTCATAAATACATATCATTATAAATCTAGACGTTTTCTAGTCAGCTGAAAGACGTCACTATCATTATTCATTTCATTTTTTTTTGTACATGTTTGCCGGTGTTCGCGAAACATGGCGTAATGACAAGTATAAGCGAATAAGGGTGCGTGTGCATATAAGCACTGTTGACAAAAAAAAAAGGAAAGAAAGAGAGATAGACAGAGCAGAGAAGAGAGTAATGGTCGATAATAAATAGCAAATCTATAGATTGTTGCTTGCAAAGACAGAAGAGCCGAAACCAACGCATTTCTCTCACTCTCTGTCTCTCTTCCTTGTCGTTCTGTCGTTCTCCAAAAAACAGCTGCATCATCGGCTCATAACGGTAGACGCGGCACCACACACACACACAAAGTAATAGAACAGAGTAAAAGAAGAAAAAGAAAAAAAAAAAAAAAGAGAACCTCATTTTTTGTGCGCTCGCTGTTGCCTTTGCGTGTATGTGTGTGTATGTTGTTGTCAGCAGCAGCAGTCGTAATAGAAGAAAAAGAAGAGAAAAAAGAGAAGAAAAAAAAAGTTATTTCATCAAAAATGGCATCGAGTCACTGTTGCCGTCATGTCATCCGTCGGTCTACGACTTGTACAAGTCGATAGAACAAACTCAAATTTTGGTACTAAGCAAAATTATTCGCCTACTGACATCTTTTAAGAGAAGGCCGCGGACCGACAGGTGAGAATAAAAAAACCTTCGGATACTATTGTTTGCATATATATATACACACATATTACCTTTGCACGTTCCTTCATTTTATGCCTATGTGATTCGTTTTTTTTTCTTGTCGTCGATGAGTAAAATCATTAAGAGAAGTGCACATATAACTATGTGCGTGTAAAAGCATCTTTTAGACAGTATCAAAAAAAGGAACGAAGAAAGAAAAAAATAAAAGAAAACATCATATACGCATTTGTTGTTCGTGCAAGCACTGAGCAATAGATAAAAAACATACGCACATATGTGGAATAACGACTACTGACAGTTGCTCAAATTATGTGAACTATTTTGTTATTTTATAGGTGAGTTTTTTTTTGCTCTCGTCTATTTCTAAAACTATTCCATTCTGTTTATTTATTCTTTAATCTAATTTCCTTAACGGATAGATTAGTTGAGATTTTTTGACATAAACGAATTTAGAAAATTAGCATTCTTTCATCGTATCCATACACATCAACTACATAAATATATATATATATATATATTTATATTTATATATACATTTACCAATTGATGAAAGTCAGCATACCATCTGTCTAGTTCGTCTTACTATACTATTTATCTGACGTATATCCTTGCATTTGTATCGTTGTCATCGTTTATGTTTCTTTGTTCATTAGTTTGTTTGTCTTTTTACATCTTTTTTTATCCGACAATTTTTCGACAATAACATAAGCAGATAATGACAATAGTATAAATAAATAAAACAATTTTACGGAAAAAATAACACTAGATAAAGATTGTTCAATGAACCGATATATTGAATATCGAGCTTAATTTATATAGATTTAATCATCAACATTATATTTTTGATGTTTTTTTTCTTTTCATTTTTTTTATTTTTTCATGACTTTATCTACTTTTCTATATATAAATGTTTGCGATGATCGAACATAAAGTATTTTTAACATTTTGACATTATTTTAGCGATGAGAAAGAGGAAAAAAAAGAACGAGATGAAGAGAAATACACGCGTAAATATCAATTGCAAAGAAAACTGCAAAAAAAATGATGGCAGTTCTTTTACATATATATATATATATACACAATGCAATGATGTTACGTCGATAGGGAGGAACTTGGGGTGTCGACAGCGCTGTTCTTTTTCTCTTCTGTTGTTGAAGCAATGGTGTATTTGACACATGAGCGTGAGTAGTTGTACTCTTCTCTTTTTTCTCTATTCGTCTTCTGACGATGAAATAAATGAAAAAAAGAAAAAAAAAGAGAATACGAAGAAGCAAATGAGTCCTTGTTACGTTGAGCGGTTTGCGTGCCAACGATGCTTGATCAATGAATGCTTGCCGCTTTTCGTATTTTGTTGCATTACATATACGCATCATCTCTATTCCGATATATTTGCTTAAGTTACTCATGCTGTTTCTCTTTTTTTCGTTCACATAACAAAGTAAAAAAAATCGTCGCTTGAGCACTTTTATCACAATCGGATCCAATTACTACATGTATATACATGTTCAAACACGAGTCGTTCTTACTTCTATTACTATTAGTACAATAAAACAAAAATCATCCTCAACATCTCTATCTACACATCTACTCGTCCGCCTCGATTAGTTGGCATATTTATATACTAGTAGAAAACTAAAATAACAATAGTGTCGAATATCGTCCTTGTATCTGAGATCGTACACGATCTCACCATTAAGCTAAAAAAAAGTCAAGTTCTATGTCTATATTAGGAGAGTTATTAATCTTATAATGTTTGTCTGTCTGATATGTATATATATAACCAGAAATGGATTTATCTACTGACTTCTTAGGAAAAGAAAAGTGAAATGTATGCGTGCGTTCATCAACATGATATAAACGCATGATTTATGATGCAGAGTGCGTGAATTAAATAGATGGTAGGTAATAGAGTTTTAAAAAAGACGAATGAGTGACATGTCAACTAAACAGAAAGGAAAATGAAAAAGGAAAAACGATGACAGAAAAAAGAAAAATAAATACCGTATTATAAAGAATATCAAGAACTGAAGTTCTTATTATTTCTATTGCTGTTGTTGTTGTTGTTCTTTCGATGATCATATTTTCCCGACAATTATTCATTATATGACGCTCGATTTTCCTCCCTTACCCCTATTATAAGAACAACAACAGTAATAACATTTCTTCCATTACCAACACTATCATCATCAAATTCATGGTGACGACAAACATCGATATTGATCAAATTACACTATTATTCTAAATCTGCCTACTTGCCACTCCTTCAGTAACACTTTTTTTTTGCTCGCCTTTGTTTTTGTTCTTCTATAGCTTAATAGACTATAAAATGTCAATTATTTTCAACATCCTATTTTTTTTTGCCTTACTATTCCACTCTATACATGCATGTATATATATATATATCGATGTATACGTGCATGATGATGGTTAACTAATAGATTATATCAAAGATATGCTGGTCAATTTGCCAATTTTCCTTTCTTATTGTTTCTTTAATAGGATATTTATGTACCAATATATTTTCTAGATGTTAAACGACATTATATCAAACTATTTTCTTAATATGTTCATTCATACATAATGAAGTCTTGACGATACATCATAAATATACATACACACATAAATACATAAACAAAACAGTGCCATATTATTCGACAAACAGTGAGCCTTGTAAATGTCTTTCAGTTTTACCACAACGGCTGCCGATCCACACGGCACTCATCATTCGTCACCGAACAGTATGCATCCTCAACAGTATGTAACACAATTACCAGGTTCTTCATCATCATCAGCTGGAGGATCTCCAACAACCGCCGTACAAGTTCAAGCGGCTGCAGCTGCTGCAGCAGCAGCTCAAGCAGCAGCTAATATGCCACTAATAGCATCAATAGCTAATGTAAAAGATTCACGATGGTTAACATTAGAAGTATGCCGTGAATATCAACGTGGAAAATGTACCCGGTCCGAACAAGAATGTAAATTTGCTCATCCACCGACACATGTTGAAGTTAACAGTGGTAAAGTCATTGCTTGCTTCGATTCACTTAAGGTTTGTATATTTTACATATTAGATTTCGTTTTTATTATTTCTACTCATAATAGTACTTATAAGATAGATGTATATGTGTAAGCAAGAAAAAAATCGTTTTATTTCATAATAGCACTTCTGAATATTAATAAGAAATAATTCTGATTTTTATGTCTTTAAAGAAGAAGAAAAAACTGTATTAAAAATAATCTGGCAAATGTCACATAGCGGACTTGATTATTTAGAATGTAACCTATTTTTTCTATAAATATGCCCCAGATTATAAATTAATCATATAACTATTCTCTTTTAAATTAACTTTTACATATACGAATAGGACGTCTAATATTTTCGAGAAAAGAAATATGTATGATTATTTTTTTCACCTGAGAGAGCACTCTAGAAAATATTTGCTCACAGTAGGAGGACGCTCATTAACATAAATATAGTTCTATTTAAAATAGTTTTTTATGATGCAATTTAAAGTATATTCATAAGTTAAATATAAGAACGAGAACAAACAAAAAAAGAAATAATTATCAATCAAATTGAGCCAATAGTTTGTTATAAATCTTTATATCTTGACTAAGGACATCTATCAAGTTATAAACTACTTGTCAAATTGATTAAAATCATAAAGGCAGAGGCCGAACATTTTTTTTTTTATTTATTTTGTTTATCTCACGAGAGCTATTCTGTCTGAACATTCGTTTATTGAGAACATATAGAATCGAGCACGACCTTTAACGAACAGGTTAGATATACAATATGTACAGAACGAAGAGAGTCGATTTCTTTTTTTTTCTTCTTTTTCTTTTTTTTTTAAATCAGCGTTTACTCATTTCATATTGTATGTATTTTAGTATATTGCATACCCATTTCTAATCGAACAATGAAGATAGAGAATGAATACGACGAGTGACAAAACGGAGGCCTCATATCAGACATAGAGAAAGAAAAAAAAACGAACAGATATTCGAAATACACTATACAATTCATGTGTTGTGTCTATACTTGACCCGTTATCTTTCAGTTTGTGTATATAATCATTATTATTGATATATGATGATTCAAACTTAAGAAAAAAACATAGATACGATTTTCTTGATGAATTCTGAGCAAGTAAGTTAGTAAAAAGAAAAGAATTTTTTGAAGTATTCTATTGTAAAACTAAAAAAAAATCCTGTTTTATCTTGTGCACACACATATAAACTAATAGTTTTTTATTTGATATGCTGAGTATATTGGCCATGAATAGTAATAATCAACAAACGAGAAAATTCATTGTATGCTTCTGTTTTATTTTCTATTATTTATTCTATAATAATAAATTTCATATGATTTTATTTTCTATATTTTATTCTAGGGCAAATGCAATCGTACTAATCCACCGTGTAAATATCTTCATCCACCACAACACTTACGCGATATTTTACTTCAAAACGGACGCAATAATCTTATTCTTCGTAGTATTGGTATGAAAATTTTTTGTTTTTTTTGCATTTTATCATTTAATTTTCATTTTCTACTTATAGCTATGAATATCGCTGCTAATCAAGCTATTTATCCACAAACGGCAACTCATATGCCATATCCCAACGGTGCTATTCTTCAAAATCCTATTCAACAAACTGCTTCACTTGTAAGATAATTTTATATTATATATCATTATAAAAATTTCAATATTGTTTTTTCTTGTTCTATTAGGCATCCTATCCTCATATGGGACCAAATGGTCCAACCCAACAAACATTATTATTTAATCAAGCCGGTCAAGCTTTTAGCATTCCTTTACATGCAACACATTTACAACAATTACCACAAGGTACAACTGCAACTGCTATGTATAGTTCAGATGGTGCGCAATATTTTCAACCGGTGACACAATTAACTGCACAAGGAGCTGGACAAAAAGCAACACGTACCGATCGTCTTGAAGTATGTTTTTTTTATTTTTATGTGTTTTCTTCATTCCCATCATATTTTTATATCCTCGAATTTATATAGTTTTGAGAGAGTTACTGGTAAGTGAGATGTATAACTATATATATATATATATCTAGCAGCCAGGATGCGCCAAACCCATATATATATATATTTAATTGCTCCATCTGCACGCTGAAGCAGCTAGTTTTTAAAAAAAATTGAATAGATATTTAAAAATATTAACAATGACTAGCAATAGCAGCAGCCTGCCAGCCATTTTTTTTTCCTACGGATTTTCTTTTGAGCTTTAAGCTCTGTTTGGTTCACTAATCTGCTCTGAGCATACTTGGGCTCTTTGTCTATCATGTGCCGCCATTTTGCCAGCTGTTGTTGCTGCTCTCTTTACCATATAAACCAAATTAGCCAAACATTTTTTTTTTAAAAAAGAGTGAAGCTATTTGAAGCATGTATCTCGCTCATATTCATACAAACACATACACGCGCACAAACCTATATATTCACGCTGTGCGCTCGCGCGTGCAATTTTATTCTTGTTTAATTTGCTGCTCAATTTTATATATTGGTGTCATAATCTTTTTTCTCTTGACATATCTTATGGTTATTATATTGGTTTTAATTACAAGCACAAATAGACATAAAAATCATAAATCCTTATCCTCCTACTTTCATTTCTATAGGTATATCAGAACAGCAATTCAAATCATGATACCTTAAAGGTTTGTTATATTATTGTTGTGGGTGAGGGATATATCCTCTATTTTCTATGTTGTATTTGTGTGTGTGTGTGTTTATCGTTTGATCGCACACTCGACTCAATTTCTTGACGGAGAAACCACTTTAATATGATATTGATCCTTTTATTTACTTTATCTTATCTTATCTTAATATGAGTGAATTTTGAATTGCATGAAATATCATATTGTGACAAAATATTCTTTTGTTCGTCAACTAAAATTCTGTATATCCCATTTAGTCATACCTTGATCTTGACACCTTATATGTAAGTGATTGTTTCTTATTCAATAAATAAGAGCGTGTGTGTATATTTATATATATATTACTATATAACTCTAAGCAAAACAGAGGCCAGCTTGAATATCATTTAGAATATCTTATAGTAGATATTATCCTGCACCTATCTTCTTTCTATTATGTGTGGTTTTTTATTTAACATAATACCTTTGTGTGTGTGTTGTATATTATTTGGGCACTTATGTTGTTTTTGTTTTATGCTTAGTATCTACGCATTTACACATATGAACTCTTTATCTCCTTGCTTATTGCTTGCTTCTCTAGTTATTACTTTATTTTTCATATCTAAGCGCATGTTGTTTTTTGTTTGTACAAAATTTGGTTTTTGAAAAAGCAAAGCATTTTCAATATCATGTCAGCTTTTCTTTTGTGTACAGCTTGTTTTCCCCTTGTTATTGTTTTATTTCTAGGTGTGTTCAGATTTTCAGCACGGTCAATGCTTATATAATGCTGATACATGTCCATTTGCACATCCCCAAGCACATTGTCCACTTGATGCAGATGGTCTTGTTACTGTTTGTGTTGATTATGTTAAAGGAAAATGTGTTCGTGAAACATGCAAATATTTTCATCCACCTGAACATCTTGTTGCACAATTAAAACATGTTAAAGCTCAATCAGCAGCAGCAGCTGCTGCACAAGTTTTTTCTAATACAGCAAATACTATACAATATTCACCATCAACTATTCAATTGGTTCATCCACTTACAATGAACAGTAGTCAGCCTATGTTGGCTGCACCACATACTACTTATGCCTATCCTCAACAAACATCTACAGCACGTGCTTCTTCCTCGCCGTTGGTATGCTTCACATCCCTTGCACGCTTTATTTCTGCTTTAATTGAAATTTCATCTCTTTCTCTATATATACATATACTTTTTTTTCTTTTGTTCTAATCAATCATATTATTTTAACAAATCTAGAACAATATATATATGTATGTTTAACACTTTTCATTCCTTCTAGCAACAACAACAACAAAATGCTCATGAAGATGATGGAACATATGCAAATAATTTTGTTCAATCTTATCAACCATATCCAGGAACAATACAAACAATCTATGCACGAGCTCCATCTGTTGATTTAAAAGATGTAAATATATATACTTAGACAAATTATAATCAAATATATGCTATTGTTCTTTTTTTAGGCATCATTAATTAATTCAACAAATGGTGATAATGTTGGTCTGAATGGTTCTACATCATCCTCTTCATCATCATCAACAGGTGTTAAGGTTGGTAGATGAATTCTAGGAATGATTTCTTTTTCTCTTTTTGTTTTATTTAATATAATAATGTCATTGTGCAGCAAGCAGTAGCAGCCTTATTCTTTTTCTGCCGCAGATTGCCATTTGCCTTCTGTGAACATGACTTGTGATAATAATGGATGATAATGAGCTTAATTTATAACAACACAAACTATTTTTTTTAGTCAATTGCACGAAATTCTTTGGTTATATATCAATTTTTTTTAGAAGCAATCTTATGCGTGCTTAAAAAGCTTATAAAACAAAAATTTTAGCACGTAATAGAAGTTACAGAAGCTCTTTCTAAACTTATACTTCTTCTTTATTTTCAATCAAATGACCATATTAAAAAAAAACTAGAAAAGAAAAGCTACGAATATTTCTTTTAGTTTTTGTTTTCTCAAATATAAAAATAAAAACAGCAGCTTATTGTGTGTTGTTGTTGTTGTTATTATTGTCTTTTTTATTATTCTTTGTTTTGTATTTTGCTTGATGCACACATACATTCTTTTTCTCTATTCCTCTTTTGTACTAATCTAGGCAGTGATCGATCCTGTCAGCAGCAGCAGCATCACACAGCAGACAAAAAAACGACCGCTTGAAGACGATACTGCTACTACCGGTGCCTACCTGCAGCTGGTATTGCACACACGCTTTTCTATCCTTGATTTATTTTTTTTCTGTTTGCTTTGTATGCTTTGAACACTGACAAAAACAAAAACAATGAAAAAAAGAGCAAGACATTATTTTTATTTATAATAAGACAGAAAAACTGATCGAACCACAAGGGAAAATTAAAAGATTATATGCTTTAATGCTTGCTTATTTGACTTCTTTGCTTACATTCAAATATGCTTCTTGTGGTTTGGTCAGTTTTATGCATAAAAAAAATTTTAGTTAACTATTATTTCTGAATAGAAATTTAAAAAAAAAAAGAATCTTTTACTATAAAAATAACATTTATAGATAAAAAAATAAAAATATTTGGGAATAATATTAACAAAGCAAAGAAAAAAAATAAATCAAATTTTTTCTTCTGATTAAATAATTTCAAAATCAAATTTATGATATTTATTTTCTAGCCACTTGGTGCACAACTTATTGCTGCACCGCAATATGTTCAACAACAACAGTCTCAACAACAACAGCAACAACAACAGCAGCAGCAGCAGCAACAACATCAACAACATCAACAGAAACGGTCGGCTATTGCTGATCCTAAAACAGGTATACCAATGGCTGCTTATCCAATGACAGCATTTTCTTATCCATCACCATCACCATTGCCAATACAATTTCAACAACCATATTTAACAGCTGTTCCTATGACATGTAAGTGATTTTCTTCTATTTGTCAAAGCATGATAAATATTTTATCAAAACACTTTTTGTTGCTTGTGTGCTTATTTTGAAAAAAACAAAACTATCTCATATACAGATATACCATCACCTGAAATAATCGCTGCTCAGGGTGCTCTTGTATCTGTGGGCTCATCTTATGTAACTTATATTGACAAAAAAGGACAAGTGAGATATTGTTATAAAAAAAAACAAATTGTTAGGCAATAATTATGCGCGCATGATAAATTATAATCTAAATGATTGTTTTGCATATATATATATGTTCATATGCTTTCTTATTTCTTTCGCTTGTTCAGCTCAACCACAAATGAAAAGTGAGTATTAATTGTTCGAATACAAACAAATTAGTTACTTTTCACTTTTATGACAAAATAGCAGATGTTTTCCTCATAACCCTATTCTTCTTCTTCTTTGTTTTTTTTTACTTAATTACTCTTTTTTTGCATGCACTATTTAACGTTTTTTTTCAATTCATATAATTTTTGGTTTATGTTTATGTGTATGTTTATCTAGTAAATGTTGCATGATATTCATACACAAAATTTTCTTTTTAATGTGTTGTTTTTTTCTGAAATAGAATTATTAAATCAAAAATTATTTTTCTTTTTCGAAATTTTATAGTTACTGGATATACTTCCCATATGCCGAGACTTTAAATCACGCCGTTGTACTCGTCCTCAATGCAAATATGTTCATCTAGTAGATGGTAAAGATATATATATATTACAAACAAAATTTGTTTTTAGTTGCGAAATATTTTTTTTCCATAATTTTAGATTTTGTAGAAGTTAATAATGGTTATGTGTCTATTTGTAAAGAAGCTATTTTGGGCAATTGTTCTAAAACTGAATGTAAATTTATCATATATGTACTGAAGAACTTCAACGGCAAATTCTTTATTTCAACTATAATAAAAGCTGGCGTTCGAACATTACCAGTTCTAATACAACAGTTAGTCGCCCATATTAGCCATCTTTTTTTCTTTTCGTTTTTGTTCTCCTTTATCTCTTACTTCTTACGGACAAGCACGTAAGTTTTCTTTCTTTTTTTTTCTACATATACAAAAATACATAAACACATTTGGTCTTTCTTCTTTACACACATAACACATAAAACATGTATCTTTTTTCTATTCCTCTTTTACTGTTCTTGATGTTTATGATTTCTATTTTTTTTCTTGTTTGTTTGTTTGTTTGTTCGTTTGTCCGTTGTTTCCAGTTTGTGATGAGAAATTCTACAGTACATGCACATAGATATATTAATATGTGTATGAGAAAAAAGAAATAACCAAGAAACTTATAATCAGCAGTTCTATACAATTTTTTTTCCGTTTTTTTTCTATTTGTCATCATCATTTTCTTCTATTACTACTTCGAAAAAAACAAGAATAATTTTCTTCTTTTTCTTTTTATTACTTATTTGTATTCGCATCAGTTGAGAGTTGAAGACTAATTTGTAAGCGCATGCGCAGGAAGCAGCAAAATATATATATATTCAGATTGAGAAACCATTATTGAACAAGAGAGAAAGATGATTTCCGGTGTATTGTTTTTTTTTATAATTTTTCTTACTATTCACTCTCTTTATTTTCATGCAGTACACAAAAGATTGGTCCTAGTCAATCGTCTTTCTCAGCTACACATTCCGTCTTCTCTTTTTTCCATCGCTTTATAGACTGAACAGTAGTAGCTAATGACCGATCAAATAGAGTAAAGACAATAAGTCACTATCGAGTTTTCATGTCATTTTTATATGTGTATTATTGTTATATACTTCTGTTCCTCCCCAGCAATGTCTATTTTTCGTGGTGCAATAGTGATGTCCATTATTCTCCTATAACAAAAACTTATCATAAGATCAAAAATTAAAAATACTCTCTCATGCGAACAGTGTTCTGAAATTTTCGTTGTTGTTATTGTTTTCTATAATTTTTGCAATATTATCTTTTCTTTTCTTTTCTTTTTTTCTCTTCTCTTCTCTAATCTACAAAAAGAATTTAATACAAAACATAAAGCGAGCGTGCTATATGATCTCGTTCAATGTGTATTCTTTCTAATTCTTATTTGTTTGTTTGTTACTGGTGCTATTCCAGTTTCTTTTTATTTCGCACGCACGATAATTTCATCGTTCTCTTCTTTTTTTTGTGTTCATCAGTCCATAGAAGCAAAAACAAACAAAATTAAGAAATTAACTTATTGTATGTCTTTTCTCTTTTGTTTTTTCTCGTGGATAGGAAAAAATATTCAATAAATAAGTGAAATTCGATATTCACTTGTCATTTTTTTCTATTATACAAAACAAACTACTAAGCATGGCTTTATTTAATGTCTACTTCTTTTTTCACTATTAAATGTATAACGCATGTCTTTTTTGTATCCGACGCCCGCTAATGCTGCTTTTTTTATCTTTGTTTCTGTTGATCGATATTGGCGCTTTTTTTTCGTCGCATGTTTTTGCTTTCGAATCACCATCATTAGCTTGAATCACACAGAAAAAAAAGTACTAACTCGTCTCTGTTTATTCTTTCTTTTATTTGTGCACTGCTATCTCTTTCTCTCACTCGCTCGAACGCTCTTTCTCTCCCTGATTATATTGTTTTGCTGCTTCGCGTGCGCTATTATCCCTTACATGCACACACATATGCTTTGTCACTGTTATAGAAAAAAATACTACTAAATCAATACGGTAGGTTCTAGTAGATAAAGGAACAAATATCAAAATTCTTGCATTCAGATTGTTAAATCATTGGAATGAGATGAAAATATCTATGTTTAGATTGATAAAACTATAGAATATTCAATATGATTCGTTAGAAATGAATTGCATTTTCTAAAGTATAAACAAAGGATTATACGGATAAAAAGATATTAATAGAGATGTTATGGTATTAAAATATAATCCAGCTTTATTTTGGAAATACAATAATTTTACTAAGATCTTTTGCTATTAGTAATAAATCAAACGTGTTGATAATATTATTTTGTGATAAATTGATATTTAGATTGTACCATGGCATTACAGATCGGATATATATGAGTGTTTATCAGTATCTAGAGAAAACTGAATATCGTATATTTGATATGCAACGCGAAAGTCTCGACAAAAATATCATGCTCTTATCGAACCACCGTGCCAATTTTTAAATAAATCAGTTTTTGTAGAAAAAAGCACAGTCTGAACTACAAAATTTGTATTGAACATGATGTTTTTCAAGAGCAAAATTGAGAAGGGAAAAAGTCAGAAACTTTTTGCCACTTGAAAACTTTGTCTGATCGATATGGATGGATTTACAACAACAAAAACACACGAAAATACAGCTTATTCAAAGTTCTATCGATATCAACTTTGATGAAAACTCTTAGATCGATTATTGATTCTTTAAGTAATACAGTTTGAAAGTTGATATTAACACTAACTGTCATTTTGCAAAAACATAAATCACCGTTTTCGGAAATCATATGTATTGTTTATTCAAAACGATGTATTTTATAAAAGCTCAATAGAAAAAAAATAATTCAAGAGATTGTTTTTTTGTCACTACAAAACAGTCAGGTAGAAAGAATGGTCACATTTTACACTCTCTTTCAGAAAAAGCTGTATATTTTTCATTTCATTTCTAAGATAAAATAATATAAAGCGATGTTTCATTTTTGGCGTTACCTCTTCCTACGCAAATTCATTCTTAAAAAATATGTCCGATATAAAACTTGTTGTTCAAACTTTGCACTTTTCTACAAAATCTAAATTTAACTCATTTAAAGGTCGACAGTATGATTGAACAGAATTTGACATTTTTGCCTAGACTTTGGCATTGCATGTTATCAATAATCCTACTTGCTGCACTTTATAATCTATCTTCTTTTACGTAGGAAGTAAATTAAGTATGTTCTTAGTTCGATCAACATACAAATACACATCACCATCTTTTTCTTACTACTCTATAATTAACTTGAGTCAGTTTTTAATTATTTGTGTCATAACATCAACATTAAAGGAATAAGAAAATGTTTCTTATGCGTTCAAATGATTTTCAATTTATCACAAAATTTTGTAGATTTAATAATAACAGCAAAGATTAACAAGTTATTTAAATGCATATTTTCATTGAATATCAACTATTTTTCCTAGACAATCAATCATTTTTTCATAGTCTCGTATTATGACTGATTATTACTCAAAATTTTATTCATTTTTCAAAATCTAATTGTCTGTAAAAAAAACCTTTTTACAATTTTATGCCATCACAAAATGTCTAATAACTTCTTTTACATTCTATTTTCATTGACGTCTTTTCCATATCTAATTTCCTATTCATTTGAAGTCTACTAATTCATCAACGTCCTATCAATCATTTTGCTTTTCTTGATTATTTTTCATTACAAATGACTGACATTCTTGAAGTAATCATAAATAGAATGTTTTCTACTTCCTTTTGTTTTTTCTGCGAAGTAGTAGACTTTTTAATCTCTCATATAATTATAAATTTATTTTAAATTAAATAGATATGACAAATGACATATAAGATAAAGTATTTTCTATTTGGTTCCTGTGCAAGTAAACATACCAACATGTGTTAAAGATTAGTTTAATATAAAAATACTTTCTATCATTATCATAGCACGTAGTCACGAGCAAGAAGACATTTACATATAAAATTTGCATGTGATGCATTCATTTTGTTTTCTTTGAAATAGGATCGTAATAAACACATATTAACTTTGTTTCTACGCAGATCTTATTCGTTATTTCTTAAGACATACATTCAAGGATAGTCAACTATGAAATATTAATGCGCATGAATGACTCAATATATAAGATTTGTTTTTTGTTTATGATAATATTAGCGTATTATATTTTGTATAGTGATACTATTTTTAAATATCAAGGTTACATGAGAATTTATGTGTGACCTATTTTTTTTTGTAAGATTCAATAGAAATGAAAATAACAGTAATATTAAACTGAATTATTTTATCAGCATTAATTACATATAACCAATACAATCGGAAATTGATCTTGTATTCATACAATGATGAATTAGAAACTGTCAATAGATAAAAAAAGAATGAAATATCCATATCGAATGTTTTAATCATATTCTTTTTTTTTATTTATAAGACACAAATGAAAGAAAAACGTGAAGAAGGTGCGTTGATAAACTTACAATTCGTGCACACTTGTCGCTCATTATAGACATACACTCACATAAATACGCATATACATAATACGAATAAATACATAGTAATAGAAGGATGACAAAACACGAACAATGAAATAAAAATGGACGTATGTGAAAAGGAAACGAAATTTTTTTTTTTTATTTCAATGTAAATATATGTATAAGGATTAGGAATAGATCTGAATAAAATGATTCCGACAAAGATGCGGAAGACAAGCGGTGTATCTCATCGCTTAAATATTTATTTCGATCACGAGAAACAAAAAAACTAATTTGCTGTTTTGTCTTATATTTAGATCTTTAATAAATAAGCTTAGAGTCAATCTGTATTCGACCAAAGGGATTTATGATAGATGTCAATGAAATGAAAACCGATTGCACGAAAAAGAAAAAAAAAAGAACAATACGCACAATAATAAGCAGCATGAAGAAAAAAAAAGAAAAGAAAAAAACAATAACTAAACTGCAGGACGATGAGCAAACTTTATACGATTAGATTCTATTGCTGATGGATCATCATTTATTGGTAATGGTGGATTAGTTAAAGATATATTAGATGTTGATGAAAGAGATGATGTGGATGATGATGATGATTGCTGTTGTTGTTGTTGTTGTTGTTGCGAAACATTTGATTTAACATCTAAATTAAATTTTTCAAGATTATTTATTTGTGAATATGTTAATCTCTAGTGATCATCATATGTCAAATCAAAATGGATGTTTTATTCTCTAGAGAATATAATAGAAAGAAAAATCACTGATAAGAGAAATTCTCATGGGAAATGTTGTAAGATATAAAAAGCACTCGTTTTTCTACATTACATGAAGAATTTGTATTGCCAAATAAGGATGAAATAAATGATGCGTTAGAACGATTTGTTGCTGTTGTTGTTGTTGTTGAATTAGTATTTGTATTAATAGGACGATTTTCATTTGTTTGTCGTCGTTGTTTAGCTAAACGATCTTTACTTGTTAAAAATAATGTTTGAATTTCTTCACATAATTTTTTAAAACGTCTTGCTTGTCCTTTGAAATTCAAAAATATAGGAAATATTAGAATTAATTTTTATTCTTTACCAGTTATCAGAGTAAATGTAACATAATAACTATCTGTTGCTGATGAATCATTCGATTTAACTGTACAAATTTCAACATGAAAACGTATATTACGTTGAAACATTGATGAACGATCAGCTCGACGATATTCACATCGATATTGAGTGCCAGATAAAACATTATGTACCAAATCAGGTGTCTTTTAAAATGAAAATATTTTATGTATAGAGATTAAAATTAGATTTTAAACTTACAGATAAAAATGCATGAATAAGATCAGTTTTAATAGCTGATAATGGTCGATCTTTAACAACAATCATATGATGATCTTCTTGCATAGCATCGATAATATGATGAAATAATGATTTTTTTGTTGCTTCAGGTGTTGTACCATATTGTGATGGTGAATTTGATGTTGTTGTACTATCACTTTCAGTTACTAGAGAACGGGGAAAAAATAAGAAGATACAAACAAAGGAAATTAATTTTTACATAAAACTTTTGGTCGTCGATGAAATCTTGGTGTACCAACATTTTGAAAACTTTGTTTTAAATTAGTTAATTTATGTCTCCATTGATTATTATTCATTGATGATGAAGCAATTGAAGAATTGCTATTATTATTAACATTATTATTATTTGATAGAATCGATGGTGATAGTTCCATATTCATTGATTCTGATGTTGTTGATGCTGAAGTTGATTGTTGTCGTGTTGGATGATAAGTTACTGTACCATTATTAATAATAGTCGCATTATTTGTTGTTAAATCTTTAATAGCAGATGCATATGATTGATCACTAATACTATTACAAGCTATTGATTGTGTTGATGGTTGTGTTGTAAGAATATTATCATTTTGTGAAACAGTTGATGTATTACGATGATGACGATGAATATGATGTTGAGTTGATGGAGGCGTTTGAACAGATGATATTTGATTTTCAACTGAAGTTTTACCAGTTGTAAATGCAGTAATTTTTGAAAAAACATCTTTTTTAACGATTGTTGGTGATGAACATGGACTAACTGATGGAGTATTATTTGCCGAAATTGTTTTATTACTAAAAGCAAAAACATTTATATAAGTCAAGATTGTCATATAACCTTGAGAATTAATAGATTCTATTTACCTAACATTTGAATAGAGTTTTCTTCGTGATACTAATGGAGAACCTTCAGTTAATTGTCCAATTGTACTAGTTCGATAGCCACTTGAGTTAGGAATTTGTCCATTTGAACGTTGACGATCAACACGTTTGAGTGGAACATCCGCTGTAAACAATAAATTAGCTAATTAACATATATATAAATATCATATTCTTACGTGAGCCAGAACGACTTCGTTGTTTTGTATCATCTGTATCGTCAACAGTTGGTTGACGTAATTTACGATCCAATAAAAGAAAATAAATAACTTTTTCTGTGTTATGTCTATAAAAAGAAAAGGAAATTTATAAATAATTTTCTTTTTAGAAAGTATATTTTTATACTTTGAATTTAATAATCCTTCAAGTAATCGTTGTCGATCTTTAAAACAACCAAGTGATGTCATAGCTGCAAAGACATCTGTATCAATATCTTCCTCTTTCGGAATGATTATTGTCTATAATAACAACAAGAAATATATAATTAATAGTTTCGTTCTTTATCTTAATCACATACTTGAACAACTTGTACCATGGGTAATTCAAGTTCAAGATCAGCTTTTGAACCCCTATATTAAAATAAGCATATTGTCATATCTATCAGTTTCATACAAGCAAACAAATACAATATCGAATACAATTAGTTACATCAACAAAGTTACAAACATTTCTCTTATGAGTACGATGAATGACGACAGTTTTCGATTTTATGAATTACTCAAACGTATAGATGACAGATGTACAATTATAACGACAGGAAATAGACAATATTAATGGCGTAAAAAAGCCCGTTTTACGTACTGTGTTACCCAAGGATGTCGACTGACATCTTCTAACTGGAATAATCATAATATTATAGAAAAAATTTATTATTAGGAAAAAAATGTGCATTAAAAAGCGAATAGAAATCATGAGCAAAACAAAAATAAATCTAAAATTTACCGTTAATCGTTTATTTGGATCAATTTCAATCATTCCACGTAATAATTGTTGACAATCAACCGGTACAAAATGTGGAATATGAAAAATTCCTTTTTTGACTTTTTCGAGTAATTGACGAAGATTATCATCATCGAATGGCAATGCACCCTATACAAATAAAAACAAAATACAATAAATCAATCCCTTGACAAGATATATATATCATTATTTGACAATTCTAAAAACGCAGAGCTTTTAACCTAGATGTCAGACATACCACGAGTAATGCATAAAGAATAACACCGCACGACCAAACATCAGCTTTACGTCCATCATATTTTTCGCCCTAGATTTTATTAGAAAATAGAATTTTAAGTGTATTGATATAGATATATATTATTACCTTAATTACTTCAGGACAAGCTTGAAATGAGAAGAGAAAAAAAAACGATTTGAATTTTTCTGTTAATGTATTTATTATTCTTACCATAATGTGGTGAACCACAACTAGTTTCAAGAAAACCACCTTCAACTTGTAATGATGCCATACCAAAATCTGCTACACGTATATTCATTTTATCATCCAATAATAAATTTTCAGGTCTAAAAAAATATATGAATATGTATAGTTTTTCTTTAATTATATATTCGTCTTCTCTCACTTCAAATCACGATGACTAGAATAAAACAGACAAAAAAATTAATAAGGTTGAATTTATGAAAAAAATTAACATACCAAATCATATGACTATGACAAAAATCAAGTGCAGATATAATTTGACGGAAAAATTTTCTTGCTTCTTTCGGTGTTAAACGACCTTTTTTTACAAGATAATCAAAAAGTTCTCCGCCAGCAACATGTTCAAGAATAAGATATAAATATTTTCGACTTTCATAAACATCATGTATACGTAAAACATGTGGATGTTCGATTAATTTCATAATTGCTATTTCCCGCTCAACCTTTTGAAAAAAATTCAGTATTTTAAATTTGAATTTTATTCTATGGATATATTTACTTTTAATAAAACTGATTCTGATAATGCTTCACGATTGACTATTTTAATAGCAACTTTATCTCCTGTTACATAATGAACACCTAATTTGACAAGTCCTAGATTGAAAAATAATATGAATAGTAATTAAATGATGATAAACAAATAATGATGGGGGGGAAAGATGTATACCTGTTTGACCTTTGCCTAAGGTTTTCTGTAGAAGATAAGGTCCAACATATTGTGAAGAACGCGGCGGTATGACCGTACCCGATGTTTTAGCATTGAATGACATTGCTTAAAAGAGCAGAAAGAAAGCAATGAATTTTAGACAATTAATCATAAAGTAGATAAACAAAATTACATACTGATTGTATGAACAGAAAAAAATAGATCTATCAGCTAATGAACATTATTTTTTTGTAAAGTCACCAACAATCAACTCATATATAATAAATATCATGAAAGTATATTTTCCTTACTGACTCAAGCACGATAATAGTTTGCTTTGCTTTGCTTGGTGAACAATGGTAATATATGGATATATATTCAACCATAATCGCCACTTATTTTATCTAAAATGCATAGAACCACTAAATAAATGCATTAAGAAAAAGCAAACAAATTTTTTTGATATTAAATTTCAATTTCTATTCAAAAATAAATTCTAAAATAAAGAATCAATGATAAAAAAATGTTTTTTTTCGATTAAATATAACTACACTCAATGACCTCTTTAACGGTGTTAGTTTGGCTTTTGCTAAGCACCGAAATTCTTTCCGATATCAACTTTTCTTTCTCTCATTCGTTCTTTCGATACGCACATACCCTTTTTTACTACATAAGTCACCGATACAACGTTTTTTTTCTTTCTCTATTTACCATTCATAACATCGTACGTGTGTACGTTTATTTATTACTACCAACAAATCATAGTTAATTAGAGTAAGTAAAACAAAAAAGGAACTAAACTGATAAAAAAATGTTTTTTTTATCTAATTCGCTTTTACCAAATGATATAAGTTTTCTATGATTATTTTTTCGAATTTTGATTAGTCATCTAATTTTTTTAAAATTCTTTTAGATGCATTGCATGAATTTGTGACAAATAATTTGAATCAAAATAAAAACATGTCGCTTGATTTTGAATACGGTATTAATACAGGAAATCGTTTCCTAAGTTTCGTTGGTCATGATGAAGATCCTGATGAATTTCTTGCTGGACAAGTTCAACCAGAAGAAAAAACCAAAAAATCTACAAAAGATTCGAAATCAGTAACTAGTACATCAGCGAAAAAACCAACTAGTAAAACAACAACAACAACAGCTAGTACAGCAAATGTTAGCAATCAAGCAACAAGAACAAATAAAGAAAATTTAACTGGAAAATCAACAAATAATGATCAAAGAAGACAACAATCAAATGTTTTAGGTGATAATAACAATCAACAAACTCGTGTTGACAGTGGACGTGGTAATATACAAAAACATTTAATTGATATTTATTAATTTATTTTTATTTAGGTGGTGGCCGTGGTTTTCGTGGAAGAGGTGGTAGTGCTGGTCAAGATCGACCTGCATATGAAGGTGGTCATCGTGGTGGTGGACCACAACGTACACCACGTTATAATAAATTTGAAGGACAACAACCAAGAAATGAAACAGGTGGTTTTGAACAAGGTGCTGGTGGTTGGGGAAACGAAGCAGGAAATGATAATCAAACACATGGTGGTTATCGCGGTCGTGGTCGCGGTAGTGGACGTGGAAATTATATGAATCAAAATTATGAAGGAGGCCGAGGCGGTGGTCGAGGCCGTGGTCGTGGTGGACGTGGTAATTATGGAAACCGAAGTTTTGAAGAAGGTTCACAACAACAACAACAACAACCACATGAACAACAACAACAAACACAAGAAGGCAGTGGATGGCAAAAAGATACCGAGTATGTAACAAATTAAATTTTATAGAAGAAATTTTCTATTATAAATCAAAATTGTTTTTTCATAGATCAAATTTTGACAATACTCGCTCTCAACCAGCTAGAACAAGTGGTCAAGAATTCGATAATGATGCAACACTACAAGAACGACCATTTGAAGCTGATCATACACGTCGGGGTGGTCGTGGACCTTTTCGTGGTCGAACATTTCATAGTAATCGTTATTATGGTGGTGGTGATCATCAAAATCAATACGAAGGTGATCAAAGTAATAATGAATACCGACAAAACCGTCGTCAACATGATCGTCAACCACGTACAAATGTTTCGTGAGTTATAAAAAACAACTTTTGTTTTTTATCTATAAAATGTTCATTTTTTTTTAAATAGAGGTGTTAAACCTATTGAGAAAAAAGATGGTGAAGGTGCCCATAACTGGGGTAATCCAGCTGAAATTCCTGATGAAGAAAATCCAGTAGCTGAGTAAGAATAATTTGCAATAATACTTTGAAAAAAATAATTTAATTTTATAGTGAAACAGCTGAAACAACAGGTCAAGCATCAGCAGCACCAAAAGCTTGGGCAGATCAAGTTGATGAAGCTGAAAAGCAAATGACATTAGATGAATATAAAAAACAATTAGAAGAAAAAAAACGAGCACAACAAGAAAAAATACCACAATTTAACAGACGTACTGCAGGCGAAGGTGAAGATTCAAGTAAATGGGGAAATTTTCAACATGAATATCGAAAGAAAAATGATGGTGAATCTGATGAGGAATTAGAAGAAGGAAGTGGCGCTGAAGGTTAGTTTATTCAAAATCAATCGATTAAAATCTTAATAGAATTATTTACTTAGAAGGTGAAAGTGAAGAAGAAGGTGAAGAAGAACAAATTAGTGGAAAGAAAAAAGTTATTACAATTCCACTTCGTTTTGCACCTATTGATATTCCACGTGGTGGTCCATTTGGTTCAAGAGGAGGATCACGTCGTGGTGGTGGTGGTGCTGGTCGTGGACAATTCCGTGATCGACCATATCGTGAGGATCGACCATATCGCGATGATCAACCAAGAGGTATATAAAAATTTAAATTTGTACTTTAAAATTTTATAATTTCAAAAACAAAATCGATTTTAGCTACGTCTCCAAGTCAACAACAATCGCCAGTATCTCAACAAGCCGGTGAATATCAAAATGATGAACAACACCAACACCAACAATCAAGACCATATCGTGGTGGTCCTAGTAAGTAGACAATCATTTCAATAATTGACAAATATCTATATGTCTATTAGGACAAGGATCTGGTCGTGGTGAATATCGTCGATCATATGGAAATTCTGCTCGTGGTTCACGCGGTGGTTATGATCGTTCTCAGGCCAACCCCAGTACACCTAACTTTAACAATGCGGTTGATTTTCCCACCCTTCCAAAACAATAAGATTATCTAATGAATTCTATTCTTGCACTAATTATTCGAACATTCATATTCTCTATTATTATTATTATTATTATTATTGAAAACAAAAAGCGTGTCGCACATAATCTAGAACAGTCTTGCATGAGTGTTATTGTTTGTTTGTTTTTTTTCGCATGTGTGTGTGTTTGTGTGATGTTTAGGAACCTGGTGAATGGCTCGATTCGTATATGTAGAAAAACAGACTGCGTTTTTTTTCTTGTTTGTTAAGATATTAATTCAACAATTTTCATAGGCATTTCATTCTTCTTTTTCTTTTACTGTTGTTATTTTTGTTATATTGCATTTCTGCAAATGTGACGTCTTTTCTGTTTTGTTGATGTTGTTGTTTTTCTTTCTCTTTCATTGTTGCGACAAAAACATATAGGTTGTCACTATAGCGGTAACAAACTTTCGTTTTTGTTCTTTTTTTTTCTTCCTTCATTTTTGATACGGTTTTTTTTTCGTCTTGCCACTAACTGTAGAACATTAACTCATGCATATGAAAAACAAAATCAGACTTTTTTTTCTTTCTCGTTTCTCTCTTTTTCTTTATATTCAATTGTTTTTCCTGTTTATCACAGGTATTATGTGCATCTTTCCTTTTTCCGCTGCCGTTTGCGTGTGTATTGCTGCTGTTCGTTCTCTTTTTTTTTTTAACTAAATACGAAAACCAAACATGATGTCTTTAGGGAATATTTGATTGGCCCATGATGATTCGAAATACCAATCAAGCTCAACAGTCATGAATAATATTATGTTGAGAAGGTACCGAAGCTGAGGCATGTGTTGATAAGATACTTTTATAGGTTGATTAATTAGAAAAATTCAGTAGAATTATACTGATTTATTATTTCATATGATGATATATTCAAAGTAGAATGAGATGTATGCTATATATAAATATTAGAATTACCAAAAACAATACTATTTACATGATGTCTCAAGAGAAAACATTCTCTGTTTTATATACAAAGATATTTTGTTACAGACTAGTGTCTTATAATGCACTGTGAATGTTATTAGATCGACAAGTTTTAGTTACATGTCTATGAATAAATTCCATATAAAAGATTAGAGCAAAAAAACACAATAAAAAAGCTATATTTATTCAGAACTATATAAAAACAAGGAAGTCACAACTGCAACGTAAATATTTGAAATAAAATCCACTTTGTATCAATACAATTTTTGTAAATAAAGAATTAATAGCTTGGTGTGGAAAATTATATGTAACTATTTTTATCTTGGACTCGCAAGGACTTTGTGTCTCGTTGAAATAACATACGATTATCGTATTATATAGACAATTGATTTGTAACTAATGACATATATATATATATATAATTGACACTTCTTACTAAAAATAGTTCGTTGGTATTTCCATTATTTTACTAAGGAAAAAAAACTTACAAATAAGTATTGTTTTATTAACCTATTCTAATTTAAGTAATGATCGTTCTATTAAATTTTTAGATATCTCATGAAGTACACTGAGAAGCTTCAAAATAGTGTTAATGTCATCACGTATATGCTCACATTAATCTTTTGTATCATAATACATGTTTATCCATTCGATTATAATTGTTAATGATAGATATGAATAGCACTCGATTAAAAACGCATTCTTAACTCTGAACTATATTTTTCTTCTTCTCACCAATCATGTCAAAACGAATTATTATTTCCTTAAGGCGATATCATCCATCACTTATATTATATATGTTCAGCCTATTTCCTTGTCATATATGCATTATTGCTTACATAAGTATGTCGATTTTATTTCGATATTTCCTTACGGCTATGAATTTATCTGATATCTATTTAACAAAAAACAATGCGTAGTCTTTTATTATATATTCACACAGATACTCATTATAAAACAAAAATCACATTTTTTATGAATAATTCTTTTATATAAAAGTACAGGTAAGATATTTTTATCATTTTAGATCAGACTTTATCTACGTGTCAATATTTTCCCTATAAAATTATACATCAGATTATTTGAGACATGTACTGACATCTTTTGTGGTTTGTCAAAATTCTATTGAAATCTTCTTTCTCTTTCAAATAAACTTCAACTGAAGTTATAGATTTCGAATTTGAAATATGTTTTCATTGATTTTTTGATACAAGAATCGAATTCGAACTTTTATATTGGTTCATCTTGCATTCTTTCTTCTTCAATATTCTTTGTATGAAAAAACAATGCCCACCCATTGAGCATTCATTCTCATATAACACCGCTCAATACGGTACAAATTGATGAACATAGTGTTCTGTTTTGTTGATGAGTAACGGAAAAAGAAAGAAAAGTGTATTATCATTTTTTCTTTTTACATCACGTTTTCGTTTCAATAAAATCTTCTAGTATATATATATATTTCAATTGATTTTGTTTTTTTAGATCTGTAATCTAGTCATTTTCTTTTGTTGTATTTATTTCTTTTATCAAAATGGATGCTCAATTTGAGCGTCGTCTTCTTCTTTCAATGAATGGACAAAATTCATCATCATCATCCTATACAAGTCCAATACAATCTCCTATTAAAACAAGTGATCGATACATTCCACTTCGATCGTCTCTTTCAGCATCCAATCTTCATTATCAAATAAATACTTCTTTATCACCACATAAAAAACCACAATGTTCATCAACAACAACATCACCAATTAAAAAACATAAAAATGAACAAACGGAAATAGGCCTTAGTACAGGTATTACAGGAAGTGAACCTGATTTAGCTGTTTATAAACAATTATTACAAAATACTCTATTAAATACAAATATTGACTCTATACTTAAAATATCTGATACACAAAATATAAATTCCGATGATATGAAAACAGTAACAACACCAAAAAAATCTTCGATTAGTAAAGAAAATTGTTCAATGTTTCGTTATTCTGAACGTCAAGAAAATCTTTCATGTCAATCAAATTTAATTACTAAACAACATTTCAATCGATCACCTATATCAAATGCATCTATACATTTACTTTATTCACCAAAAAAAGCAATTCGACATATACCAGAACTTCCATATAAAGTGTTAGATGCACCAGATTTACAAGATGACTTCTATTTAAATTTAGTCGACTGGTCTTCATCAAATATTCTTAGTGTTGCCTTAGGTCCATGTGTGTATTTACATAATGCTCAAACAAATAGTGTTCAATTGTTATGTGATTTAACTCATACACAATTACCTGTACCGAATAATAATCAAGTGAATATTGTCGGTTCCGATATAGTCACATCAGTACATTGGTCAGATTGGTCGAATATATTAGCTATTGGTAAGTTATTTACTAATTCAGAATTTGTACCCATCTATGTTTTTGTGTTGATTATTATTTATGAAAAAATTAATTTTAATCTAGGTACACAACGTGGTCATGTACATATCTATGATGTAACAACTCGAAAACGTATACAATCAATATGTAAACATACAAATCGTGTTGGTGTACTTGCTTGGAATGAATGGTCTTTGAGTTCTGGTTCCCGTGATCGATCAATTTTAGAACATGATATACGTCAACAGTCTACTGTTCATACATTCCTTGGTCATAAACAAGAAGTTTGTGGTCTTAAATGGTCACCGGATAAATCTATCTTAGCCAGTGGTGGAAATGATAATCAATTATTTCTTTGGTCGAAAAGTCAATCAATACAACCATTACATACATTCAATGATCATACAGCTGCTGTGAAAGCTATAGCATGGTCATCACATCAACATGGTCTCTTAGCATCTGGTGGTGGTGCAGCCGATCGACATATACGATTTCGTTCATCATTAACATGTCAAACATCTAGTATATATGATACAGGTTCCCAAGTATGTCAACTGATTTGGTCAAAGAATTCTCCCGATGAACTTGTTTCAACACATGGTGTTGCACAAAATCAAATTATTATTTGGAAATATCCAACAATGCAACCCTTAGCAAAATTATTAGGTCATCAACAACGTGTTCTTTATTTATCAATGAGTCCAGATGGTGAATCAATTGTAACTGGTTCAGGAGATGAAACACTTCGATTTTGGAATATATTTCCTAAAGCTAGATGTATAAGAAATCCGGATTCAAAATTAAATGGACTTTATCGTATGCGATAGTTTATTTTTCTTACATGTAAATTAATTTATCACTCTTCTTAATTTATTCATCGAAGTATTATGTCGTGATACGCCATATATTGTCTGATAATCGGTTTTTTTTGTTATTATACAAAAGTCTCATGTATTTCTTGTTCTTTGTTATTGTTTTCCGACTTTGTTAAATAATTCGTACGTTTACAATAGTCAAATTATAAAATAATAATCATATCTGATATAATAAGTCAGATAGACAAATAAAAATGTTTTTATAAAATGAATTCATCTAGTATTTGAAGAAATAGTTAACATTTAGGTACAATTATGATTCATTTGAATTTAAGATGACTCATAACAATACAATGTACTTTTTACATGCAATCGTATTTATAAATAGAATACATCAGTTATAAAAACCCTTGAATCTTCTTTCTCACTAATATAATAACAGACTAAAAGTTCATCTTAGATTATGAGGTTTAATCAGTCAATCATCAAATATATTAGCATCGATGATCATGCCATATGATAATTTTCATGTGTGTGGAATAATAACACGTGCTGACGTAATCGTACAAAAGAATTATCTTGTACAAAGAAGATTTGTTAATCAGATTCGATACAATACTTTACTAGATCTATTGGAAGGAAAAGATAGTTTTATATGCTGTTTTGATTTAAATCTAAAATTCATACAGATTTCAAATGGATAAGTTAAAAATGTATCTTATTATTCTATTTAAAATAGATTGTAAATTTAAACTTTTTATATTACAATACTTGCTATTATTTCAATGAGCAACGCATCGACAAATAAAGTAATATCAATAAATAATAAAATCGTCTTTTGACATAACAGTTATATCGAATTTGTTGTTTCACTCTCTCTCCCTTGTCTTTCTTTTCAAGTATATTTACATTCACATAAAAAAGCCTCACAAAGGCTTCATGACATATATATAAGAGGAAAAAAAACGAATATTGTAGTTAATTTCTGTCTTTACATCTCATATAAATGTATAATATTAAATACATGTATATTTCGCTTTATGCTTAAAATATAACACTCAAGGTAATCATATTCCTACTTATTGATTCTTGTCATTGACTGTGAATAAAAACGAATAGTTAACATATTTGTACTTTTCGTTAATTATAACTTTTTTTTCGTTCGTTTTTCAAAATATATGTAGTTAATATAGAATGTATTAAAAAATAACAAATAGAAAAGATTACATATTTCTTGGCTTTTTTTGCTTTGTCTGTGTCAATTTATAATCAAATGGAAAAAAAAAGAAATGATCGAGATAACATAGAACAGATACTCACACATACAGACGAAAGAAATGCACGAATTGTATTCGTGTAAAAGTCATTTACATCTTTTCTTCGTTTTTCTTTTTAAACGAGAAAAAAAAATAACAACAAATCAATTGTCTATATGGCAGCTATCGATCTATCGTAAAGTAAGAACGAAATATCGAAAAACAAAAAAAGAAGAAAGGATAAAATTGGCTTTTTTTATCAGGTAAGTTCTACATGTATACACAAAAAAATAACGTATTATAATAACTATTAATCAGCTGAAAACGATCATAGTATATATATGAACAGTAAAATATTTGATTTATTTCAAAGACTAGATTACAAAATGATTAGACAATTTTTCATACGTTTTTATTAATATATATTGTTTATATAAAGAATCACAAGTTTTTCAAAGAATACGTAAATATAGACTTAGTATGAATAGGTATTTTAGAAGCTATCGAGAGAGAGCATAGCAGTTATTGATAATTCAATAAATAAATGGCAAAAAGAACCTGTCCTAGATATAATATTTCTCGACTGCAATACAAGCGAAGATTGACACGTTGATGACTGTATATTGACATTTATCTTATTTAGGCATAAAGATCATTACAGGAAGTTTTTAGATTACATATTTATTTTCAAGTAATTTTTCTCGAATTAATAAAATTTATTTATCAATAAATACAATTATTTTAATTATAGAGTAGATTAAATGACAGTTTTTTCCTATCATAAATCAAGTACATTTTTATGTCATAAAATTTAAGTACTGGATTGTTCGTTTCGTACAAGTGATAAGAAAATCTTAATCGATTAGAATTCTTCAAATTTTTATTCTTTATATGCTAGAACATTTTCTTAGTTTTAGATAAACGAGAAAAAAAATCAAATGTCAACGACTGGATTTCCATTGCCTTCTAATTATACAACAACTGAAGAAGGTTTACTACTATCTGCTACAACTACTCTTAATGAAACTGCTAAGGAATATGATCATAATGGTGCTGCACTTTATATAGCTGTTATACTTATTTGGTATTCAACTGGTTTAGCGATGATGCTATTTCTTCAAGTACGTCCACGTTCATTGCCACATCAATTTTTATTTGATTCATCGAATTCATCAACAAAAAAATCTCTTCAAACATTATCAACAAATCCATTTACTGGCTATCGAAATATTCAAGCTGATAATACAACAAAACAAATACTTAATGAATTAAAAGATCCTGTAACACGGACACGTCTATGGAATATATATTATGCATCAACGGAAAAAAATAATGAACCACATCCAAAATATAATCAAACAATTACCGCTGATAAAACTACTATTGATCGTATTAATAGAAAACTAGCTGATATACATCGTCTGGATACAGTTAATGATGAAAGTCCAATAACAACAAATCCAGTTTCACTAAATAATAATCGATCATCAATATCTGTTGATTCAGCAAAAAATTTTGCTAAACGTCTTAATTCATTACGTCGTCCAAATGGTGGTACAACACCAAATACTCGACCGCAACTTATGCGAATACATTCTCAAGATGAAACATCATCACCAAATACAACACTCGAAATGGAATCACTTGTTACTGGAAAACCATCAACAAGAAATACTTCACGTAAACCAAGTTTATTTTCAAGCCGGTTTACTATCGAAAAAGTATCTGATAGTAAAACAATTCCTGATCTTACTAATGAAAACAAACGAGAATAGAATGTGTATATATTTTTTTTTCATATATGTGAATGTTAATTATCGAAATACCAGAGAACAATTATCGTATCTCTAGTCAATATTCATTAATGATTAGACTATAACTCTTTCTTTTTTTCTTCTTCTTTCTCTGCATAGATAGATTTCATTGCTTTATATATAACTGAATATACGTCAAATTATATTAATAAATTAAAATGTTATATAAATATATATATATTTAATAGATTTGTTAAAATTTTGAAATAACAGAGTTTTAAAATCTGTAGTAGAATGATTTTTTATACATTCAATAAAAGACGCAAGATTTTTTTTTAGACGGAATACTAATGAAATACAATAGACATTTTTCTTCCACGTTGTAGAACAGCTAATAGGATTAGAAACGTTACTCAAATAATGTTCATCTATATGTGTTGAACAATAATTCTCTAGCATGTTTGCTATAAATTTCATTAACTAAAAATAGTTAGAAATGTATGGAAGATTTCGACGAATAAGCTGAAGAAAAAAAACACTATTATGATAAATGCTTAATATTAATTTTGCTGTTTTATCAAATGTTCTACTATAATCATATATATATATATTATTAATATAGACAGAAAAAAAAGAACTTAACCATCACAGTCTCTTGTAATACTTATTTATTATTATATAAAAATCCTGATGAAAGTAAGTATAAAATAAAACTACTATTATTTATCTTCAGCATTAAATCATTAGAATAAAAAAAAGGAAGTCAACGACCTTAATCATTTCCTCATTTGATTCATATAGTTTTTTTTTCTATATTTATTAATAAATATTCATATAGAAAAAAAATTTCTGTTTTACTTTTTCTTCTTGAATTATTCTTACTTCTTATTAAATCATATATTTCCGATTTTAAGTATAAAACACTTTGCGTTCAATTATATAGCGTCATATTGAATTATATACCCATCAGAAATGGAATCATATTCCACAGGCATAAACATACTTTTCTTATATTAGTCGATGCAAAGCACGAAACAGAACATGAAAAAGAAAAAGAGATAATTAATACTGTGCAATGTTGACAACAGCACGTTCAGCTAAATACATCGTTGTGCAAAAAAAATCGAGTTGACAACATCGACCGAGAATAACAACAACAGTCGTATTCAGTGAATAAGAATGAAAAAGTCATCAGATCGGTGCCCATTAATAATTTTTTTCTTCCACTGAACTGCGTTCATACTCTATAACTAAAATACTGCTCAATAATGAAGGAAAGCAATAAGAATAGAAAGAAAAGACCTCAGGAAACACTATTGATTTAACAATGTTCATTGAAAATGGCAAAGCCAATAACAATGACATTGACAGAAAAAAAAAGAACTAGACGAAGAAACAATTCACCAATCCTTTACACATATATATATATATTTATAAAACAAGATTAATGTAAGGTTTGTCTTTCTCTCTCTTTTTTTATTTCAGAATAAAAAAATATACTAATATGATGAACTCGTTATTCTTAATCTTCATCATATTTTATCACTTTGATAAATACCAAGTTTTATTAGCAGAGAATCATCCGTATCGACATTATTCAAGACAACAAAATAATGATAATAGTTATGCTAATGCAACATTAAATAATCCTGATGATGATAGTAACATGTGCCATTTATCTGTACGATGTCCAACTCTATCGACAATATGTGAGCAAAAAATTATTCAATTGATTATTTTATCTTTTGTCATTTTTTTCATAGCTCCATATGATCGAGACAATCGTAATCGTCGTTTTACCGTTGATACTTTCTTAGCAATGCATGGTCCTCAAGGACCACCTGGCTTACCAGGTCCACCAGGTGGTCTTGGACCACGTGGTGCTGTTGGACCACAAGGTAAATAAATAATAATGAACTTAAAATCTATCTATTTCTTTGCTTCAGGAGTTGTTGGTCGATCAAAAGAAACTGTTCCTGTGGTTGCTTTTGTGGCTTTTCTTCAAAAAATGCTTTCAGTTGAATTGAATCGTTCCGAAACAATTATTTTTGAGAATGCTGATATAAACGAAGGAAATAATTATAATCCTACAACAGGTATATTTACTGCTGTTCATCGAGGTATTTATAAATTTAGTATGACAATTATGGCACAAATGGATTCAATTGTAAGTTTAAACTGATTTTATTTTCAAAATATTTCTTATTATTAATACTCTAGGCTACTGTACGTATCGTTCATAATCAAAGAAATATTCTCGGAATGATTCGATGTGATTGTCGACGTCGTTTTTCACATGTCCGTGGTAATGTTTATGCTGAATTAGATGCAAATGATCAAGTTATGGTCGAAGCACTTGGTGATTCAAATGATTCTGGACAATCAGCACCTCGTAATAATATTTATGGATATACGTATACACATTTTAGTGGTGCACTTTTATTTTTAACAAATAGTCGAGATTATATTTAAAAATAATTTTTGTATTATATATATAGATATATATATATATATTTGTAATAGATTTTTGTTTGTTTTCTTTTTGTTTTTAGTAGTAAAAAAAACACTAGACATCTCTCATGATTAATATTAATCATGTGCCTAATTTTATATTTATTTAGAGGGAAAAATATTTTTTTTGCACGAATAATTGATTATAGAAACTCTTTGAATCAAACAAAAATATATATATCTAATTGAACAAGATATTTTTATACTAAATATTCTCACGTGCATATTACATGAGTGCATGACATTTTGGATTTATTCTTATTGACCAAATATAATCTTTTATATTAAGTAAATACACATAAAAAAAAGGATCTAAATTTTGTTTATAAAAATTCTAAATCAAAAAAGAATTATATCATTTCGATTTACTTTTTCCTAATGCATTAGAGAATACATGATGTAATAGAGCAATTTGTCTTGCTTTTTTTCCATGTATATAAGCAGAAAAATCTCTGATGTCATTGTAATCATCGTATAATTAATGTAATTTGACTAAAATGAATATTATTTCTCTTGAGAAAAAGAATAAAACGATGAGATTTATGTTGTTTGTTTTTAACAAATATATATTCTTAATATTTTCATCCTAATTGAAAAAGAATTATTCGAAATAAATAAATAGACAATATTTGAAAAGTTTATTATAATTTGTTACAAGTTGTTATTATATATTCCACTTAAAGACATTTTTACTAATTGAATATGTAATGTTCGCTTTTCTTTATTTCTCGTTCTTTCATCTTGTTTCATGTATATATCTATATATATATATGATGTTGTGTGTGTGTGTGTGTGTTTATTAAGAAAGATTAAGAAAAGAATGTAAAACTATTCAACGTCTATACAACTGATGTAGGGGGTCTTGCTTTCCAATTGATTTCTGTTTCCGAGAAATATAGTTCCTTTTTTTCTTATTCTATTCTCTTGACCACTAAATTTTATATGATGATGTCGACGAGAAGAGAAAATAATGGTTAATGGATTTTAGGGCATCTTGTCGCATACATACACATGAGTATACATCTTCATCTTCTTTTCTCTTCTATTATTATCATTATTACTATTATTCGTCTTCGATCCAATAGCGGTTGATTGAAGACATAAAAGAAAAGAAAGTACATGTAAGACGACGAGTCTATTTTTTATTAAAAAAAATAGACAGAAATCCTATATTGTAATCTATGTTGTTCTTCTTCATCGATTTATCGAACGATCGATGTTTAAAATGTTTCCTCTTTTATGTCTCTTAATCTATGCATTTCCAATAGGATAAATACGTTCCGTAATGATTGTGAGTGTATTAACATTTATATATATTCATAGAATGCATTTTATAATATCGATGTGAAAGAGTTCTCACGCGATCACCTAACGAACCGATGGTATTCGTTAGTAAAGAATTTCCGTTTCTTTTTTCTTAACATATTTTAATTAATGAGGTAGTCCGAAAAACAAATATATTTTAATAGGTGCTTAACGTATCTAATTGCTCGAGTCTTAATATTTTTTATACATTGATATATATATATAGAGAGAGAGAGGGAGAAAGACATTTAACACTATTCAAATTTCTTTTTAGAAAGAAAAAAAATTACAATACTTATTTTAGTCGACATGTTCTGTGCATTTTATTTGTAAATGTTTATTATCAATAGATGTGGTATTGTTCATATTTCGTTTTGCTTTACATCTTTGGATTTGTTAATTTAACTATATCAAAACAAATACCATTAATTGGACTATTTACATCGACAAATCATGATAATAATTCATCATCATCATCATTAGTTATTAATTATGCAGTAAATCATTTGAAAACAATTGATAATTTAACATCTGAACTTCTTATACAACATAGTGAACAAGATATTCCATGTGATATGGCTATTGGTACTAAAATGGTTTTCGATATGATACATCGAAAACCAAGACCATTAGCAATATTTAGTGGTTCATGTCAAACTGTAGCATCAGCTATTGCTGAAACAGCTGGAATATATGATATGACTATAGTAAATGATATTGATTTATTTTAAGTTAGATTATGTACTTTTTTTTCAATGTAGATTATTTATTCAGAAACAAGTTCACTTTTTACTGCTCGAGAAAAATATCCATCATTAATTCGAACTGTACCTGGTGATTCTCAACATAATATAGGTAATAAAACAGATGAATGATTAATTATGATAATTTACTTCTTTCTAGCACGAAAACTTCTTTTAAAAACATATAATTGGAGACGTTTTGGAATATTATATCAATATGAAAGACAATATACAATGGTGAATATAGTTTATATTTGTAAAAATATTATCTGTATATATATATTTATATTAGCCTGTCACTCGATTCAATGATCTTTTACATGAAGATAGTATTGAATGGGAAAATGCTTTGTCAAAAGGCATTTCATTCAATGATCTTGATGAAACGCAAGGCAATCGAACACGAAATTCATTAAAAGATGCTTTTGATGAATTACAGGTATGATAATATATACTGACAGAATGTAAGCATTTTCGGAAATTACATGAAATGTATAAGTTAATTTATCTATTAGGAATCATACTATTTGATAAAAATCTTTTTTAATTTTATGAACGGATAAGATATTTTCAGCAATGTGAATTGATACCTTTTCTTTTTTTGAACGACAGTTGATTTCCGTTTTGTTTAATATTTAATGACTTTGAATGTCATGAAGTTCATTGAGAAAGAAATTTCCTGGATATTTAATACCTACTTAATAATGAATAGTGATTAAAAATAGTTCATCTCGCATTTCTTTTTCAGGTATGATTGATGGTACTTATCTAAATGAGATGAATAAAAGATTATAATTTCAGCTGTTAGATTAGTTCTTTTTTCGATTTTTTTGTTTCTTCTTCTTCTTCTGTGAATGTCCTTGATCTAAAATCTAATATAAGCGAGTCAAGAAAAAACAATTTACTTCCGCTTGTTGAAGTAATCTTGGAGAACAACTCTTCGTATAGACTCCCAATTAAATTTAACGAAATTTAATAATGTACGAGTAATCTTTCATGGATCTTATTTAGTATACAAAACAACATTGATATAATTCCCTATATAATATATAATTAGATTTGAAACTGAAATTTTGTTTTTTTTATTTATCTAGAGAAATAATATTCGTATTATTCTTGGAAATTTTAATTCAACTATGGCTATTCGAATATTTTGTGAAGTAAATAAACTGAATAATTCGAAGTTAAAATTTTTTTTCTTCTAATTCAGGCATTTCGTTATAATCTATATGGTTCACGTTTTCAATGGATTATTGTTGGTTATTATGAACCGGAATGGTGGTTAAAAAATGAAGGTCCTTGTAATACATCAGAAATTCTAGTAGCACTTAATGGCACACTTCAAACACGTGTTGCGGAATCTCGCTATGATGATAATACTCGAACAATAGCTGATCTTGTTTGTTATTTATTGAAATAATTTCAATGAATTGTTTTGTTTTCTATTATAGACACCAGCACAATTTAAATTTGATTTATCACGTTTAAAAACATCATCATATTATAAACATTCATATTTTGTTGGTTATGAATTTGATGCTATTTTAACATTAACATCTGCATTTGAAAAATTAGATAATTCTTTATTGAAACAAAATTGTTCAAATAATTTTTCAAATGATTTTATATGGCGTCAATCATGTTGGCGTACGGAATTAATAGATATTATAAAAAAAGTTGATATTGAAGGTGTTACTGGACGTATACGTTTTAATAATGGTGATCGAATTGGTGAAATTGTTATCGAACAAATTCTAGGTATAATTAATGATATAAAACACTTTTTTTTTGTTTGGACTTGTGACATATTCAAAATAGATTTTAGTATCTCATAGTGGCAAATCAAATAATGTTGAAATTGTTAAATTATTTGTTGCAATACCAACAGATCAGCTGAAATATGCTCTTTTGTATGCTAAAAATGGAAGAAATGTTACATGGCATGGTAAAACGAATAAAAAATACATTATTAATTAAATCTATTGATGTATATATAGGCTATGGACCTCCAAATGATCGTATCAAACGTATTGATCGTGCTCAAAGAATTTCTGTACTAACATATACAATAATAGCAATAGCAAGTGGTATAGGAATATTTTTAGCAATAGGATTTTTTGTTTTTAATATTATTTTTCGTACTCATAGGTAAATAAGATATTTTGTTCTTTGATCTATTAATTGAAATTATTTTTTTTCTTCAAAGATTTATTCGAATGTCAAGTCCACAAATAAATAATTTAATTATAGCTGGATGTATTTTTTCTTATATTAGTGTTCTTCTAATGGGTATTGATTCAACTTTACTCGGGAAAAGATATTCAGATGCAGCTATGAATTTTATTTGTGCAGTAAGATATTTATTGTTTGTTTCATATGTGTATGTTTATTTTAAAGGCACGTATATGGATGTTATCTATTGGTTTTACGATATCATTTGGAGCAATATTTAGTAAAACATGGCGTGTACATACGATATTTACAAATGTTGATGCACAAAAAAGAGTAATAAATAAAACGAATTATTGAAATTTTATAGAAATTTCTTTTTTCTTTCAAAGGCAATTAAAGATATTCGTCTTTTTATGATTGTTGGAACGTTATTAGTTATTGATACGGTTTTATTAAGTGCATGGCAAATCATTGATCCATTAAAGATACATAAATATAAAAGTCAAACACAGGTATAGAAAAATGAAAGATAATAACGAATATTTCGTTTTGTGTTATAATCTAGACAACAGATGAGGATATTATGATTCTATGGAGTCATGAAGAATGTCGATCAAATCGTCGATCGATCTGGGTTACAATGCAATCGATATATAAAGGTGTACTAATGGTAAGAATATCTTTCGTTTTTTTATATCAACTCAAATAGCTATAAAAGTAAAGATTTGATATTGACTCTTTTTTTATTCGTAGTACAGATATATATACTATATTACAGAGACATAGCAGCCTATATAATTTTATTTGTTATCAATAAATCCCTTCTTACTGATATAAATAGATTATATCTAGAAACTTTTATTCAAACATATAAAGAAAATTGTGATTGATATGCAAGGACATTCGATGTCTGTTCATATGTATTATTGTTTCTCTATATAAGTAAAATGAATTGTTAATTACAAAATATAAAGCTGAAATTATTAGAACAATTACCACTTCCGGTCAATTAGACTATAAAATGAAATCATACTAGATCTGATAAATGACTCGAAATAGAGGCAATTCAATATGCTTTACAGTCTCAAACCCTCCCCCTTGCCATTTGGTAATATTATTCATCTAATTTAACTTTTGCAATAACCGAAAAATGTTGCATTACAGAGAAATAACAACGTTTTTATTTTTCAAAATAGGTTATTGGTTCTCGTTTTGCATGGGCTACACGAAATGTTCATATAGCAGCATTAAATGATTCGAAATATGTTGGTATGAGTCTTTATAATGTTGTTCTATTAAGTATAACAACTGCAGTTGTGGGTTATTTTTTACGTGATCAACATGAACGTTCATATATATTAACATCGACATTTATATTACTTTGTGTAACAATAACATTATGTTTAGTATTTGTACCAAAATTTCTCGAAGTAGCTAAAGATCCACGTTCAGAAGCTAAACCACAACGTGTTGTTATATCAACTGCTGGAGCAAAATCACATTCACCACCACCACCAGTAGAAGAAAAAGAGAAAAAAACTTCGACCAAAGATAATGAACAAGCAATTTTAAAGATGAAACAATTAACAAATCAAAATGATGTATTAAAATTGAGTGCAAATAAGGTTAGCTTATAAATCCTTTCGTTTCTTTTACAATAAATATAAATTCTCGTTTGCTTTTAGTGTGATGAATTAATCAATAAACTATTATCAGCTTTAGAAGAAGCAAATGGCAAACAATATCAATTTGAAATATTTATTCGTATGTGTAATGATTCATATAAGCTCTTACTATAAATTTTTATGGCTTTTTTTAGCTACATCAACGATACTTATGGATGATATAACTCATACACATGAATCAGATTGGTTACTAGCAGATGAGAATCAATTGACAAAATGACTAATCTATTCATCTGTTTAATATTTAAATTGTTTTTTTGTGAATCGTTTCTTTTTTTTCCTATATAAATATTCCGAAGAAACAAAAAAAAAGGTTTTGTGAAGGATATATATGAATAAAATATTTATTTTTGTCCTGTCAACTTCAAGTGAGTATTATTTTTTCTCATTCTGAGTCATAGTCAGAGGATATTTTATCAACCAATTCTTTTTTTTTCTTTTATTGATACACGATTATTCATTTCTTTTCTAAGTTGATGAATCAACTTTTACATACTCGATAAAAAAGAAAATAAAATCAAAATACTTTTATCAGACTCGTCGCCGAGACATAAATAGGTTGGGTGCGGTTACTACTTACATAATCATTAAATTGGTGAAGAACGAAACAAGATATAAAAAGAACACAAAAAACGAGATTGCACTTTTTTGTTTTTCTTTTAACCTAATACAACAACTTTTTTTACATTTGGTTTTCAATGACAATGCATGGTAATTCTATCTTGCTGATTTTTCTTTCGATATTAATATCAAGCAACGGTCAATATCATGATGACGAACGAGATCTTCCTCCAGGTATTCACTTCACTATATAATATGTATATATAAGTCTAATCTTTCTTATTATAGCAACGTATGCAGCTGATCGAAGTTCTAAATCAACATTTGACACACAATTTTCTCGTGGTCGTTGTCCTGAGCGATTTTATCAATCAGGTGAAGAATGTTTATATTTTGCTACTGATGGTAAAATCTATAATTGGCCTGAAGTCGAACGTGTTTGTTCACGACGTATAGCTCGTATGTTAAATAAACATTCATCATCTGATATGTATCAACAAAATCAAAATAAACCACATTTAAATCAACCAAATATGACGCCAACAAAAGGTGTAAGACAACTTGTTTTAAATACACCGGAGAAAACTGAAATCTTTCGAGCACTTTTTCGAGAATATAATGAACAAAATTTTGCTATTCGCCTTCCATCTGATTATAATACATTACGACGATGTCATAATATAAAAGATGATAAATGGCCACAATATTGTATAAATCCAAAATATTCAAATGCAACATGTTTTGAAACAGTGTCAAATGGTCCAAATGATGTTTGTGTACGAGAAGTTGAGTGTAAACAACGATATTTACGAGTTGCTTGTGAATTTACATTACCTGGTTAGTTTGAAAAAGAAACCATTTGTTAAATAAATCGAAATATTTCTAGGTAGTCCTGAAATAACAAATTCAAAATTTCAAAATTGTCCAATAGTTCGTGGTCTTCGTCATCGTTTACCATTATGGGCATGGATTTTAATCGCAGTTGGTGTTGCAGTACTTTTAGCTATCATTGTTGCTGTTATTGTTTTTGTCCTTAAATCAAAACGAAATCCTTCAGGTGGAAAAAGATCGTTACCAGAACCACGTGCAAAAGAATTCAAAGGTAATAACAAAATTATTTATAATTTATCATTTTTTATGTTTAATTTAAATTAGATATGGGACAGACAACAAAAACTAAAGATCCATCGACTCAACCAGTAGGAAATTTTTATCTTTTTATTGATGATTAATTAATTAAATTTTATTTTTTAAGATGCTTGATCGACCTCCTGTACCAAATCGTCCAACTGATACAGGCTATTTACAACCTCGAAAATCATTACCAGATAATAATTCAAATGCTTAATTCGAAACTTATTCAATTTTTGCTTTTTTTTTGATTTCATTCGTAAAGTTCTTTTCTTTTCTGTGCTTTTTTCTTCTCTTTCAACTTTCATTACACAACAACAAAAAAAATACTATAATGTTTATGAAATAGAAGTGAAGGTCAATTGCCATTAATAACACTTAATGGTGACGTCGTAGATATGTGTTCGTTCGATAAAGATTTATTCAATTTACGTTCAAGTAAATAAGCATCAGATGGTTCTAAACGTCGATAATAATCAGTTGCTGTTGAAATTATTTCAAAAGCAAATTTTTTATAAAATGCTAAAGCTGTTTCATTATTTATTTGAACATGTCTACAATAGAATAGATTAGGAAAAACAAAAAATGAATAAATTATAATCTATATGTATACATACAAATAAATGCTATCAACATTTCCTTCCTTTTCACAGATTTTTAACACATGTTCAAGCATTAAAGCACCTATTTGAAATATAACAAATAATGATTTTTGAAGAAGAAAAAAAAGATAATAACCTAAGCCAAGTTCGCGATATTTTGAAAGAACTCCTAATGTCATGATATACAATCGACGACGATTATCCGATAAATCAAAACGACAGCATACAGCACCAACAACAATATCATTGCAATAAGCTAGAATAAATAATTAAAATTAGAATCAGATCATTTACTTGTAACTCTATGACAAGAATTCGGAAAGTTGGCCATGATTAAAAATAAATATATTACCTAATTTGCATAATTCACCAGCTTCTAATAAATCTTTATAAAATTTTTCATTGTATGAAACTGGAAAAATATCACGATTGAGTACTTTCAGTTGTTTTAAATTATGTTGATGTAATTCTCCTAGTTCAATAATAACACGTTTTGATCTAAAACAAAATTATAATTAATTTTCAATAGAAAAAAATTCTATAACTAACTTTAGTTTTTTCTGATTTTTATCCGATGAATTATCATAATTAGTTATTGCAGTAATATTAGTCATATCTGAAAATGTAAAATATATGATTTTATATTTAACTAAAATTATGAGATCAATCGTCTGAATCTACTAAGGACCAAATTGTTGGTCCATCTTATATTTTAATTCGATGTTTTAATGACATCTATTTTAAATAATCTACCAATAATAAATTCAAACAAAGCTATCCGAAGTGAATAAATATAACAAGAACTGAAGTATAGTATTTTTTTTCATTCCTACATTCGAATGATTCATAGTAAAATTTAAATAAGTACATATCGTTTAGAGTTATACTTGACATTCATGGAAATTATATTTTATTTGATAATAATGTCAATATATTTACTGATAAATTCATATATTTCAAGAAAAGAGTGGATAAATTTATGAATTACAAAAAAAAGAAGACGAAGGATTGAACAAAAGCATATTTATAATAAGAAATAAAGATCTATACAAATGCGAATATCTGTATTTTAAAGGACTTCTAAATCGACATGTTGTAAAGATGGATGTTTTTTCTAAAAAAACAAAAATTCACAGATAAATTGATATGTACTGAATAATTAATTATTACTCGAAGATTTCGTTCAATACGATCAATTTCAGCTCCAACTCTATCAACAATATTTTCTCCGTGTTTAAGAAGAAATATTTCAGCTAATTCAATTGAATCAATTTTTCGTATTTCCTATAAAAAAGAAATAATTAATTGATTACTTTTCTTTTGTATTTTGTTTACTAACTTCAAGAATAACTTGAATATCAATTTTTTCTAAATATGATCGAGCAATCTCTCGTCCATCAATATCAACTTCAGCTTTAAACATAACTGATTGTGAACCCATATCCGTTGCTTTTATATCATATAATGCACGAACCATTCGATCACTTTCTAAATCTTTATTAATCATCTCAAGTTGATTTGGATGAATTGATCTTTGAGAATAAAAATAGATAAATTTATTTATTTTCAGTTTCAATTTACCGGCCAACAAGTGCAGCTGTATTTGAATAGATAATAAATGAAGCAACACCACCTAATATACCACCGATAATTAAAGATCCAATAGCATCAGGTATAGGTGATTGATAATAAAGTGAAAGACTCATTGCTGATGCAGCTACGCAAACACCTAAAACTGCAGCTAAATCTTCCAGTAATACGACATTTACATTTGGTTTGTAACCTTGATTGACTATTAGATATAGAAATAATTACTAATAAATAAAATTCTGTAATATCTACATACCATATTCCCAAAATCGCATTCCTGTTTCTTTAGCTGATGCACGAATTTCATTAACAGCCATATAAAGTGTTGCTAAAATAATAGATCATTGAAATATAACAAAAATTTCATTAATCTATGTATAGACTCAACGTAAACTTTTATCATATATGTTACGTATTAGTATTGTCAGTGTCAAAATAGTAACATGATATATTCTTTGCCAAGCGGAATTAATGTTGGAAATATTAATACAATTAGATACATATAGACAAGAATATCTTTTTCCTTATTAAAAACAAGAAATATAAAGAAACAAACCTCCTTCAGAAATTAATGAACCACTTAATAAAGCTAAACCCTAGAAAAATCAAAAGAAAACCAAATAATAATTATGTTGTTTTTATCAATATGTATAAATACCCAGAAAATCGATTCCATTTCTTGTGGATGTAATAGAACTAAAATACCATGATACCAAGCTAAACCAGTTCCAAAACAAAATATTCCAACACCACTAATAAGTGATGTAATATAAGTCATATTCGAATAACCATATCTAAATTATAAATTAACTTCGATTACGATTAAATATAAATAATAATTACGGATGTTCTGGATTCGGTTTTTTAATTGATTGCCATAGACCAAATGTTAAAATAAGTTGATTGCATGTATCAGCAATTGAATGAACAGCTTCAGAAAATAAAGATGCTGAACCAGTGAAGAACCATCCAATGGTTTTTACTACAGCATTTGTTGCATTACTAAATGTTTGAAATAGATAATAGTTTCATTTCTAACACAATCGATTTGATTATCGTGTGTATATATTTTGAAAATCTTACATACAAACTGCAGCAATAACAACTTTTCCACCACCAGCTGTTAGAATAGTATTTTTATTCTTAAAACAAGAAAGAAATTATCAATATTCTATTCACTAGAAATTTTAACATACTTTTTTTCGATTATCCAATGGAGCATTTTGTAACAATGACAAACGTTTTTGATATTCTTTCAATGATTTTTTTAAATCAAAAATCGCTAGAAAAATAATGAAATTTATTTTATGACAAAAAGAAATTGAATTCAATAAATCTATTTACCTTCATATTCTTCTTGTCGTACTTTTGTTCGTTTAATTTTTTCTTTATGCAACATATCAGGACTACCCCATACTTCATAAGCACTTAAAAGATTAAAATAAAATTAATTTTTTTTTTCAAAAATTTAATCATACCGTTTTTCAACATCACCTCGTCGATAAACAGTTAACATTTGTGTTGAATCACTCTCGTCCGAATAAGGTGAACGTGTTTTATATTGTTTAAGTGTTTCTAAATCACTAAATTAAATACTTTACGCTATGATATTTATTTTTCTAAGAAAAACTTACGTTGGTTTTAATAAATATTCATGCATAGCTCGTGTAGCTGTAATAAAATTATTTTCTGTATAACTTGCAGCATAATCAGTTACTTTAAGTTTTCGTGTTCGAACTAAAATAGATGAATTATTTTTTCAAAAAATCCTTTTTTGAAATTACATACCTTTTAATTTCGTTGAAACAGGTGGCATGGTTGGAAGATTTTTATCTGATACTATCGGTTGGTTACTATTGTTCGATGAAGACGTAGTATTAGATTGATATCGTAATAACAATAAATCATATTTATATGGACTGACTGAGCTGAAAGGATAAGAAAAAATTAAATCGAATAAAAAATTTATTTATAAACTTACATTGAAGGAACAATACAAAGCAAATTTCGTCGTATAAAAATTGTTGATATTTGATGACCTTTATAAAAACATTAGTTAAATAAAGTGAAGACTTCATAGAAGATTTACTTACTAGATCGTAGTGTTGATCTTACACCATATTGAAATAGATTTTGACTTAACATATCTATTTTCTACTACGTATTCAAAAGCAATTTAAATATAATCATCTACAAACAAAATAATAAACATGAACTTATCCTAAATTAAATATCGCTTGATTTTTTGAATATATTTTAAAAATATTCTCTTTAGTTCTTTTATATTTGTTTTTACTTTTAATAGTTTCAGCAACAAAAAAAAACAGACATAAAACAAGAAAGAGTGATGATATGTAAGTATGTTTAACAAACATTATACCATTGATCTACCATCAGATAATTTGTCAGTGATCTAAATATAATAGTATTGATATTTATTATGTAATAGTATGAATAAATATTTACCTGTCGAAGGCCAGGTAGTAATAAAATAGAACCTATAATTGGTAAACGTCGAAGGAAATTGATGGCAATTGGAATGAAACCTCTAGAATAAATCGAATATTAAATAAAATATTTTTTTTGAAAAAACTTTAGTCAAACAAACCCGAAGAGAAGAAAAAAACCATAACATTCAATAATCATACCAGTGACTGGCCAACCGATTAGAACAAGTAGAATTCCACCAAAAAAAAGTGCAGTACTTTTAAATTTATAACGTTGAAAGAAAAAGCGAAATGTACGTTCAAAACCAATGATCATCGAAAGACCGGCAAGAAATAAAATCTAAATAAAACGAAAATTTCATTTATAATTATAATAAATAAATAAATTTAAATTAAATATTTACATTTCCAACTGCTAATAGACCTTTATCAAATAAAAAGATCATACCAAGAAAAATAAAACCCACACCAAATATTGTCAAACCAAGACCGATCTCTTAAATTATTATTATAATTACATTTAAAAATAAATAAAGAAATTGATCTATCTACTTTGTAAATCTGACAATTGAATAGGCATTTTTAGTTCTTTTTTTTAATAAATATTTGTTTGTATATAATTAACACGAATAAATCATCTGATTGAGCAGAAACATTGGAGAAGTTTAAAGAACATTTCTAAAATAAAAATCAATAATTTAATTTGACATATCAATTCAATTGATCAATATGAAATAGTAATGGTAATGAACAATAATTGCAACTGGCATATTTCTTCTATTGATATATTCCATAGTTTATTACTATAGAAAGCAATACAATTCTTCTATCGATAGATGGCATTTGCAGACATACGATGTCATTATATTTTTATATTTTCGTTGACTAAAAAAATTATGCTTATGACTGTTAAATTATATTATCTTAAACATGTCATTTTTGATAATATTATTAACGAATGTATTTGATATTTTTTTTAAAGTTTTATTTAGAGTAATAGATCTGTTAATAATTCATAGTTTCTAGTTCTATTTTATATTTTTCAAACTACTCAGTTTGAGACACTGGACGTTTAAAGATACCATTAGTCTAATATAACTGGCAAAAAACTTGCTGCGTAATTAGGAGGTCCTTAAATTACTATTGTTTATTATCAAATTTGTATTATACGATTATGTTTTAGTAATATCATTGATAAACAGCGAATATTTATTTAGATACTAAAACTTATAATTCTTTATTGATATTTAGAGCGATTGTCAGATGGTTGTCATATAATAAACAAAACCAACTATTGAATGAAATTGGCATGAATCAGAATTTTAGTCTAAAATATTTCAAAATCTATAGAAAGAAGATGATAGTATAATAATGAAAAAAAATTGATCTACTTCAGAAATATTAACGATTTTTCAATCTCATTTTTACAGATATATTTATAATATACGATGCAAAAGTCTTGACAAAAATGTCAAATCCTGTTGAACCATATTACAGATTTCTAAATTAAAGTCTGAACTAAAAACTTTTTGTTAGACGTATTTTTCAAGAACGAATCCAGGAAGGAGGAAAAGCCAAAAATTAAAAAGCTTGCTCTTTCCAATGATATGTTGAAAGGTAAATCTACTCTTGATTTTCATATCAAAATATTGCTTTTACTGGAAGAGACTGAACAATTCAGGCATTCTCAGTACCTCGTCGGTCAGCAACGGTAACAAATGTTTTTGAATTAATTTCGTCGTGCTAAGTTTCTATAATTTGACATACTTCGAATAAATAATACAAAAAGTTCCATTCATACTTGGATTTCGGAGACAACAACTGATAGTTTTACTACTCAGTTATTCATTTCTGATATTCACTTGAAAATGATTATTCATACGTTATCATCACATGTAATTGGTACCAAAGAATGGTTAGTATTCTTCACATTTGTATTTATATTCACTCAGTTGTACAAATAATGATTTGTCTTTTATTAACTATGGCTCTTTTTCAACAACCACCATACAATATCTGTTCGAAATATTACTCCAACTTATATGTTATTTGGTGAATGACAATTTATTAAGACATGTGAATGATTAAATAGCTTGATTACATAGAAAAAATTTATGATTCAGTTTAAAAAAAGAAAATGTCATTCTGTTTATATCGATTAATAAAGCTCAGCACTATTGGGAGAACCACTACTACCAACTCCACCAGCAACTAATACTTTTCCATTTGCTAATATGGATGCTGTGTGAGATGCTCGTTTGACACTCATGTTTCCTGTGATTGTCCAAGTGCCTGTTGATGGATTGTATAATTCAGCAGTATTTAGGGAATCAGGACTACTAGATCCACCAGCAACTAATACTGATCCATTTGCTAATATGGATGCTGTGTGATATTTTCGTGCAAAACTCATATTTCCTGTGGTTGTCCAAGTGCCTGTTGATGGGTTGTATAATTCAGCACTGTTGAAAATGAAAAAACCAGTGCTGTCACTTCCACCAACAACTAATACCAGTCCATTTGCTAATGCGGATGCTGTATGATATGCTCGTATGAAACTCATATTTCCTGTAGTTACCCAAGTGCCTGTTGATGGATTATACAATTCAGAAGTATTAAGATAATCAGCCCAACCAATTCCACCAGCAACTAATATTAATCCGTTTGCTAATGTGGTTGCTGTGTGAGATTCTCGTGCAAAACTCATATCTCCTGTAGTTATCCAAGTGCCTGTTAATGGATTGTACAATTCAGCATTATTCAAATAACTACTACCGTTGTATCCACCAGTAACTAATACTAATCCATTTGCTAATATAGATGCTGTGTGACCATATCGTGCGGCATTCATGCTTCCTGTGGCTGTCCAAATGCCTGTCAATGGATTGTACAATTCAGCACTATTTAGATAATAAAAAACATTATATACAACAGATACACCATATCCACCAGTAGCTAATACTGATCCATTTGCTAATGTGGATGCTGTATGAAGATATCGTACCACATTCATGCTTCCTGTAATTGTCCATCCTAAATTACATTGAAAAATGGTAAAAAAAACTATTCTTGAAAAAATATCGTTTCAGTTATATAAATAAGTTGTTTATGTGCTGTTTGCGAACTCAATGATTTTGAGACGTTGATAAACTTTTCTTTGTTCTCATTAATAGCATGAGATACATGTTGAGATTTTAAATTAATTCAAAGAATAAGGACAATAAAACCTCTTAGATTTAAAAAAACTGAATGGAAGACATGTTATTTTTTAGCGATTTGATATGCATGTAAGTGGAGTGACGGTCACACCTTTTAATACTTATTTTATTGAGAAAAGTAATATGCATCTGCCAGATAAAGAAAAAAAAGAATAGTACTGATTTTGTCAACTATTTAAACTTCAATTCTATGCTTTTTGCACAAAGATTATGTGATTGAATACCCATCTCTTGAAAATATATGCTACACCTTGATATAAACGTTGCTTTCATACATTTCAACTTCATGTGAAAGAGAAAGAACAACTGTTAATGCAGTTTTTCGTGCTCAATTTGTAAATCATAATCTGGCTATCATTTTTACTCCCAAACATATAGGGCATGTAACATATAGTATGAAACCAATTTTTGTTCTATTCAAAAGACATCAATTTACATCACGTCAATATCTACTATCATTTATGACAAACCTTTGTTAGAATATGTGTGATAGCCTGTAAGGGTGTGCCTGTGAATTCATCTCTCCTTTACCAACACCCCCTTTTATGTGAGTAATAAATACAAACAAAGCATTTCTTTGAATCAATAACGCGTATCACTCATACAAGATCGAATGAATTGTCATTTGAGATAATCATCGTTAAAACAAC